AAATAGATAAATACGTATACGTAAGTAAGGTATCCAACCGGGGTACAAGAAAGAGTGACAGTGAGAGCCGTACAGTCCGAGTGCGCAAGTAAGTGAGTGAGTAAGGATAAGTGATGAGTTACGAGCTTATGTAGGATACTTGCGATAACACGCAGCGGACGGTCCCCGAGCAAGGGAACTGATGTACACGGTACAGGGGTGAAGTTTCGGTTCTGTAAGGAGCGGAAGGAGCCGGCCGTCGGAAACCCGCGGAGACTCTGGACGGGGGGGGGCACCAGCACTAACTGAGCAGCAGCTAGACTGCGATGGGGCCGGTCGACTTGGTGTCACGGGCGGATTTTGTGCGGCGAGGCACCTTGGTCGGCGTCTCGAGCGGATCGGGGAGCGGCGGAGGCGGAGCCTTGATATGTGGGGCGGTGCACACCACGCTGAGCGTGTCCGACGAGTGCGTGAACGAGAGCCCGTGGTGGTGGTACATCGGCCGCGTGAACGCCTCTTTCGAGAGCGGCAGGGTAGCTTGGAGCGGTCCCAGAGCGTATGCGCCTGCAGGACGATCAGCACGCGCGAGTCTCAATACAGAAGATCGCAGGGGGGCGGGGAGAAGACAACGCACGGGCTGGGTAATGGCGCTTACGGCGCTGATAAAGCAGCAGCGACACCAGCAGGACAGCGATCAGGATAAACCCCCCAACGCTACCGGCTACTATCGCGATGATCCGTCGTCGGTGATCAAGTGCGGCTGAAGCGGGGCTGGAAACGCTGCCGCCGGCTACCGCAAGCGTCGCGTTCTCGTTGGCGAGGCGTATCGCCAGAGTGTGGGAGCCCGCTGCGAGCCGGGGGGAGGAATAGAGTTTTGAAGAAGACTGGTCGTAAAGGAAGGTGTGGTCAGGCTCGCCATCGAGGACGTAAAGTACTGCAGAGCTTGAGTGGGATTGGACCGAGCCAAACACGTCGATGCTCGTTCCTAGAAGACGTATGAGAACGCGGCCTCGACAACGGCTCGAAAGAGTGTCTGAGACGCACCCTGGAACTGGAACGAAACCGTCGCGTCTCGGTCGCTGGTGGAAAACGAGTTCCAGCTGCCATTGAGGTAGTGGACGGTGCTGCTATCGGGAGCGAATCGAACGAGCACGTCATCGTCGTTCATGTCGAGCGCATGAGACGAGCCGGAAAGTTGAAAAGCGTAGGAGGCAACCGAGTACAAGAACCCGCCAGGTTAATGTAGGGCGCCAGACAGCGCAACAGCTGATGAGATCAGAAACGTGCGGCGAGGAAGTGGACGAAGGAGGAATCGTGGATTCCGTTATGCCCTTCTTAGCAGCTTCGTGTAAATGACAGGTCCACCCGAGGTCCCGATGCGAGGAAAGAAGACTCCACTAGGCAATTATTACCAACGCCTCCAGCGCCGGGAAATGCTCAATCGAGGGCCACAACAGCGTAAAGATCGACACGACGCATTAAACCATTCCCAGATCGTGCAGAAACCCGAGAAACGGAAAAGAAATGGAGAGACCCTTCAGACACATGGGGCCCAGCCATGAAACGTACGGTGTCCCTCTCCGGCTTCGGAAAGACAGATCCGGTAAGAAAAGCACAAGGGCGACGACGGCGTTGCAGTCTTCAGAGTGGCGCAGTCCAGGCCAAGACAGATCTGCACATTGCACATTGCGGTCGTGACGTGGACACTGTATGTTTTCGATTGCTGATCCGATCAGCCGCTCGACTCGAAAGGCGACGACCGAGTCCCGCGGCTCGGTGCCATCCGACAGCCTTGTCCTGGTCTCTTTCCGACCATCGAATCGTCGATGCACCGACACTGTGCGACTCTTCTAGCGCGCCAGTGACTCCCTGAAAACATTCGGCCCCGCAGCGATGACAGCACGCTCTCAGCCTTCTTCTGCTCGGCTCGTTTCAGCTTCGAAAACCTTGTCCGGATGCTGTGACTGAGACTGAGAGTACTTCAGTGGGGCTCGAGCACTGTGCCACCCTCACCCCGCTCTCAATGCACCTCCACACGACGTCAGCAGCTGCACTCGCCCTCTTACCCATCGCACTGGTGGCGGGTGCGGACACACTCCGGGACAAGCACTGCGCCCCGCCCCTGAAGTCTAGCTTCACGCACAACACATATACGTACACGGTCCCGCTGCCCCAAATCACCCAGATCACCAAGGACTTCTTCGACATCGAGTGGTACGTGCGTGCCCATCCGCTGTCCACTCCGTGCGCGGTCCTAACGCGCGTCTCAGGGCGGCGTCGTCGTGAGCACACACACCGGCCGGAACGGCGTTCCTGGTGCGACGCGCTCGGGCAACTTTACAGGCGGATCGTTCCACGAGACTCTCACGGAATACACGCTCCGGCCCGACGCATTCGCGTACGCATACAGCGGCGTCCCATACACGTTCGCCCCGCCGCACGCGCAGCCCGTCCATTTCGGCGTGTACGCGGAGACGCTGCGCTTCGAGAGCGTCTGCGGCGGCCGCGCGACGTACATCGATTTCCAGACGTGGTCGTGCGTCGACGATCGCCCGGCGGGGTACAACTTCTGGTACACGCTCCATCAGACTGGGGCGGAGAGCCTGGCGCAGACGCTCAAAGCCAACGTGCTTGCTGGGGATTGCGATTAGGCGGGGATGGATTGTGTAGGATGAACGCGTGCTGCCAATGTGTCAATTGAATGAATGAATGCGATTTCGACTGGATCGGTGTACGGCACTTTCCGCGTCGTTTTCGCGGTTCATCTCGGTGACCACGGCATTCTAACACAAGTGCTATTGCCTCGGTCCTGCTGTCGCAGCTTCTATCATCTGCTAATGCTTGCTGATATCACTGATAGTACGTGAACCGATCATGAACGGTGCGTGAAACGTTCTCCGTGTCTCTGTTTGTGGACACAGGATTCACGTCCCCATTCGATGTCTCGGTTTGCGCATCGACTTTACTGCGCGTTTCTCAGAACAGTGGAATGGGATTGATGATCTATGCAGTTGAAAGTGTTTTCAATCCCATGTCGCGACGCGATCCAGAACACGGGCGAAGATCCTCACTAAAACCCCCCATCGAGAATCACTTTCCTTAGATCAGCGATGAGGTAGATTGACGCCACCTTGCAGTTCTACGTTCTTTTATCTTTGGTGTGGGTAGAAGAGGACAAAAGACGGATCGACTTTCACACGCATTCTTGCTGACCTTGCGTCCCGCGTCCGAGTCGATTTCCAAGGGAGTTTGAGACACTGGGTGCAGGTGGGATGTCTTGTAAGATACGGAGTCCGTCGATCTCTATTCCTAACTGCTATCTATAACAATAGTTTCTACTCAATTTGGAGAAGGACACCAATCCCATGACGCAGCGCCACTCATCTCGTATACCTCGAGGAAACACTCAGCTTCGTTGATATGACATGATGCCCTGTTTCTTCTCGGTGGCCGTAAGCTGTATTAAGAACAATTGAGCCCCCCAGAACGAGAGAACTGTGAAGCTCAAAGTTCCCATGTATCTCCTCCACGCAGTATCCATCTCTCCCCTGCTGGCGATCGCACTGGCGGCCGCACACGAGCAGGAGGATTTTACACTCCTCGACAAGCCTTGTGCCACAGAGCTGAATCTCAACTCGAGCTTCATACACAGCGCATTCGCATACTCCGTCCCCTTGCACCAGGTCGCCCCGATCGTGCAGAACTTCTTCGACATCGAGTGGTATGTACGTACCCCCGCTCCTTTCCAAACACCCACCGCGCCCGTATTGAATCAGCTGATCCACGGGGCGGCATCGCCATCACCAATCACACGGGCCAGAACGGCGTCCCCGGCGCGACGCGCTCGGGCATCCTGACGGGCGAGCCGTTCCACGAGACGCTCACGGAGTACACGCTCCGCCCCGGCGCGCTCGCGTATTCGTACTTCGGCGTCCCATACAGATTCGCGCCCCCGGGCGCGCCGCCCGTCTTCTTCAGCGCCTATGCGGAGACGCTGCGCTTCGAGAGCATCTGCGGCGACGCGGCAACTCTGATCGACTTCCAGTCCTGGTCGTGCGTCGATTTTCGCGCGGGGGCGTACAATTTTTGGTACACGCTGCACCAGACTGCGGCGCAGGGTCTGGCGGAGAGGTTCGGAGCGAACGTGCTTGCCGGGGATTGTGAGTAGACGGGGGGATGCGTAGGGATGTCACTTGGTGGCAGTGCCTTCATTGATTGAATCTTATTCTGATGTGGTTTTGGTCAGTGCTAGAGCTGGTCGAAAACCAAGAATTAGCTGAGTGTGTGCTATGTTCATTGTTTACAGAGCCAGAGTTCCATTTTGATTCCAGATTTGAACTCAGCGTGAACACGCAAGATAAGGAAGGCGCCGTGCCGCCGCGAAGTGACCAGTGCAAGTGGCAGAGTGATGGCCGCCTTTGTTGCCGCTGATCGCCGATATCTGCTCTCGTCAAACAACTTCCCAATTTGGGGGCGTGGTGTGTCGTGGGAACATTGGCCAAGATCTTCCCATCACGCATTCTTGACCGGGGCTTGAAATATAGTTGTGTGCGGCCGCCTGCGGCGGCTAGAGAAATGTCTGGAGCTCGGCTGTGTATAAAGACGGTGACCACCTGCTGGTGCGCTTGCGGATGGCTATACATAGCGACTTGAAGCGGGGCGTCGCTATGTCAGCGCATACGAGACTTTCTAGACTGCGAGTGCTTGCATCCGATTTCTATAGCACCTATTCCTTCAAAACACCATCAAATGAATGCCTGCGCACCACTGCATTCGAAAGTTGTAGGTCCTGGATCACCTGTCGAATGTGTCCACAAGCATGACGGTGGGAGGAGGGTAAATTCACTCAGTCATGAGCGCAGTTGCTCCCGCTCGAAACTTGACAGTGCGTACTGATGATCGTTACGGTTCGTATTCTTGATTGTCAGGCAACGATTTTGCGCTCCAGCAGGAGCCTTCCGAACGCGATCACGTGCCTGATCTGGACCTCGATCTGGCCTCCGTGAACTGACTGCAGTGGGGTCTCCTGCAGTCTGATCAAAACGAAACTCGAAGCCATCTTTAGCTTTTAAGTTGTGACAATAAATAATAAAGATAGATCCAAGCACAATCTACACACCTGTACAGATTCTGCTACACACATCTACTACGCACTCGCGTCGACCTTTACGCGATCAAAAGAGTCCATCTGATGCACATTGTCCGTCGTCACCTCGACTAGTCTCGACACATTCACACCCTCTATCCGGGGCGCCGCCGGACGGCCGCTGCCGCTCAACTCCGAGCCCTGCTTAGCGCCCGTGACCGGTAGGATGATCATGCTGAATGTGATCCCTAGTAAGCTGCATGTCTGCGCAGCTGACTGAGTCCTTGACTTATCGCGCGTGACAAGGCGAAGACTTACGGCATCTAGCACGACGTATTGCACATTGACTTCGAGCTGATGGGTGACGAGCAGGGCTATCAGCTCCGCGGAATACAGCGCAGCGGATTCGAGGAAGACGACCTGCTCTGGCTGAGTAACATGGATTCATCAGCGCGGCGGCGTGACGCACCACGAGCGACGTCATCCGACTGTTCACTGCATTCATCTTGCGGACGGCGAATTGAGAGCGGAGGATCCGGTAGGCGATGAGTACTAGGTGCAGATCGGTGAATCTCCGTCAGAGCTTTAGTAAACCGACGCACTGGTGCAATATCCATTGGTTGCCAACGAGAGGGCGATGAAAGTCGGAATCCAGACCACCACGGGCGACAGTTCTGTGCCTTGTTTCGTGGCGTGCGTCGCATATGCCCCGCCGTATCCAGATACGATCGAACCGATCCACAAAACAATGGGAAGAGCTACGATGGGGAGAGAACTCTGCCAGATCTTATAAGAGCGGTAAATCTGGTGAGGAAGATTAAGTATACGACCCCGGCGGTTTGTGCTAGATGCATGCGACGGACCATAAACCAGTCACCGATGAGCGTCGCAGTGACGTAAAGCACGACCTTCGCGACTTCGACTGGAGAGGAGACGTTTGCGAAAAACACAGCAGCATTCGGTTGATGCATGAAAGCCGTCTCGGCGCGCGAGATATCCAATATCCAGTGCTAAGCGTTCAGTACATCCGTCAGCCTCTAACAGAACATGGGAGGGCTCCAAGACGCACCGATACCGCAAGCAACCATATGAGCGTTATAGTTGGCAGGACGAGTCTCGCTGTTTTTTGGCTGGGGATGGCTTTGGTGACGATGAGCCGCAGCACGGTCGCGAACATCGTGGTGAATATGCCCATCAGAAACGTCTCGATTATCAGGGAGACGAGCTGGATGGAGGAGTTTCTCGTCACCGCCGCCACCACTGACCAGATAATCGAGGCACTCACCCCTATCTCATCCAATGGCACATCTCCCATGAAAGTGTGGAAAGAGCGGAATGTGATTTTTCACTGGGCACCATGGTCGCGGTAACACAGGTCTTAAATACCCGTGTCCAGAGAAACAGAGATCTCGTTGCCGCCCGCTGATCGAGAATTTGCCTGTCGTCCTGGCCCGATGGTTTTCTCAACCCGCTTTAGGCAAAGGGAAAAGCAAGCGTTCAGGAACCTCGGAAGCTGCCGGCGGAGAGGGAATTTTGACACATTGCCGTTATGCCTTTACGGATGCCGCCTGATCAGACGAAGACGAAGTGCCAAACATAGGTGGGCGACTTGGTCCGTTCGACCAAAGAGAGCTGAGACTTGGATTCGCCCTTATTTCTTGGTGAATCCTACTTTATGGTGCCTTTCTGCAGTACCGAATCTGTCGTCCGGATGAAGGGTGTCGCACGGCAAAGAATTGATGAAGGACTCGAGGATAAACCGAAAGAGCCCGAGTTTGTGATAGCATGTTGTGATGCACGTGGACAGCTGCATTCGAGACAGCGCGTACTGTGGATCGACTGTTCAGAAGTCCGAGGCTGGCAGCAGAATTGATCCAAGGCAAGGCGACTGTAACCTGTCGATGGGAGGGAGACTCCACAATGATCGAACTTTGGACTTGATGTGTCATTTTCAGAAATGATCTGAACTGCGCGGAGGTTCAACACTTACGTCTTCGAGATGAACTCGGAATAAACATTCGCCCTAATCGGTCGATAACAAAGGTCTGCAACGGAAAAATGTGCTTTTCATCGTATTCCTCTGCTCTGAAATGTTTTCGAGCACTCAGATTGTGCTGCATTGAATTGATCATTTGTCAAATAGGCCGAGCAAACAAGAGAGCTCACCTCGGTTATATAGAGCTAGCTACCCAGTAGGTACCAGTCACTCGTCTGTGTCTCGTGTAAGTGTGAATGAATGTGTGACTACTCGTGACTGCTATGCTCCGCTCTACTCACGTGCCTATTCCAGCGGGAGCACTGGTCCGTTTGTCAATGTTTGCCCACCCACCCCTCTTGAAGAGGAGTCACGTGGTATGTTGCCCCCCCCTCCAAATGACCAGACGTCCCCCTGCGAACCTGCCAGGGGTCAGAACCGTGGGATTACAATCGCGAGTGAGGTGCAGCTTACCTATATGTGCTTGCCCGCCAACCAACGTGAACAGTCGTGCCTCTGTCTGATTTATGGAGGCTCAAAACTACATGCTGATAACCGAGACGCATATCAGTGATGCCATATGTTGTTGAACTACGGATCATATGTTATTATGTCAGGACCCCAAAGACCATGAGTGATGATCAGAACGATCACGTGCAATAACCTTGACGAGCTCGCTGACAAATCCATTGACCGACACTTGTCATCACGTGATAGATTGATTGTGGCTGCTTTGTCAGCTCAAGCAGCTTGCTACGTCATACTGATGTGGCCTCTGATCAATTGATCGCGGGGCCAGGGTGCATCACTGCTCGTCAATGAATAGATAGAGATACAGTACAATTATTGCTACCAATCACCCTCTGCTGCCGCTAAAGACTCCTCTTCATCAGAAAACCATGCGAATAAATCATCCGATGTGGAAGGTTCATTTTGCAAATCACCATTGACATTGGGCTCTACGTCGTCAATCATCTGGTTCAATTTAGACCGTAAGCCTTGGTCTAGAAAGTTGTAAGTCTCAGAGAACACAAAATCCAATAAGCACGCACCTAAACCATCACCTTGATTTACACCACCCATATAATATCCGCCATCTGGACCAATGACACCTTCACCTCCGCGTAGTTCCTTGAGACCGGGGATGGGCTGAATTTCGTCATTGTAGTTGTCCAATGCTTGTGTGAGCGCATAACCCCAATTCCCTGTCGCAGACAATACCGCGCAGTGGAGATACGACCAGTAGCGATCACCTATAAGACAGAGTCTCAGCGAGTGTAGAGACACAGGAGCTGAGGATATGGAGCGTATAGTACTAGGTTTATATACCAGTCTGGAGCAGATATCATGATGTCATAGTGGAGTAATGATATCATAGATGAGTAATGGATGACGCAATAATGAGGTCAGGTATGAGGTCATTGTGGAGCGAGCCAAAGTAATCTAAGAATACTACTTATGATGTCATGTCTACATACTGTGATAGTCGCTAATACAAACAAGCTTCAACACTCCCACTCGACTAAACAGTCGGATCACGAAGACCCAAAGACAGCCGATGTTGTTGGAACTTCACCCATGCCAGAGACTTTGTGAGCGTGTCGGAGATCATCGCATCAGTCGGCACATGGTAAAGTTGGACATTGCCAGCTTCGACGGATTCTCGTACGAAGTGATAGCGGATGTCGATGTGCTTCGTCCTCCTATCATGAACTGGATTTACTGCCATAAAGATAGCGCCTTGGTTATCAACACAAAGAGGCGTGGATGGCAAGTCATATCCGAGCTCAGTCAACAAAGTGCGGATCCAGGCAATCTGGCGCGTAGCATCGCTCAGAGCCATGTATTCGGCCTCTGTTGAGGACAAAGCGACCGTGGGTTGGCGTCTAGAAACCCAGGTCACTGCACAACCGGCGATGAAGAAGGAATATCCCGTGGTTGAATGCCTGTCGTCTTTGTTCTCCGCCCAATCAGCATCGGAATAACCGATAAGACCTGCGCCAGTGGAACCATCATAGCAAAGTTGGTAGTTTTTGGTGCCCTGAAGGTACCGGAGTATGTATTTTGCCATGTTCCAATGATGTTCTGACGGGTTGCTGTTGAACTTTGATAGACGGATGACTGCATAGGCAATGTCGGGGCGAGTACCAAGCATGGCGTATAGAAGGCTGCCAATCAGTTGCTGGTATCGGGTACGACGGTCTTCATCAACTTCTCCATCATGCTTCTCAAGCACGATGCCGGAAGGCAGGGGAGTACGAGCTTCTTTACACGAAGACATCCGGAAACGTTCTAGAACTCCTTCGATATAGGAAGCCTGATCGATCCAGATTTTACGCGCTTTGCGATCACGAACTATGTTCAGACCAAGGAAATCCTTTGCAGGACCGAGATCTGTCATTTTGAAGCGATTCGCGAGCAAGGATTTGATACGCGCTATCTCCGGCAGATTGTTGCCCATAATGAGCATATCGTCAACATACAGCACCAAGATGATGACCGTATCTCCCATTTGTTGGCGATATGTGTAGACACCGGCGTCGGAGTATGTCCGAGCAAAACCAAGTTCGAGGAGGGCATTGTGGATTTTGATATTCCACTGACGAGACGCCTGTTTCAACCCATAGAGTGATTTACGAAGGCGTGCCACCTTTTCTTTTGGCCATGACGAGAAACCTTTGGGTAATTCCGGAAGTTCCATATAGATTTCTTCCTCCAGATCCCCGTTTAGGAATGCCGTTTTGACATCCATGGCATGAATCTCCCAATCTTCGAGAGCAGCCAGAGCCATAAGTATGCGCAGAGATTCGTAGCGCAATACTGGCGAGAAGGTCTCATCATAGTCAAACCCATGAACCTGAGTGAATCCCTTGGCAACAAGTCGTGCTTTGAAACGACCGTCACGCTTCCTGCTAAACACCCATCTGCATTTGACAGTCTTTCGACCGCGTGGAAGGCTGGTCAAATCCCAAGTACAGTTTTCCTCGAGAGAGTCCAGTTCTTCGTGCATTGCGCGCTCCCACTTGAGTGCATCCGGGCTCTTTGCTACGTCCCGCACGTTCTGAGGCAAGTCATGTTCAGCTTGGGCAGCTGAAAGCATGGACTCAATGCTGTTAGGCCTCTGATACGTAGTTCCATCCGGCAAAATGCGGGGCTTGTTTCGACGAGGGCGGCGATGGGCAATCGGGCGATCGTCTATTGGGCCAGGCATTAGGGGTACTTCTCGCGATCCCGTGACAGGACCTTGTTGCGCGAGGGGTGCCGGGGGCGGTGGAAGAGCAGGGGGTGGTACACTTGCATAAGGTGTTGCAGGCGCAGGATTATTGATAAGGTCAGGGAAGGTTTCCTCGAATGGTGTGAACGGCTCCGGTCCAGAGGACACATTGCCGGTGACTAGCTTGGACTTGGCAGGGAATACTCGCTCATCGAACTCAACATTTGAAGAGACTCATATCTTGCGTTGATTCGGATCCCACACTTTCCAAGCTTTTGTCTCTCGTTCGTATCCAACGAAGATGTGGTCGGGGCGTCCATGCTCCAACCCTTTCGGGCGTTTTTCAACATCCACATAGAGAGACGCCTTGCATCCAAACACACGGAAATAAGAGACGTCTGGCTTCTTTCCAAGCCACAGTTCTGCAGGTGTTCGCCATCCCAATCGTGCCATAGGTTGTCTATTATGAACGTGGACAGATGCATCCATAGCACATTGCCAGAAGCCTTTGGATAGGCCGGCATCGAGGCGCATGCATTCCGCTTTCTCGTAGGCTGTGCGATTCCAACGTTCAGACCTCCCATTTTGCTGTGGTTCGCGTGGCGCGGACTTAGGGTGCATAATACCACGTGCATTGAGCCAGGCTGTGAGTTCATCGGACATATATTCGCCTCCACGATCTGACCGGAAGGCCAGTACTTTTGTGCCAAGCTGACGCTCTGTAAGGGCAACAAAGTTTTTAATCGCAGTAGAGGCTTGGTCCTTTGATTTAATGAACACCATCATGCCAAAGCTCGAGAAATCGTCGTAGAACGAAATTGTGTAGCGTGAACCTTCCAACGACTGAGTAGGCCAGGGGCCCATCAAATCAGTGTGGATAAGCTCGAGGGGTTTGCTAGCACGTTTCTCTGATGCAGGGTACGGATGCTTGTGCTGTTTTCCAAGCATACATCCATTGCACATGCCGCGCTGGTCTTTATTGCGTAGCAAGGGGGGAACACCTTCAACTTGTGTCGGCAAGTGAGTAAGGGTCCTCCGAGCCGCATGACCAAAACGCTTATGCCACAATTCACGATCGGTAGTTTCCAGGGAAGCGAGCGCGGTAGACTCGTGAGATGCAGACACAGATGGTGCCACGAGCTCCTCGGGGTAGTACCAGTAGCAGCGATTGCTTGCTTTAAAGGTCATCAAGACATCCCCATGCGCTTTTCCCTTGTTGAGCCAATCCTTGGTGACTAGGATTGCCTTGTTGTCACCAACCACGGTGTAGTAACCAGCCTGATCGAGCGCATATCCAGAAAGGTAACGCCCTCTTATGTGTGGGTTGTAAATGACATCCTTCAGCGTGAAGGTGTAGTCCATGCCACTACTAGTATGACCCCGCAACACAATATCTCCAACGGCTTCATTCCTGAAGCGAGCTCCCGACCCAACAACTACATAGGTGTCGATAGGTCTGATGTTGTGAAGATCGGATCGGGTGTTTGTCATATGATGCGTACAACCCGAGTCCCATAGAAAACGAATTTTGGAGTCGTCTCCCATTTCTTCAACAAAAATTCCATCATTGATGTGTTTGAGGGAGTCACTCATGAGATAGGACGAAATGTGCATTCCATTGGAGGCAGCTGCAACCGCGGGAGCGGCTACAACTTCTTTTACAGCGCTAGTACCATCACCGCTCTTCTTTTCCTTCTTCTTTTTCTTCTTCCCCTCATCCTGCTTCCCCTTGCCTTTGTCAGAAGATTGACCAGTCGGCTTGAGGTTGGGATACTTCTTGTAGCAGGATGCCGCAACGTGACCGGACTTGTTGCAATGAGTGCAGCGGGTGGCAAGGGACGGAACGGTGGAAATCTTCGAGTTCGACGTCGTGTCGAGGTTCTCGATCTTGATATTCCCTATGACGCTGTTCTTGACATCGACTGGGTTCAGAGAAGCGATAGGACGATTGGCCAGGTAAGAGGTGACAAAACCTCTGCTGGAAGCGGGCAAAGCGGCGAGCATTAGAGTTGCGAAGAGGTAGTCAGGGATCTCGATTCCTCCTTCCGAACACTGGCGACGACGAGTCTCCATTTCCATGATTTGCTTTTCAATGGTATCACCACCGTGGAAGGTGGTGGTGTTCAGGAGGCGGTACTCGACAAAAGCATCGATGGCATTTGGTTGGCCATAATCCGTCGCCATCTTCGCAAAAACCTCGCGCGCAGTGCGCTCCCGCTGACCATCCATAAAGATTCCCTTGCGCAGATTCTGGGTGATGTAAACCCGCGCAAGACCCAGTGCCTTTTCATTGGCAACGTCCCATTGATACTGGCTGTCACCAGTCGTTCCAGGACGCTCCATAGAACCAGGGTTCGAGGTAGATGTGCCGTTAACCGTAATATGAGTGGGTTTAACCACTCCCCAAGTGCCCTGATGCATGCAGATGCTCATGTAGTTGTCCGACCACGTATTCCAATTGGTGCCGTCGAAGACACTCAGAATGGAGTTGTTGAGTTTCTCGATTCCCGACATGGTGGGGAGATACTCGATAACGTCGGCGGTTTGGTAGTGAAGAGAGGGGAATTCGATATAGGGAGGATCACCGAATAGAGATCGAAGTTCTGGAGTCCAATTCTCTTGGTGATGGAAGAACTCTTCGTTGTCGTGTTCTCCAAGATCGTATAGATCCCTCCAATCGGCGTCTTGGAGAGGAATGTAAGGAGGTCCCTGAGCCCAGCGGACAACAGGAAATAGGATAACCCCAACGGGAGGGTCGTCTGGTGATGACAGGGTGATAGAGATGAAGACTAGAGCGACGAAGTCAGCCCCAGATTCTCTGCAGACCAAGAAACAAATCCCAAGTGCCAAATCTCTGAAACGAGAACGACCAAGCGTCCCCATCCCATCCATGATGCCCATATACGCGCGGGGAATGATAACGAAATAAAGCGGTATAGTAAGTGCCCATATTTGTATCAAAGTAACGTAACTATATACGTCAGCGGCGGCAGTACCCGACGGTGATTACTGCCCTCGCAGTCCGTCACTGGCCAAGGGACACGTGCCCAAGGCCGTCCCAAGCACCGGGTTTGACCGCCCATCTTCTCCCTTTTAAAGACATGCATACACGCAGAGCGTCATTGCATGAATCCTCGTAGTGTCACCAGCCCGCAGGGTCCCTTGTGAGGAATGCGAGTCAACCCCGAAGGATTGTTTTGCCTGGCGGAGGGATTGACCTCCAGCAGCTGTTGAGAGCTACCACACCACCTAGGCGCTTCGCGCAAGGTTCAGGAGTGGGATTGACCAAAGGACCAGTGCCTGGTGGGTATGTCCGCTGTACAATAAAAAGATGTAACGTAAAACGCGCGCGAGCAATCATGGACGGAATAGCTAACGGCGCGTCTGCCAACTGAATGACTCCCTGACGCCGCTCGCGTAACCCCTTGAGGGTGAGAGCACAAATGCGAGGACCGACATCCAGCAAGTGGGACGAGCGCACAAAGACGGCGCTCTAGAAGGGCTGAACGAGTGAAAGATACTCGCCTTAGTAAAGGGAGTAGTTCGATGTTTCTTGATTTGCCGCTAGTGGTTCAGGCGGGGCCCATAACCTGTCGCAGACAATACCGCGCAGTGGAGATACGACCAGTAGCGATCACCTATAAGACAGAGTCTCAGCGAGTGTAGAGACACAGGAGCTGAGGATATGGAGCGTATAGTACTAGGTTTATATACCAGTCTGGAGCAGATATCATGATGTCATAGTGGAGTAATGATATCATAGATGAGTAATGGATGACGCAATAATGAGGTCAGGTATGAGGTCATTGTGGAGCGAGCCAAAGTAATCTAAGAATACTACTTATGATGTCATGTCTACATACTGTGATAGTCGCTAATACAAACAAGCTTCAACATTCCCATTAGCGCTGACATCCACACCGTGAATCTCATCAAGCGTCCGGAATTCAGAAAGCAACTGGAGGTAGACGTCCCAGCATGACTCTCTGTTGACACTTGGCTCACCAATACTTTTATAAATCCCAGAGATCATGTCATGGAATTCGGGAGGAACAAGGTGAAATATCTTGTGATCAGGAGGAGCGTACATAGCTCGAACCTTGTGAACACCCTCAGGATCAATCTTGATCTGTAAATTCTCAAATCAATTGAACATGCAAGAAATCGATGTGAAATTACAGACCTTGAAATCAAGAATTGCATAGTCCTCTGGGTATTCGAACATATGGTTTGGAACACCGTGAGGAAGAATCTTGTTACGATCATGGCGTTTAGCAGTGTTGTTGATGCGGTTGCAATAGAGTTCAAGTTCGGCTTGGAGCCAGGGGATGAACACCCAACGGAAAATAAGACTGAGTTTGTAAGGCTTTTGAACATAGACAAAAGATCGAACATGTACGCACGCTTCGATAAGCACTCCAGGATCATACCAACCATTGTTGACTCCGATTTCGAGTATGTCCTCAAAGCCAGGTGTGAATCGACGGCGCAGTTGGCTCCAAGTGATCTCGGGCATAACGTTCTTCTTCTGTCTCATCCATCGGTGTTGAGATGTACCAACGAGTGACTGATCTTGATAATGCCGCAGTTGTGTGTGTCCATTTGCAATACCAATATTCTCTGTACCAGGATCGCTTTGAGTCACGAGAGGCATGACTTCGGATCTGTCAATTCACAGCCAACACGGAGAAGAGCAATCACGTACATCCGATGGTCTCAATTGCGTCGAGATAATAGCTCAGAATGAGTCTTGGGTTGTTATTATTCCACCAAATCTTCATCCAATGAATCAGGCCTAGGAATGGATCGATCCCGGTGTGGAGAGCGAGACCAAATTTGTATTTCCACTTGTCATGTTGATCTACAGCCCAGACATTGTTCGAGCCAGCTGCCCAGAATCTCTTGCGTTTGAAATGACCACGACGACGCTCGCGAACAAGGTCAGGTTCATAGATATGGAAATACTGCATTACAGTCTTGCTGGACGAAACAAGACCCAGATTTGAATAGATCAGCGTCATGTTCCGTAAATATTAGGATAGACGCACCGTGAAACATTGATTTCTTCCTCGTGAAACAGTAAACTGACCATCTCTCGCCCACCAGCCTTTGGGTACGTGACCCGAAGCTTAGTGATTGCTCCAGCAATGGACTCAACCGTGTGACCCTGTCTCCGAGCACGAAGAAATCCCAAATTCTCTCGAATTTTGCAAAACGTAGCAATCCTGAAAGCGATATTCAGCTAGAAAGAGGAGGAGTATGTACGGCAACAAGCAGACTTACTCTAGACCGTATTTTGCTAGATCGATATGATGCTTCTTGAGTAGTGCGAGAATCTCCACATCGCTCTTGTTTTGTTTCCAGTACTTTGCAATAAATGGCCGCAGATCCTCAGAGGGGGCTAGAATATCCGTGAAATCGAGCTGATAAGTCTTGTTGGTAACATACGGACGGGTTTATATTGATTGGCTTTAGGCATGCACAAGTCGGTAAATGTTTGTTGAGAGTGAAGAGGGAATGGGACACTGCAGAAGGGAAGCGGTTCGATGAATCAATTTATAAGAACGAATTTTGCATGGCTACGGAGCGCTCCGGAGTCCCAAAGTCATGATTACCAACCAATCCCAAAGCAAAGTGTGGTTCCCCGCGTAACTTTACGGAGTAAGATTGAAATAAAATTCAGTTATAGTACTGGTTTCTCCTTGGTTGGAGTGCACATTGTTCACTGTCGGAGCGCACCGGAACTCGGCTAATATCAATGGAAGGTAAGTTACCGTACATAGCTCAATTTTGGAAACGTGTGATGGCACATGTTGATCCAGTTTGGATCCGCTCGTAAATTCAAGGACTTGCCTCTCGGTTGAATTCGGATGGCCATAAATACATCGGAAATTCTAGGAGGGTCTCGCCGACCAAAAATTGACCGAAATGAATCACAAATACTGTACAAGGAACGTGGCCAGAGAGAGCTACACTATAAGTACTGTAAATGCACGATTTCAACTTCACTCCTCAGCCTGGCTTCAATGTCGAGCGAAACGGTGTACGCAACGTTCACAGATGACATTTCCACTCAAGAACCCTTTGAGTGTCGATCTGGTGCTCGTTGTTACACACGGCCTCGTCCAGATCTGAACAAGGGTCACATTATCATGCCTGATCATCCTTGTTATCGAGTTGGGAACCAGTCCTCGACATCGGCTAGCAGAATCGTCTGCAAGGCTTGTCACGAGCATTACCGAACCAAGGCATCAAGTACGATTGGAGGTGCGTACATGGATGTCCAGTGAATACGTTGTGACTCACGCCTCTTAGCACCTACAAAAGTCAGTCTTGAGCGTGAACGCGATTCCATTCGACTGCAGAATATTGAAGGACGGATTGGCGGTAAGCTTCGTCCTCTCGCTTTGAATTTACTCAAGTTAGCCTCAGACGCATCTCGAGCTGGGGTCATTGCAGCAGTTCCACAAGTGCTAGAATCAATGGGTCCCCCTCAGTTCGTTCCTCACCGACAGGGGTCTGCCTCTGGTGCGTCCTTCATATAGCTTGAATCGTGCATTTATGGGAATAATTTCGTCTTACAGGTCCTCGTCTCTCATTGCCCAAATCAAGTTCTTCAAATATGGGCAGACATCAAGCAGGAACGGAACAGTATTCTTCTAAAGGATACTCCGCAGCGCACCAACAATATCTTCCGTCTCGGCAACGATGGGCTCAAATGGCCTACTCTGGAACGCCTCAGGAGATCGCCACTGTGAAGATCGGTGTGCGTTATGAGGCTCCAGGAAAGGAGAACGGTGTTTCATTTGGGGTATGCACTCAAATCTCTGTGCGCTTGTTTAATTCGACGCTCAAATCTTAATTCTAGACAATTAGCGAGGGAAAGAACGTCCATGCTAAAGCGACTGCGGCAGAGATCATCCAACTTGTGATCGAAGTTGCCACAGCCAAGCTACGTGCAGAGATTGCAGATCAAACGAAATCTATGTTTACTTTTGACGAGAGCCGATTTGTGGTCAGAGAGGCCGAAACCTGGATCAACATCCACGAGGAACTGCCTGATCAACCGATTTTATACAACCGTTGCCTGAAGAAGGGAAGAAGTCGCGCTGATCAGGGCAAACTTGTCTACTCTCGTCCTTCAAAGCCCTTCCTCTACGTTTTGGTGATCAATTCTAAAGAGTGGCAGCGATTTTTGAACTTCCAAGAGGATCATTTCGACGCCGTATCGCAGGTTTGTTTTGCCATTAAATTTTAGTTATTACTCTCATCCAACCTTTCCAGATTGAAAGTGTCAGCGAAAGGTCAAGTCACAGACCGGATCCCACAGTGGACGCCTTTCTAGAAGCACCAGTTTTCCGATTGACGCGTTCCAAGACTTCAACTCTTAGTCAAAAAAAAGCGTCCCAGGTACGTTTTTGAGATTGATATCGAACATTAATTCACAATTTTTTTTTGTTGATAAGAGTGCTGTGGATTCAGACCGCTCTCAATGGTCTCCAGCTCATACCACTGGCATCCAAGTAATGGAATCGTCCCTTCAGTCCTTAAGTGCTCGGTCCAGCGTCCAGAATGGTTCGATCTTGGAAACTGTGAGTTCTGAACCGTCATCAGGCTTGTTCGGGGCTGAAACATATATAAGAGCCAGAAGCCGGCCACAATCTCATCCGTCGGATCCGGATCAAAGAAAAGATCCGCTGAAGATGATAATGAGCCGCAACGGCAGCGGCCACGCCATGATCTTGATATTCATGAGATCAAGACGGTCGAGGACGTTTATCACCCTGTGGATCTCAAGCGCATGGCCAAAGCGCTTACTTTGAGTGGTTCAGTACCCGCATCTTCAAGAGAAGCTGGTTTGTGATCTCTTAATCAATTTGTACATCAGCGATGCTCATGTTTCATAGCTGCGCACATCACAGAAACAATTGAATTTTTTCGCGTTCGATCTGCTCCCCTTTCTGTTGTCCTCGAAAGCGCGAAAGCTTTCACCTGTGATATTGCTGACAAGGAAGTCGGCTCGCTGTCCCTCAAGACATTCCTGCCGCCGCTTGGTGTTGGAACATTCAAATCCGCGCATTCAGCCTATCTCACATTGGCGTCACTCTCGTCGACACCTTTGGGTGCAGCGCCAAATCAGCTGGTGGCCCTTAAGCGTATGTTTACCGAGAGGCACACCCTGAAGCGCTTCAGCCCCGTTGAGGAGTTTCAACATACAACCTCAGAGGCCAATCTACTCTTTTGGGGCACAACGTTACTGAACTTCACATACTCGTTCATTCGAGATTACATTTCAAAGCATTCTTTGCCGCCCGCAGAACTTCCAATCTACGCCATTCGATTTGTGGAGGTGGGTGTAGCACTGGTTCACGACTCTGCAGCCACGGGAAGTTCCAGCAAAAATACATCTTCTCTTCTGCGCTCTTACTTGATCGAGGAGATGATTGAGACAAGTAATCGAGCTTTCCGTCACAAGTATTTACTTTCACTCACTGTTCAACAGGAAAATTTGTCAAGTTCATTAACAACAACAGTGCCCTTCCTGTTGCAAGTCTTGACCCGGAGTTGTACCCAATTGCGGTGTTCCTATGCTTTACACAACATGTTCAATACGAGCATACCGGCAAACTTGTGTTTCTTTCCGATTTGCAAGGTCATAGACATGTACCGTGCATTACAATCTTACTCATTTGATTCCAGGATCGCGCGGACTCCTGACCGACCCGCAAGTCATGACCTCACCGTAAGTTTTGGATCAATCATTGTTAAAAATGTCTGATTTTCCCTAGGACTCTGAAGCGCGGTCTTTTCGGCGGCGGAAACTCGGGGACGTTCTTCGAGAAGTTTCCGGAACAACATGTCTGCTCTGGGTACTGCAAGTTCTTTGGGTTGAATGATCTCCAGAGCAAGGATTGAGAGACCCGCCGCATCAGAGTTTGCTCTGTAGTTCAAAGCTTATCATAGGGCAGACATTGTCTTCGTCTTCCTCAATTTCATTGCAGCTTGAATCAAAACACTAGTGCTGTACTACGATGCTCCAGACATTCGAAATATTGGTACTGACGAGCAGTGATGCACCCTGGCCCCGCGATCAATTGATCAGAGGCCACATCAGTATGACGTAGCAAGCTGCTTGAGCTGACAAAGCAGCCACAATCAATCTATCACGTGATGACAAGTGTCGGTCAATGGATTTGTCAGCGAGCTCGTCAAGGTTATTGCACGTGATCGTTCTGATCATCACTCATGGTCTTTGGGGTCCTGACATAATAACATATGATCCGTAGTTCAACAACATATGGCATCACTGATATGCGTCTCGGTTATCAGCATGTAGTTTTGAGCCTCCATACTGATTTGTGCTGTCATCTTGGCTTCTGCAGACCCCTTGGAATATCTTGTAAGCTTATAGCGGCTGAGCGAGGAACAGCAACGCGAAGTTGACTTTACTTTGGGTGCTCGAGGGTGAAAGAGTTGATTGGATGCCTATAGTATACACCTGGCGCATGTATGCAGTACGTACCCGGCTGCTCCTTATTGGGCTTGTTGGGACCACGCTGGTAATCAATGTACTAGCCTCCCAATCATTGCCCGCACGATCCCCGTACACACGGGATGCCAACAGCAGCGCCATCGTCCATTGAAACGGTGTGATGCTCTCACACTATGCCACACCTTCAATTGATTTCTGAATTGTTTTGATATCTCGTTCCATGACGGACTGGAAAGGACCTGGGCGAGATGAGACCCTTGCGGCGCATTTTCTATGTTCTCGGTGCTCGCCAGAGAGACGTTCACTCTACCAAACTTTTTCGAGCGATGCACAGGCCCGAGTCGACGGTTCTCAGATCAACAGCAGGCTGGAACATGATGAAAGAGAAGAACTCATGGTTACGTCTCCCACGTCCCGACAGGTTCTTAGTGCTCTCTCCGATCTCATTATCAAGAACCACTCCCATTGGATAAGTAAGGACCGGAGTCAGTTTCAACAGTATCCACCTTTCCTTCCCCGCTGGCTCGCGGATTGAAGATGCTGCTGCGCTGTGCACTGCGCTTCGTCCTTGCGTCGTCAGCTGCAGTTTACGCCACTGCACAGACCGCTTTCGCCACCATCGACGATAAGTACGGTGATTCGAGAACCGGGGCGGTTCCTTCCTATATTGGTGCTTTTACTCAGGCAAACCGCTTCCATACTTGAAGGGGTCGTGCCTTTGAAAGCTCATGTTCGGATTTGCAGAACTCCCAGTGCGATGGATGTAGGATCCAGGCCGACCCGACCAAAGCCTTCAATGGGACATGGCACGACGACTCGCAGTTTCCACAGGCTCCCCCCATCTCTTTTACGCTCGTTTTCAACGGTCCGTGGATGAGTCGCGAGATGCCGAGCGATACAACTCACTCGGGAACGAATAAAATCCAGGCACAGGGATAGACGTCTTCTTCATCCTCGCAAATACCGTCCCTTTCCCCAACACCATCACCAACACCAATCTCATCTTTACGCTCGACGGTCTCCCGAGCGGGACCTTCTCGCACAGTCCGAGTCTGTCCACGGATTTCCAATACAACGTGTCGGTGTACAGCGTCTCAGGGCTCCCGCAGGCCACGCATCAGCTGGTCGTGGCGTCGAACAATCAGACTGCAGGGTCTCTGATGCTGTTTGACTACGCCCGCTACACGTTCGTTCCCCGTTTCGTCATCGAGCGATCCGGCTGACTCATCCGCGTTGCTGTAAAAGGTACGACGTCGACGCGAGCGCTGCACCGAATTCGTCCCAGCAGACGGCCTCCGCGAAGTCGAAGCCCCGCCAGAGCAGTGCGATTGCAGCCGGGATATCAGTCCCCCTGCTCGTCCTCGCGGTCGGCGGGGGATGTGTTTATAGCTACCTGGCCCGCAAAAGGCGGAGCGGAGGCAGCCCCGCCTGGTCCAGTAGGCTCGGGAGAAGCCGCGACGAAGTGGGGAACACGACTGTGACAGATGAGGAATCAATGATCCAGGGCCACGGCTCTGCGCCGCTCTCCCTCCCTGGTGGGATGTCTGATGAGATCCGTCAGCAGCACCAGCAAGACGGGTCCGATACGATCTCGATCCCACCACCCGCTTATGAGGGCCACGAAGCCGCGAATCGAGAGCGGCTGGATAGTCCTGGGGCTGTCGGTCGAGCCTACGAGCCTCGGAGGCAGCTCCCAAGAATTCCGTCCTGATAGGCGGAAGCTCGACAGCTGCGGCGTGTTCCTTGGCGTTCAGGTCGGTCGATTTCGCTGTGTCTCGATGGCGTGGATCTCTCTCCATTTCGTAGACGTAGAATTCTGTCCGCCGACCTTGTCCTCACTTGTAACGACTCAGTCTATGCCTGTCTCTTCTTACACTATGTTTTTAACTCTTTGGCCATCGGGTTCATAGTTCTTCGAACAAATGTATCAAATAATATCAACAAGATGAAATCTTGAACACCGCACGTGATTGGTTGACTATTGATCCTGGGCGATAGTTCAAGAATTAACAAGGTCTTTGCGGATACCGCCCATCGAGCAGTCAACGTTGAAATTGAACGACGGCTACATTTCAGCCGACAGCCGCCAGTGGAACTCGACATTGGAGTTGGGCGCAGCCAGTGAGATGGATATCATTGTCTCAAAACCGGAGGATTCGGGTATAATATAGATTAGGGCTCTCATATAAATAGCTTAAAGCTCTTCAAGAAACGTTCAACCACTCTCTCCTCGCCCAGACCTCCGAGAATAACGTGTCAACGGCTTACTGAGGCTTACAAAATGTTAAGGTGAGCCGCTGTCCTATCCTTTTCCACGCACATGATTATACCCTATCCAATCGATCCAATACCGAGAGCCATATCGAGCCTCTGTGGCGAAAAACGACTCGAGACATGCATGGCATGACCCGTTTTATACATTTGATTCTTTGTAGAAGATTTCGTGACCCTGACATTTTTGAGGTTCATTTCAAGGCAGCCAGTGGCAAACTATATTCTACGTATATTAGATCTCAACAGAAAATTATCACATATCTGAGCCGTGGAGGAGGGTGAGAGTGAGAGAGGATAGAGTGCCAAATGATGGTGTAGCAAGTCTATGGTGGCGGTGTCTATGTAGGGAAGACCCGATCACATGGCAGATATCCTTGGACCTCGTGACTTGGCCACCGCAACTCGAACTTGGCTGCGACTCGGCCATTTTGATCCATGCGACTCAAAACCTTTGAAAGGCCAACCACCGATCATTTCTATTCTTCAGCCCGCAGTGCTTACATCACTTCGGTCTCACTTGCAGTGTATCACGATGGCCGAAGCATGCCCGGAGTAGAGGTCGACAAACACACATCTTTCTCGCCCGCGCGTTCCCCGAGTGCTCGCGCGACTAGATTCGTGTTTGTCATTCGTGCTGTGCACGACAGAGTATATCAAGGAGCTACAGTGGGCTGCAGTGGCCCCCAATAACCTGCTCTGCTCTCACCTCAAACACACAATCGACTCGAATCTTATAGTATGTCTGACGCCAAGAAGATCATATTCATCGTGGGAGGCACTGGCGCACAAGGTCTCGCCGTCATCGACGCGCTTCTCGCTCCTGACGCGGAAGGCAATGCTTCGCCTTACACCGTCCGCGTGCTGACTCGGAGCACGACCGGCGACCGGGCGAAGCAACTGGCTGCCAAAGGCGTCGAATTTGTGCAAGGCGAGTGCATCCGGGCTGCTTTTAGACAGAAGCTGATGCGCAGGGGCAGGAACGTTCGAGGACCAAGCCGCGATAGTCAAGGGTCTCGACGGTGCCTACGGCGCATACATCAACACCGATGGCTTCACAGTCGGCGAAGTCAGAGAGGTCGTAAGTCTCCTTTAGTTCAAGGTCTTTTGAACCCCGCTGAGCAGGTTACGCTCTAGCACGCGGGAATGTCCATCTTTGAAGCCGCCAAAGCGACACCAGGGCTCAAACACTACGTCTGGAGCAGCGTCATGTACGGATCGAAAGCCGGGGGGTTCAAGCCCGAGTACCGCTCTGGGCACCTGAACGGGAAAGGACTCGTGGCGGAGTGGGTGAGCACCCACGCGTCCGACGCCTCGCCCCAGGGACTGGCCTGGAGCATCGTCACCGCCGGGCCTTACACCGATATGCTCCCGTCCGTAAGTAGCGCGCTGTCACAAACCTGCTCGATCTGAACTAGCCCTCATAGGGTCTGCTGGAGCCACTCAATGTGCGCAAGGACGGGACCGTGGTTTTCGCTGCCCCTCTGGGGGATGGGATCATGCCCCTGGTCAGCCTCAAGGACATCGGCTGGTGGGCCCGCTACACGTTCGACCATCGTACCGAGACATCTGGTCGTGACCTCGACATCGTTTCGGAGAATATCACCTGGGATGATCTCGTCAAGGTGCGCGCCCACATGCACATTCTCTGTCAATGGAAAGAGTTCTTACGCTCTTCTTTTACTGCAGACTTTCACCAAAGTGACCGGCAAACCCGCTGTCTACGTTCCGCAAACGATCGATGAGTGGTTTGGCAACTTCCACATCGGTCTGAGCGATGCCAAGATCGGGACGGGTTCGCTGACCGTCAAGGAGAACTTTGCCGGGTTCTGGGCTGTTTTCCGAGACAGAAAGGTCGTGAAGGACGTCCAGTGGTGCAAGAGCGTGCACCCTGGCACCCAGTCTGTCGAGCAATGGATGCGGGAGAACAACTACCAGGGCAAGGGCCCTACGTCGTTGAAGGGAGTGGAGGATACCGGCAGATGGCCGGTCAACGAGGACGTCACGAGCAGACTCTGAGGCCAGTGCAGAGACCGATAGGCTTTCACGTTCCATCATGCTATCCACATGCATGTAAAGGATAACCATGAATTCTCAGCCACCGTTTCTTGTCTTCGCCCGCTAGACAATGTGTCACTTCTTGACAGTGTCTTCCTCCTTTGAATCATCCACTGGATGTCTTTTTGACTACATATAGGTAGTAATGGAAGGCTTCGCCCAACTCCTTGATCTGCAGTGTTGTATTGGAATGCATCAAAAAGCGTCGTCGGAAATGGGGTTGCCCAAAGGTAAGATATATGAAGGTCCCACCGGCTTTCAATGTGCTACAGGAGAGAAAGTCAGACTGCCGCCGAGAAAGTCATGTCAAGGCAATTGGCTTACCGGAGGACTTCGCTCACTTCTGCTGTGCAATCCTTGACCACTTGTTCTGGTGGGTCCTAGTCACTGATGTTCATGCATGCGCAGGAAGGGCGACAAAGCTACACATACCCAGACGTCGCCCTTGGCGGTCATCATGGCATCCATTGTGCCCTTGTCGATAGCGACGTCGAAAGATTCGTCAGGGAATTTAAGGTCACGGACGTCCATCTCGACCCCTGCAAAAGCGTCAGCGTTCTTAGAGGACGGCATTAAGACGGCTCACACTCCATGTCTGGCCGTGCTGTCTCGTGTCGCGTGCGCATCTGCTCAATCACGATACGCGAATACTGACGGCGGGGTGAGTTACCTGCCGTGAGCCAGCGGTTGATGATTGCAGTCGCGCACATCGGTATTCACGATGTTTTTGTATCCGTCGTCATACATCTGCGATCTCCTTCAACATGCATGCGATGGAATCAGGTCAAAGTTCGACTCACGTCTTGGGAGAGGGTAGAGTTTCCGCATCCCAGCATCAGAATACGCGCATCCTTATCTGGGATGAGCTCTCGCACGTACGGCGCAAGATCGGAGTAGGTCTTGAACCAGTCGAACGAGGCATCGTCCTCAGATTCCCTACATGGACCGATCGGGAAGAAGCTCCAAGTCTCTAGCAGAGGACCGACTTGGAATACCGCTCGTCCCTGTTTTGCAGAATTTAGATGGAATATTGAATTTCGGGGTGCAGGACACGCCAGTATGTCATATCGCCGTATCGTTCATTGGATGCGGGCAAATTGGCCGACATGGTTGCTCGATATCAAAAGCTTTCGGTGTGACGCGTCGTGACGCGACGTGGTGACTGTCACCCTCCTTTCACAATCTCCTTACCACGACCTGGAAAACCTTGGAACGAGTCTCTTCGCTCTTCTAGACCTTCTCCCAAGATAAATACTCGTCTTCTTTCAAAGAGACTACTGCGAGGAGGGGTGTGTTGCCGGGAGATTTCTTGTATACGGGTACGTGTCCGATTCTTACCTTCACCATTCCTGCTCAGCCTTATTCACTTTGCTTCAGACTACGCTATTTCATTTGAGCAGAAGCTTTTCCAGGTGTATTGCCAAGACGGAAGATCAAACTCACAAATGCCTGAAGACGTCTTTCTCTCATCTCCGCGCAAGGCTCCGGCACACCGGCGATCCGCCACCTCCTTGCGGGGCCCGTCAAGCCTGGCGAACACGCTCGACGGCGGAGAAGATGCCGGCAACGGGCGTTTCTCGCTCGCTCACGAACTCGCCGTTGCTATGATGCCCGAACCGAGCTCCGGGTCCAAGCTTCTCGCGGAAGAATTTGGGATAGAGTTCGACGAGGGCGCGGAGGGGATTGATGAGCCTGACCGGCCACAGACGCGGGTCGAGGACCCCACGTTTGCGGAACCAGATCCACAGTTGCTGGACTCGGCGGCTTTTGACCATGGCTCAACGGAGCCACCCGACTTTGGTAGTGACCCGACATTCGCCTCTCCGTCGTCTGTGGCGCCCAAAGAGGAGGCTCCAGTATCGCAGGATGCGATGGAGACTCTGGCCCAAGATCTGAAGTCTACCGACAACTTCCTAGCTCACCTACGACACATCGATGGTGACGCGCCTACATCTGCTCCAGCCGCATCCTCCTCCTCGTCACAACCCGCCCTTGAACAGCTCGCCTCGGACGTCATTCGAAGATACAATGACACGGCCCGGGACCGCGAAAGTCAAGTCCGGGAACTGCTTGAATACGAACGCGAATTTCGTCGCATTGCTGGCGAAGTGGGCGGTCAGGACGTGCTTGGCCATCTAGACGCTTTGCCCGAACACGAGAGCGAGGTTGAAGCTGCTCCGCCTTCATCTAAGCACAGCGCTGTTCATGAGGATGAGCCCGCACCACCACCAGTACGGCCGAGCCACGCTCGTGCTCTGTCCACAGACTGGGAGGTCGACCCAGACGCTGATGGACTGGACCCGGCGTTCAATCAGCAAGACGACGAAGACGCGGAAACATCACCTCCCGCCGCCCAACTGGGCTTCTCCCTGTCGCCCCCAATCACAGCAGCAACGCCTCGAGTGGCAGGCCGCAAGCCTGGTCCAGCAGCTGCAGCCCAGCTTTCTGAGCTGCGATCTCTGACAGCCTCGCTCGTTTCCTCGCTGACCAGTGTGTCGGAACAGGCCCAGGTCAACGGTGCCGCCACAGCCGAAGCCGGTCGGAAGCTGCGGGCGCTGAGAAACCGGCTCGGAGGTTGGAGGACTGAGTGGGAAGGCGCCGAACGAAGCCGGGGGCGCATCGAGCGGTGGGAGGCTGGTGAGGCTCTGGAGCTTGGCGGAGATGCCCCCGCTGCTCTCGGATCAAAACGTGTGGACGGGCGCAAGATAGTCGAAGAGCACTTGCATGCGTTCGAGCTCGCACTTGCTGATGCTGCATCCAAGACCCAGGCCATGATGGCTGCTTCATAGTTGCTGGTCTCTATTTTTTTTTTGCTTTCCTAGAGGATGGAGGTGGATTAGTACGTACTACTTAAAGATCTCGTTTCACTATTCGATATCTCAGCAGTCCTGTTGCTTTACATATATATCATCGCATGTATTTTCAAATGGCTAGACCTTGGACTGTCAATGGAGACGTTTACCGGCTGCAGATGCAGTGTTTGCTGGTGGCGTTCGGCTTCTACCGCGGCTATCCTCAGCGTTTCGGCCCGGGTTTCCTCAAAGGCTGAAGGACCCTGACCCTGATTGTTGTTGTTCTTCCGCGTCTACAAATTGGGTGCCGGCTAGCAACACTCCAGCTTCGTAGCCACTTCATTTCCCTGACAGTGTCTAAACCAGTGTGGAAATCCTGGGCGAGGGAAGGAAGACCTGGACACTGTTTGAACCCGTGCTCGAGGCAGCCAATTCTCATTCCGTGTGCGATATGACTGGATGATCACTTCATCATTGCATCACTGATGCATGATCTACACTTGCCCACAGCCAACACTGCGACCATAATCAGGCAGGCTCGAATTGCTCGAATCTCATATCTGATTCCTCGTGAATAAAAGTACAACATGCAACATTTCATATTCAATATTTGCTCCTCCTCCGTCGGAAACACCGGGAAATCGCGTTCGCACTGACGACGATGAGGGCCCCGACGACCAGGGCCAGGGCGCCGACACGGACAACGACCGCACCCGGAGACTCCCCGCGTCCGATGCCCATCGCGAAACTAGACAGAGGCCACACATGAGTTGAGGCTGCGAGCACCGCATGCGCACACGTGGCGGGACTCACCCAGTGGTGGACGTCAGCGGGCCCACTCCCGCCATCATGTCGAGGGGGAAGAGCGCCGTGCGGTCGATGGCGTCGGGTGCAGGGAGGAGGTGGCCATCCACGAGGACAGGCCGGGGGGACCCGTCGCCGCCGCTCGTCGGCCTGCGCGTGCTGCGGCTCGTGGCGACCGCAGGCGCGGGATCCTCATCGCGCCCCTCCTCCAGATGGCCGTTGACCAGGATGGGCCGCGGTGCGGGCTTTCCCCCGCTTGTGGTGCCCCGATGGCCGCTGCGCATCCTCCGTGGTGTATCGGTCGGGGGTGGGATCTACAAACACGCTGAGCATGCGGGTGCAAGGGCCGGAAGCGGCGTGGAGGGCAGGTACCACGACAGGCGGCATCGCTGGGGAGTACCGTAAGTATGTGGGGTTTCGACACGGGCTGAATGTGCGAACTCCTCTGCTGTCAAGTACTTATCCCGGACCTAAGCAGCGCTTCGCAACTTCTGACGTACGCCGTGAACGCATCGCCCAAGTTGGGCCTGCTCGGGCGTGGTAACAGCCTGTAACAACAACAACAACAACAGCTCGACTGAAGCTGCATTTCACCCTCCTTAACGCCATTCCTGGTCCCATGTTACCTCCATCTCACTGCACCCCGGATCCACGGAAGGGAGCGTCGATTCATCTGGAACGTCACGATGCAGTCTCGTGGTCTGATTCTGCCCTGCGATCGAAGAGCGTCCCGCCGATATGGCCGTACATACCCTCGGACGAGAGTCACGGGTCTGACATTATCATCGTATTTGATGGGGAACCTCCGCAGACGATGCTTATATAATCAATCAGATTAACTTCTCGCCAAGTATGTTCGAAGGAGCGCACCCGTGTATCGACGATGTCCGAACAATCTGTCAGAGTCTTTAATATATATTGCAGATGCTCGAGACTATGTTCTGATAAGTGTCTATACTCGATTCAGTCAGCTTACAAGTTGATCAAGCATACGCCTAATTTCACAATTCCGACACTAATTGGAAAGCAAATGAAAAATTCGCTTAGGTCGTCCTACAGTGTACTGTATCATAATCTCAAATATCCCGGAAATAATTCGGCCAAAGAATTAATAATTGCATGAATGGATTGGTGCGAAAGAATCTCGTCTTGATCCATTTGTCAGGTGGTGAATTACATCAACCGTTGACTGCCACAACTCTCCATGACAGCATCGGAGAAGACAGAAAGCTGGAATTAATGGGGAAAACTGCACTCAGGGATGTCCGGAGTTGGGATCCTGATATTGCGGCCCAGAGCCGAGGGGCATCATCAGGGATGTGAAAATTGGCTAAGAACAAGTGGATATATAGTCTATGTTAGTCTATGTTCTGGTTCAATTTTAGGAATTCTATGACCGCTCGAAGACTCGGTGACCTTTGCTAGGGGCTCGGTCTACCATTTTGGGAACCCCGTCAATCATTATCCCAAGCGTGACCAAAGAGAGACCTCCTGGTGGGATCCGATTCTTTGCTTCATCCATACTTACAAAATAATATAACATACACCACTCAGCGATTCCGCGCGCGCAACCACACACGCACATTTCTTCTCTTCACTCACGTAACCCCGCTCTCGCGGCCGTCGACGAGCCGCATCTGGCTCTCCCCAGCCTCGGCCTGCGCGGCATTGTAGCCGAGTCCGCCCAGCCCCCAGCGTACGGGCGTCCCGGCGCCCGCCTGCCGCTCGCGCACGGCGTCCGCGATCTCGCGGTGCGTGCGGACCCACTCCTGGCGGTCGCGCGTGCGGCGGCGGCGGTTGTACAGGAGGCGGGACGCGAGGACCGCGAAGAGGACGAGGAGGATGAGGATGGGGGTGAGGACCGCGGCGAGGAGCTGGGGACGGGAGAGCGCGTGATGAGATGCTAATGATGATAATGCGGGCGATGAGGGAAGTGATGATAATGCTGATGCTGATGGTAAGAGGATAATATCAGAGTCCGATGGGACAGGCAGTGTGTACGGCAACGTCGACGCGACACTGGGACTGGTCTGCGAGGGGACAAGGGGGAGACCAACTTGCGGGAACACCGTAGTTGTGACCATCGCAGACGTCGTTGCTGTCTTGTGGAGAGATATTGGAGTCGCCGTGAAGTCCGAGCTTCCTCTGTCCCCATTTAGTGAGTAAGCCGAACGACAGCTGCCGCAGTGTCACTCGACGACGCACCCCGCCTGTCCCTGCGCCGGATATGAGTCTTTGCAGTCTCCGTCCCCATGTCGCTCCGCCAAGACGAGTGTCCCGTCGGACGAGCCGGTGCAAGTGGATCCGGAGCCAGTCCTGGATGCTTGCTGTCGCTTGCGAGCCAGCATCGAGAAGAACGAAGGGAGTAGAGGGGGAGGGGTGGGAGTGTCGCCAGCGTTCCAGCTCTGGCTGTTCCAGAAGCGCTGCTGCTTCCCAGACTCAGCCTTAAGTATAGCATCTCGGCGACCATCCTCTGATCATCCATCCATCTAATCTATCTGCGAGCAACGGGCGGTGGATGTCAGTCAACTGGTGTCTGGTGTTCAGCGGAGCTGCTCTGGCAGCTCATCAATTGGGTGGTGTGTGGCTTGATCTGTGTCCGCGATCGTTCCACCACTAGCATATACCAATGATGATAATTCACAAAGGACTCTGAAACTCATTTTCAGACTGATACCGAATGATATACAGCAGACGAGTCCACCAAACTCACAGGCCGATAATGCTGCACGCACAACGGAGACTGCGATCGCACACTGGTCATCGAAGGAGGAGACGCAACCGCGTCGAACATATCGTACTGCTCATCGACGAACGGATCCACGTCCTCGCCGCTCTGCGCACAGGCAGAGCTGGCGCGGGACGTGCCGCGGCTCGGCGGCAGCGTCCCGGTCGCGCCCGGAGCAGGCGTGTTGACCTGCCGCACGGCATCGGCGATCTCGCGGTGCGTGCGCTCCCACGCGCGTCTGTCGCGCCGCCGGCGGAAGCGCTTGTACAACGCCCAGCCAGCCACGGCGCCTACTACGGCGACGAGCAGGGCGACGACGATGCCGATGATGATGGATTTGCGGTGTGTCGAGGTGTTGCCTGCAAGGGGAGAGGAGGAGGAGGGAGAGGGAGAGGAGGGAGAGGATGATAGTTGCCTTGCGAGAGATTCAGTGAGGGCATTAGGAGGGGAGGCCGACGGCGGGAAAGGGACGGTGGATCTGGCGGATGTCGGTGTCGGCGTCGGACCGGGCTTGAGGGGTGGGCTGGAAGTGGGAGAACTAAGCGGGGGACTCGGGGGCGGCGAGGAAGCATCCGATGTCTTCTCAGGTTCCAGAGTCGAGGCGATGGCGCTGTTCGTGGGTGTGGTGCTGCTGGGGCTTTGAGGAGTGGTGTCAAAATCCACCTTTACGGTTGTTGTCGAATTTAAGACCGTCATCCCCGTTCTAACATGCATGTGTGAGCAACATTCTGGCGGCACGAGTCACATGGGACGAGACGAAAACGCACGTAGCAGAAGTAGTCACTGCGTCCGTCATATTGGAAGCAGTAGGAGCAGGAGCACCCGAGCTGGAAACACCGCTTGAATGCACCTTACTCGCCGCATTTTGGATCGGCGAGGTGGCAGAAAGCCACCTCGAAGGGATGGGATGCTCCGCGCGAAAAGCAGCAGCGAGCATCGGAAGCAGCAGCAGCCAGTGACACGAGTGCATGGTTGGAAAGAACGAACGAACGAGAAGTGGTTCCAGGGGCCCCGAGCGGGATGCAATCATGGGCTTATTACGGTAGCATGTCCTTGCGACGGGGCAGTGCGCAATCACACACACGCTGGGGGGCAGCGTAAATCAAGCACAATCCGGTTCCCAGCATGTCGATGTTCAGAATATCTTGCTCTCAGTTCCCAAAGCCTCGCGCGCATGGAAAGCAGTGGAAGGGCCCTGATTTGCGGATCCTCAGAGTAGACGGTGACAGAGCTGATCATAGTTCCGCGCGACCCCTGCCGCTCCCGTCGGGAAACCATCTGCGTGAAATGTGGGATCGACATCTGGATTCTCGTCACGACACAGGAGCTGCATCAGCGTTTCGCGCGTCTTTATGTTTCGCTGGCGCTGACGGCAGGCAAGAGCTATGGGCTTGACGTGCGTGGAGCCGATAAATGGAACGACTGTAAGGTTACGCGGGAGTGTTTGCAGTATCAAGATGTGGATGGTAGCAGGGACTTGGAGGGGAGACGACAAAGATGATCATGATCACATGTTCCCGATTCATTGACGAATAAAGATACGTACATACAGTTACTTGAAATGCTACTTGGTGCTCCCGCTACGACCCGCTAGCTTACTACAGGCCTCGTGACCTCCAGAAGCATCGTCACCGGCCGCGACTCCGCAATCGCAGGCTCGTCGTGGTCGACAGCCGGGGAGGAATTCGCGTGGTACGGGTGCAGATGCATGTCCATGTCCATATCCAGCTCCCGCTCAGCCATATCGGGGTGATGGATGTCCGAGTCCCCGTCCCATCCTGGGTGCAGGTACTCAGAGTCATCGGCGGGCGCGAGCGCGATAGGGTCCGCCATGTTCACTACACTCGCCTCGGAGCGCGAGGGGACCTCCGAGCTGCGGTTCGACACTGGCACATTCGGCTCCTCGTGATCGTCTTCGTCGTCGTGCCACCCCGAGCGCAAGGCGTCCATAGTGGGGTTCCGAGCGCCCGAGTCGAATGCAATCCTCGGTGCCGGAGGTCTCACCGGAATAACATCGGGTTTCTCAGCCAGCACGGGCACGGCTGGGCTCGGCGGAGGACGGGCGGCAGCGGCGGCGGAGGAGGGCGGGGAGGAGGACGGGCCCCAGAAGGACCACAGCCCTGTCGGCGAGGAATCCATTTCCGGCAGACGGCTGCCTGCCCATCGGATCTTCTCCTGATGCGCCCGCTGTTGCCGGCGACGGCACACGACGAACAGCGCCAGGCCCAGCAGCACACACCCAGCAACGACTGGAAGAATGATCTCGAGCAGCAGCAGCTTCGGTTGCGCGGACCTCGAGGTCGGCGCTGGGGTTGTGCTGTTATTTGCACCCGCAGGTGTCGCTGCGAGGGAGGGCGTAGACGTCACTGATCTGAGCCGCTGTGAGCAAGATACTGCGGGATGCTCGACGGAAACACGCACACCGAGGGCTCTGCTACCGCCAACGTAGCCGGCAGCGAGGCGAGCACAGACATCGTCGAGGCGGAGAAAAATAGTCGGGTCGAGGTCGTCCTAAGATGGTGCGGGGGGTCAGTCCTATCGCGCAAGTAGCAGAGTGGGCAGGAGACGCACGAGGACTGGCCGACCGACGGCGTCGCCGTGAGCGCCTGGGTGTCATCCCGCACACCGTGCCCTCCCAGCGCATGTCCTAATCGGAATCGTGCGGTAGCAAGACCATTGTTGGCTAGGAGCGTGGCGAGAAGTATCAGAGGATTGTAGATCGGATTGCGCATCTGTTGACGTCCCGTCTCAACAACCTGTACAGAGCACGGACGGATGTGAGATCCACATACAGTACACCAAAATTGGACCAGCCACTCTGCGTCTCACGTACCGTGCGCGAGTGAGTTCAGAAGGGAAAGATGGGAGGCGCTGCCAGACAGGCAGTGATCACCATGCGAAGAACATAGGTCTCCGGAAAGAACAACCATCCATCCATCCAACCATGCGCTGCCTGTAACTTGTTGCAGCTGATGTTGCCCCCGCGCGTCGTCCGTCGATCCTGATTCGTGATCGGAATCACCACCGTCGCAACGGTAGATGCTTCACGGAACTGAATGGCAGATGAGCAGTACGAAGGTCGGATAGCAAAATGAGATGTGTGCAAGCGGCGGTCATGTCATAACGGACCAGAAGGTAAATAAGCTATGTCCTATACTTACGCACGACGTGATCACTTGATTATGTCGAGCGAACTCCGCCGATCGGCTCGAAAAGGAAATATTGGTGGTAGACAACACCGGGGAGAGAACGCCGGGGGGCATTCCATAGCACTTCAGCAGCGAAAAGTACGTATAGACAAAGAAGGCGCACAAACATATAAGCGCGGAGATATGTGCAAATGTCAGAACGAGCGGCGGATGTAACGAGAGGAACACGACGTGAGGCAGTCCGATACAGCTTGGTCCGTGTAGATGGAGATTAGATGGGATGGTAATTAATAACTATGAAGAGGAGAAAGAAAGCCGTCACCGTCATCATATGGCCGTGTCCGGTGTCGTCGAAGTGATGCTGGCATATCTCGTCCGGGGTAGACTGCCGTCTGCTTCTCGTGCGAAGCCCATGGGCAGGAGGACCCCAAGATCGCTGAGATCTACGGTGGAGGACTGGCGGGAGAGAGCCAACGCTTGGGTTGCTGCGTCGGGACCATACGCATCGGCAACATTCCTGCAAGTAACATATAAGCATCATTCTACGTGATGACGACGAGCTGCACACACGAGATGTAGTTTTCCATGATGGCCATAACCGCGCCGGCGTCCAGACGGTAAGCTTTGGGCGTCATGCCCTTGCCGAAACGGTATGTGACGTGGTTCGAGCACAGGAGCGCCGACACGATAGCGATGACGTTGTATCCGAACAGTGAGAAGATCGACACATACCACCACCGCAACACCTTGTGCTCAAAGCGGAAGTACGTGCTCCGGCACCCAGGCAGCACCGACCGTGCATAACATGTGGAGCTGATGCTCGCCTCAACGAAGGGGCTGAAGTATCCACAGCAGCTCAGAGCGTTCTGGATCCGCCGCCGAGCATCGACGTCGAACGACTGGGACCACTGGAAGTTGAGCTTGCCTTGCAGATTAAGCGAGTACTTCTTGTATGACAGGTACCCTGGGACCACCAGGAAAGCGAGGCTGATCCATAGAAAGAAGGTATAGAGCGCGAGGAAGGACCGGTTGTTGAGCATAACGCCTGCCCAGCCAAATATGCATGTGAACAGAGCAAGGGAGGCCGCGGCCGTCGTAAATGCCAACTCGGGCCGATTGGCGACACGGACGATGTCCGACTGATCTATGATGTCCAGCCATATGAGGATGCACCAGATCATTCCAACGAGCGCCAGTAGCGAGTACTTGAGAAATGATCAGCCCACGGGGTGGGAGGGAGCGATCAGAAACAGGGTATCGCACCAGGGAATTAGTCGCGAACAGAATCCACTTGAATCTCGTCCACCTCGAATGGGGATCCGTCTTATCCAAGAGCCCGTGCCTCCCGGTGTGCGGCTGCAAATCGTCGCGGTCATCAGGCATCCGCGCCTCACCCCTTTTGAACGCATCCACGCCTCCCCCACGGGCCATCGTCGGTATCCGCTTCAGCCCTGCCTTCCGCTTCCGCGGCCGCACTTTCGCTCCCCCACTCGTGATAGCACCCGAGAACTTGGTCGGGAGGTAGTTGATCGAGAGCGACGTCGACGCGCGCGGGTTCTCAGGGTTGAAGCCAGCGAAGAGATTCTCGTTTAGTCCGGCAAAAGAGGACGCGCGCGACCGGGCGCCTGATGACATCGGCCGACCGAAGGCGGACGGCGGCGTTTGCGATCGGGAAGAGCCGGAGTTGGCGGCCAGGGCTCGTGGGGGCTCGAACATCGTTGACGAGTCGAAATCTTCGGGTGATATCCAGCTCAGAGGCTGAGCCGTGTCTGCACGGGCATTTCCCGGTCGTGCGAGCGGGAGCGATGAAGATGACGGCCTGGGAAGGGGGTGATAAGCGCAGGAGCGGACGAGCCCGCACCAGCCAGGCAGCACTCACATTGATGGCGAGGACTGTAAAAACACGGCCCCGTGCTCAACCAAGACACCGCGGAACGTGAGGGAACGCACGCACCATGAGAAATGTGCTGCTCGTCGCTGACATTTCCTGACCATGTCCAGCGCCGTGATCCCTTGAGGACGACTCGGTGGACGGTGACGAGGGCGGGGAGGGCATGATGTGTTGGCCGGGAAAGAACACGGGAGCTGCTGGCCGGAAGGAAGAAGTGTGAGGCAGGTGACCGAATCAAAGCGGTTCTGTTATTCATCCGGAGATAGTCCCGGCCATCAACGTTTCGGGTGGCCGCCTGAAATTACCTCGCGTCGACTTGCAGAACAAGACGGGTGCAGATCATCTTCCAGCACCAAGCGGATTTCCACAACCCGCGTATGGGGCCGGGTCTCAGCTTCGTCTAGCCAGACGTCTTCTAAGGCTCATCGTTCGGATGAAACAGCATACTCGGGTTTGCCCACCAACTAAACAGTCTAAACCATTCAAATTGTACATATGCTGCCATTTAACAGTCGTCAATGCACGGAACTCAGCATCACTGTCGCCAGTGCATGCTATGCAGATGACGTGCATTACAAATGAATCGGAGATGAACCAGCGAAATTGATTGTTTCCAGCGCAGACAGTATGTATGGTACAGCAATCCGGAGGGATCCCTGAGATTGCACTGGCGACAGGTATCGTATCCTGATCCCCGCAATGGTTGTCGGCGGGTCGACTGTTCAAAACCCAAGCTGTCGCAAAAAGCGATTTCGTCGTCTTCCACCGCTTGATCAGACAGCCGGAATCACGACGTCGACAAGCGCCGAGTCGCACGATTTGTCGGCGGCCATTGAGTTCACTATCTAGGTCCTGTGAGCACCAGGAATTCCCGATACACAACATTCCGGACATACTTGGACAGCTCCTTGATCGCCTCCCTCTCCTCCTTGAGAGCGGTCTTGAGCTTTTCCACCTGCACTGTCATGGCCGTATGCCCGCTCTGCGCCGCGGAGGTGCGTGCCTGGAAGTCGTTCAGGAAGAGGTCGAGCCGCTTTTGCGCGGCTTTCGTTGTGATCGGCCTGCTGGTAAGAGGCTGTATGCGCACAGGAGGATTCAGCGGCGCGTCCATAGTGAGGGCGTGAAGCGCAAAGAACTTCTAGATGGTGGTCACTGATGTGACGTGACCGCCACTGACGCGGTCACATGACGTATCTTTTGTGCTTGACGGCTCAGATATGAACTAAGCGATTACGCTGGCGATTGTCAAGGCACATGTTATGTTGATGAAGCGATTGATTCTTGGTTACGAGCATGAGTCAACACATGTACGGTATGGATCGTCGCGAGGTTATGAATATGACGTAACTCAGTGAAGTCCGGGTCAGTTGAATCAGGGGAGTAACATTCAAGCTCTACGATAGTTCCCTAAAAGTCCCTCTCTTATGCAAGGACTGCGGACTCCCCACCCTTCGTGTATCCCTCTCGCATTCCTTATTCGCCATCGAGACCAGGGCAGCACTTTCGCATCCACTGCAGGGCCTTGACGACGCCCTTCTTGTCAAGAGAGACGGCCAGAACACAGGAAATTTAGTCTAGAGACCGGCTAAGTCAACGTAAAACCTGTCGAGATAGAAGGCCTTTCAGGTCTAGATAGCTGGATCATCTTCACAAAAGGTGACAACTGAGGAATTTGGGGGCTGCGCATGATCACTGAAGTTGTCGGTCGTAGTTTCACTCAAAGACACCTCTTCCAGACCGCGTTCCAATGTAGGTCCGGGCGTGCAAGCTAGCAGAATTTTAAAGACTGAGAACAGATCCACTGCAGTCGATCTAATGTTCTAGCGTTGGAAAACTCTGGGCCATTGACAGCCTGGTATGGGAATGCTGCCTAGCGCAAGGGCCCAAAGTAGTCAAACATCGCTAGCCATGTGTTTGTACTGTAGTAGACGATACAGCACATCCAAGGTCGAGCTGTCAATCTCTTGAACGGTGAAAGGATCTGTCGGGTTAGGTCAGGCGTATGGCTGTCAGAGACCACGTCTTGTGGTAAGAAATGCCTCGGGAAACCATTGGGGTGCATGCCACTCTGTTCCTGCAAGCTCTGCCACAGTCATGGCAGCGATGACTGCCGCACAAGAGTAGGCACGTGGCATCCCATGTCCAGAGTAACCAGCAGAAATGTACTGTCCTTCATGCTGACTCAATGGCCCCACCTGGAGTCACATCAGTCTCCGTGAAGTACGGCAGTGATAGGGCACCCACGAAAGGATCGCGGAGACGCGTAAATCCCATGATTCTGGTCTTCAAAAAGGTAAGATAGATCAGATGGCACTGCGACCCCTACTCACCCACTCCATTTCCGGCTCGCCTTCCCCCTCAAACTTGCCCGGGAAGGCCGCGGGAAGAAACTTGCGTAGCGCCAATCCGACACGCGAGTCGACCGTCGAGTCGTCCGCGTTGTAAAACTCAAAGTCATCTGAGACCTCCCGCCCTCCACCGAGAATGACAAGCGGTTTCTCGGTCGGGACCGTGACGGGCCGCGGGAACCAGTACTCAAATCCCTCGTTCCCATCCCACGAGCACTTCGACAAAGTAGGGATGTCGACCGAGGCTCGGATAGCCGCGACCTGGCCCCGAGTTGGAACAATGCCGTCGGGACCAGCGAGCTGCGGCAGTAGGTGGGATGCGTAAGCGTTTGTAGCATGGATGATATGTGAACAGTGCACGAGACCGCGCGGAGTCTCGATTCGCCAGCGTCGGTTCTCAGATGGAGATTCCTCGATTGAGAGGGCCGGCGTACGAGTGTGGATGCTGAGCTGGAGATGCTCTTCGGCAAGCAGAAAGAGCTTTGTGACCAGCTTGAGTGGCCAGAGGTTAAAGCCACTGAAGTGGACTCCCGGGTAAGAGACGCCATACGTCTGTATCCAGCGTCAGCATCGAATGTACACTTGACCGGAGAAGACACCCGCACACTTTCCATCTCTTCTGCGGTCAACCAGACGATCTCACGCAAAGCAAGACCAGAAGCTTTTGCAGCTTCATAATCAGCATTCGCACTCCTCTCCTCCTCCGGTGTGAAGAAGACAGTGGTGTGTCCGCCCTCGACCAGATCGACAGCTTCCGCCCACCCCTGTGTGCGAATGAGGGACACTATCTCGGACTGCGTGCGATTCTCCATCTCGAACGACCGCATAGCCTCCTCAGATCCATATTTCGCTGCATAGTCGCAAAACTCGAGGAAAACCGCGGAGGTGAGATGCCCGCCGTTGCGGCCTGGATGCGGATCAGACTTGGGTCACGGATGGAGGTGCAAGGGTCACTCGCCTGTAGCACCAGAGCCTGTGGAGGATGAGAAGCATCAACACCAATCTATGCACCGCATTCAATCCTCACAGAAGTCGCGTGCCTCCAGTATCGTCACCTTCACATCTTTCCGCAGCTCCCCCGCCTGCACAGCGCGCGAGAGGTGATAAGCAGCAGAGACACCGGTGATCCCCGATCCAATGATGCAGATGTCCGTGTCAGAGGTGAGCGGACCGTCGCTCCCTCGACTCGCTAGCGGATTGACGCCGGGAGAGTCGATCCAGAACGAGCGGGTTGGATGAGGGACGGGAAGAGTGGGTCGCCCGGTCTTTGGGGTGTCGAAACTCGATTGCGAGGAGGACATCTGGCCCAGCGGGACTGCTGATGAGACTCCCATGGTGCGAGATGTAGACAGTTGCTGGTTGGAAGCGCTCGATAGTGACTGCCACTCGATCGGTAGACAAGTCTGGACCGGAACGCGATCGGATGACCGGCTTTACCCGACATGATCACTATTGGGACATACGCTTCGACTATGTTGCTAGGGGCCTGCAGAGTTTCATTCGCTGACTGCGCCCTACGCAGTAAAGCCCACCTAAGTTCGTATCTGAAATGCAACAGTCGAGGCTGGTGACCGTCGCAAAGCCCAATCCGCAGCACGTGCGGATTATGAGCAGGGTCACCTGACACGCTTAATCACCGCAGACACCGTATGTAAGCGATTGCGACTCTGATGATGCAGTGCCACTCATTGCATGTTTCCAGCTGCGCTTCGCTCTCAACGTGGATATAAGAGCGCCGCGAACGCCAGCAAGCTCAGATCACCTCTGCACCCGCATCCGCACCCCGCCCCGCGATCCCCCCTCAGACTCACTTCGCTGCAACACCACGCTCGAAGCATGGCTACTTCCAAGGTTGAGAAGACTGAGGACGAATGGCGCGCCATCCTGTCTCCGGAGCAGGTGAGGCCGACATGACCTTGCCAAGTTCGAGAAAGTTCCCTGAACGTGCTTCGCAGTTCCGTATCATCCGCCAGAAGGGCACGGAGATGGCTGGCTCGGGAGAATACGACAAGCATTACGACGAGGGCGTGTACGACTGTGCGGGGTGCGGCACCCCGTTGTACAAGAGCGCCACAAAGTTCAAGGTCAGCACTACTGTTGATCTGGTCCCATACCCCCGACTCACGCGCGTCGATGCAGAGCGGCTGCGGCTGGCCGGCGTTCTTCGACGCTATCCCCGGCGCTGTGACGCGCCATGTCGACAAGAGCTGGGGCATGGAGCGTATCGAGATCGTGTGCACTGCCTGCGGCGGCCACCTCGGGCACGTCTTCAAGGGCGAGAAGTTCCCCACTCCCAGTGCGTCTTGTGTCCGCTTCAACCCGAATCTCAGATCGTTCATGTCCCCTCAGCCGATGAGCGACACTGCGTGAATTCCGTGTCGCTCAAATTCAATCCGCAAGAAGGCGCCGGTAAATTCGAGTGAGCGTGCTGCTTCTCCCACGTCGCGCGCTGAGCAACGCTCCAAGACCGCCTCCGCGCACAGGCTTCTTCTCAAGACTGTTCGGCAGTTTGTAAACGAAACGACAATGTCATGTATCCGTTGTGTAGGATTATAAATGCTTCTCGCTGATATCCACCGACTCGATGTCCACTCCGTCCTTGAACCATCGCTCCTCATCCGAGATGGCGAGGTCGTTGCCCGACATCATCCGTTTGCGCATCAGTCCGGAGGGATCGAACGTCCAATCCTAAAGCATCGCATTCGCTATAAGCCATAGCTCACTCGCTCGAAATAAGACGCACTTCCAGGCCATACGTCCTGTGCCACTGCCCAGTCCCGTCCGATCGCTCGTTCCATTCATAGAAGAACTAACTAGCTATAAGCACCTGCCCGGCTCGTCCGCCGCGCATCCCACACTCACCTGCACGGCGATCCTGTTGTCTTGGAACGCAAACAGTTCCTTCCTGAGCACATAGCGATGCTCTTTGGCCCATTTCTCCGTCAGGAACTGCTCGACTTGCTCCCGACCCTGGACGAACGAGGTGCGGTTGCGCCAGATCGTGTCCGGGGTGTATGCTAGCGCGACCTTGACGGGATCGCACGTGTTCCACAGGTTCTGCGCGTTTTTGACTTTCTGGAGTGCAGTGGCTGCCGTGAACGGCGGTGCGAGGGACATCGGATGCGTGGAAGGGGATTTAGACAGATAAAGAGGGCGGCTGAGTCAGATGATGACAATTCAGACACGGTGATGCATAAGCTTCAGAAACAAATGTAGCCATTCGAATAATGATACTGTATGCACGTATGCGGGTGGGGATATCGTGTGATAGTGGGATGCCAACTGGTATCTAGTCCGAAAACCTGATCACGGCCCAGATCAGGAGCGCCGTCACAGCGAATATCGCCACTACTCCTGCTGAGACGTACATCAGCAGCTCGGGCAGCGCGGCCTGCACCGGCGGTTGGCGTGTGCTGGCGCCCGTTCCAAGCTCTGCACGCAGCCTCTCGACACGAAGCTTGGTGTCTCGAACCTCATCCGCCTTCTTGTATTGGTTGAAGGTCCGTCCGCGAGCATCATCAGCGTTGATCGACTGGGTCGTGGACCCCCCGCCACCAGACAAGACAACGAACGACGGGTAGTGATGCTCACACCACTGTTCAATCTGTGCCAACCCTCAGTCCAGTGGAAAGGAGCACAGAAAGGGGCGACAACATACCTTTCCACAGGCGACACTGAGCCGGAGGTAATTGGGGTCCGAAGGAAGAGCACGGCCGTGGATCTTGCGGGCATACTCGCGGAAGATGATAGACACCTCGCGAGGGTTGGTCGCCCGCATGATCAGGCCGGCGGCCTCAGCTTTGCGGATTTTGATATTTGTCTGGAACATGCGCGGGTTCATAAAACATAGATCGAGCGTCGCCAGAGCCATCACAGCCGGGATAGCACAGAAATTAAAGATGCTCTGGTTCTTGAGCATGCGCAGGTAGTCCAGAGCATCTGTCGCATGCCGGAGCGACGTCAGGACCATGGCGCTCTGGACCCACAGCGCTCGTTGTTGCGTGGCCGAGTCCCATACGGTGCCGGGCGGAGGAGCACGCATTTCCTCCATCGTCGAGAATCCACCACCATATTTTTCGTCGCCCCAGATCGCGCGCGGCCAGAAGTACCGCTTGTCATCCACATCCTCCCGGTAGTCGCGAATGATGTTGGTCTTCTGGAGCAGAAGACCCATGGAGTTGGACAGCTCGAGCTGGTCCTTGATCGTGGGAGACTCTTTCCCGGATGCGGAGAACAGGGCGGAAAGGCCCTCCCCGACAAGACCGGCAACGTAATGACAGTATAAGTCAAAATCCGCAATGGAATCGAGGTACGGGTCGGCCTTCTCGTTCGCCTCGCGCGCAATGAAGTCGGCCATCCCCATGCCCATCTTGCGGGCGATGGAGAGAATGGCGTCCCGATATGGCGCGTCCAAATGGTCCAGTTCCTCCACGACGACATCGTATTCGACCAGGAGTTGACGGTCCTTTTCCTTGGGACCGGATCCGTCGTAAGCTTCCCGTCGTTTGTAGAAGTCAAGCAATAGCGGTTCCTTGACAGAGGCCGGAATCGTCATGTCGTCCTCGATGGTATCAAGCGCTCGTAACACGAGGTAGAACAGGCAAACCTGTAGACGGGTTAACAGAGCTTTAATCTTTTGAGTGCTTTGAAGGCCATAGGGATGAGCCAACAACAACATGGAAGTTCATCATCGAGACTGAGCTCTGTCCAATGTGTGGTGGACAAAATCGAAACTCACTGCACGCGCCATGTCCCCATCCAGTTCCTTGATGACGGAAGAGAAACTCCGGCTCGTCATGTCGAGGAAGTCCCAACACCTCCGCATGCTCGCTCGGTCCCACCCTGACGTGATGTGCTCCCTCTGCGCAGTGATGTCGCGCTTTTGCTCATACCAGATTTTGTACTGAAGCAGAGTCCGGAATTCGAGCGGGTGGGTGAGCAGGAGGAGAAGGTACGTGGAGACGCCCATGGCTGTGAGCGGGAAGAGGAGGGAGTGGGGCGGACGGGCGTGGGGTCAGAGGAGTGATATCAGAGTCGTCAGACTGAAGAGACTCTTTTTCGGCGGGTGGTACGATGTGGGGATGCCGAATTCGGATGCGTTGATCGACAGCTTCCCACGGGCCACGCTAGACGAAATACCTCCGTGCCTGGTCGGATTGTTTTCCTGACTGTCAGTAAAAGAAGTCGCTGATACTTCTTGAGTTGGCATGAACACTCCATCTGACGCGCAATGTGCTCTGACATTGGGAAACTGAGTTGGCCGCACTGCGGAGTTACCGCGGTGTATACATTCACACGTGGGTGGGCCTAGTCACGTGCTGAGACTGCATATAAGACGTGGCAGTGAAAAATATTTTCTTTGATTCTTCCACAATCATACGCCCATGAAGATGCTCTCGGCGCAGTGAGATGAGCTCGACCCGCCTTTTCGGGGGCTGCGGTCGGCGCTGACATCGCCCGTTCGGCGCCAATCCTTGTTACAACATAGGGACGGGCCGATACGATCTGAGGCTCCTTTCTTGGCTGTGGGAGAACTTACCTGTACATATCTCATGTAAACCCTCGTATCTTGTCCTACTCGGTGTATGAACTTCATATCCATCGATTGCCGGCGCTGCGGTGTGCAAGCCAGCATCTTAAATCCTCGTTTATCCCACTCAGTGCCTCGCTCGAACTGGAAGCCATTCTCAGAACCTGAGGGTGTGGGAGTGGAGTCGTATGGTCATAAAGACTGCAGCGAAGTTCATGCGGCGAGGTCTAACACATTGCAATGCCGTTTCGCTGCAGGCTCAGGACACGACCACCCCCGCCTTCAATTCCCGATTCCTAGTCGATTTCCCATACACTGTGATGATGACAAGAACTGGGCGATATGAACACATCTGCGAGGGGGGGCCTCGTGACTTCTTACCACCACCATCTCCGCTCGGAAGATGGCCGATGGCAAGCCGAACAAAGCCCCCGCTGCAGCGAGCAGCAGGGACTCAGAGAGAGAACCAGCCGAGACCAAAGGCACCTCAAAAAAGAGGAATAGCTACAAAAGCCATAACACTCGAAAATGAGAGAAGTGATACACACGACACACACGACACACACAAAACGTGAATAGACACAAAGAAGGCTAAAAGCCGTGAGAAAAGACCAAAAGCGAACTACGATAACCACCAGAACCGACCTCAAAACTTGAGAGACGGAAACGTTCCCCCTCCACACAAAAGAGAATCCCCCCCAAATAAACACCCAAAATCTCAAAAAGCGAGACCTTACAGCCCTTTCGGAAAAGGTTGGCCGGAACAGTTTTTCGCTAACGACTTGTAAAATTTGATGAAATGATATGATGGACCATATATAGACTTAGCTCCGGATATCCATCCGCTTAAGCTTAGGGGGAATTCTGCACCTTCCAGTTTTTGCACTGGTAACAACATTCTATTGCATGTTGGTGTATCAGTGAGGACCTAGAATCAAGAGAGATCTGACTGCTGGAACTGCGCTACCTTTGGAGGAAGCGTGCGGAAATCAGAGCGGAGTTTGTGTCGATGCGGGCAAATTTAGAGGCAAATGTGTTGTGAGGGTATTGTCATCGGAAAAGCCGGATGTGGTGGCTCTTGAAGGTAGGTGTATGGTATCTCATATGCTGAAAGAGGAGATCTGTTGAATTAACTAGGGTTTTCCGACATGAACAGCTTAAAAATGGGTATGCGAGGATTCTGGTTCCGGAGCTAAGTCTATATATGGTCCATCATATCATTTCATCAAATTTTACAAGTCGTTGGCGAAAAACTGTTCCGGTCAACCTTTTCCGAAAGGGCTGTAAAATGATAGCCGAACGAGGCCTAAACACAGTGTACGTTCCCTCCCCCGATACACCCCGAATAAACGAGAAACTGGCGTCCAACGAACAGAAAGGAAAAACTCCGTCGAAAACACCCAAAATAGACGACTCAATCTTCCAAGCCCCGCGAAACCGCCCAGACGAAGCCCCAACCACCCCCCACCGACGCAAGGGCCTAGAGGCACTAGAGAACCGAGCTCGCCAACGCAGCGTGTCCCCTACACCCCTGCCTGCCCATCCCGCACACACACACTCGAACGAGACCCACGACAGCACCATGCCAGACGCACCTACCTCTCACATACAGTACATAAGACCATCCGCGACACTATTCGGGTCCATGCCGCGCACCAGTAAGGACGTAAACCCGCACATCCAGACACTAGCGGAACGTCCAATCCCAACGAACAACAAGAACGGCGCCGCCCCCTTCCAACGCGTACCAGCGGACACCTTCCCAAACCACGTCGTCAGCGCCGAACGCCTCTTCCTCGGCGTCCACGAATCCCAAAAGGAACAACTACTCGAGATGGGGGAGACCATAATACCCATCATTATCGCACTAGGTGGCCAGACCTTAACCTACAAACTCCGCGACTCGCTGAGCAAGGAAGTCATGCTGGCCATATCCGGGATCCTTAACGACTCTCCAGCCGAATTCATAACAGCGACACCAGCCACCCCTCTCAAATCCGGCAAGGACAAGTACGCAGAGCCGGTCACCGCCTTCATCCGAATCGAGGACAAAGAAAAAAGAGAAGCAGTCCTGGCCGAGAAGCTCATCGCCGTCAACACATCCATAGCATTCTGGCCGAAGAAGATAGACGGACAACGATCATGGACCGTTTTGCACGCGGCATGCTCGTCGCTCAAAAACCCCGAGCAAATGGAGAACGAACTAGCCGCGGCGGTACGTGAGCTCATGCACACGAACCCACCCATCTCACAACTCATCGACCGTATGACCCAACCCATGACGGGAAACCGCGAACAACGCATCGACGAATCCATCGGGCTATCTGTCCACGCGGTCTTCAAAACGAACGACATCAAGCCGTACATCACAGTATACGCCAACCCAGACGCAGGCAGCGAGGAGGACCAACGAACTCTTCGCAGACTCCTCCGAAGTAACTCTGTCATAACGGGTGCAGTGGAATACACCCCAAGCACACACGAGAACGGCGACATCAAGGCCTGCGTGATATGCAAGCAGGACAACCACCCATCATATGCATGCGAGTACCCCAAGAAACAGTGGTGGGGCCCGCAGGACCAGATGTCTGGACTACCGGACGAACACCCACTAGCAACCCGCGGGAACACCGGAAACAGACGCAATCATGGTGGCTGGCCCTCACACGACCTAGATGGGAGGAACGGAAGATACGGAAACACCCAAGGCCGCAAACGAGGAGGAGGAAGCCGGACGAACTACGGTAACCGAAACCGAAATAGAGCTGGAAGGTACAACGAAGGTAGCCATGCGTAAAGGCATACGAGACAAATCCATATAGACATTGATAACACCACCCTACTCACACAAAAAACTCCCATACTAACATACATACAACACATGGACAACTATAGAAGTTCAATATGAAGTCCCTGGTCCGGTCCCAGAAGAAGCCGCGTTGACAACCAACGCGCAACCCGAACCCGCCACACTTACCGACTGAGCTCTCTCGAGCTCAGGACGGGAAACGGGGGAGGGAACGCGTGCCGCACAAGGGCCCCTGGGCCCTTGTACGACACGCCGCAACGGCGGGACCTATTCAGGTCGGAGTCCGCCGGCCAGCAGTCCTGGTATGTCAGCGGAAAGTAGATATGTGCCCGGAACACACATCGTACGCCGCTGACAACTCCCAATGAAAGAGATGAGACGTTAAACAGCATAGGCCATTGCGGGGCCTATGCTGTGTCTCCATATACGCGACCAACCCAACAGAACAGATAACGCAAGTCCAGCGAGAAGGACATCTCGAGACACGGCACCAAACACAACAATCGGCAACAGGCACGCTGATAGCTGGAGAGCGCCGTGGATCCCACACTGACCCGGCCGTGCTCGAAGAAAGCGATCAGCGAGGAAGTGAACTATCGGCAAATCGTCGCCTGGAGGTGCCTGGGGACGAAAGCCATCCATCCGAGAGGAGGAATAGCAATCATGCCCAAGGCACCGATGAAGGGCCCCGAGGCGCAACTCCAGCCGCAGAGAGTCGGTTGGGGGGCATCAGCGTAGATGCTGACGCACAGAGAGTGCGTGGATCCCAGAGTCGGACCCCTCCCCGAGATAACCGGGCCACACAAGTCGCAGAGAGCAGACATGCCGATATGGCAAACAGAAGAGAGAACCCCATAGAGCTAAACGCACCAAGCGTGACACATAGGTCATACCCAGGGCCAGACACACAGAATAGGACAACGAGCACACGCAGCACTAAGAAACGGAAGGCAGCCCTCAAGATTGCTGCGCTGAACATACGCGGCCACGGAAACATGAATATACACCACCCAGAGAACAAATGGTTTGGAGTGTGGCAAGTAATGAGAGAAGAAAAGATAGCGGTGCTCATAGTCAGCGAGGCACACATGAACCAAACACGGGAAGAAAACGTAAACGCACTGTTTGGGAGAAAGATGAAGATTCTACACACAGAAAACCCAAGATCTGTAAACGCCGCAGGCCTAGCATTCGTGATAAACAAGGAAAGAGCAGAAGCAGATGGAATCAAAACACACGAGGTCATCCCAGGCCGAGCCATGATCATCGAAATGAAAAATGCGGACGGCTCGCCACTGTCGATCCTTGGAGTATACGCTCCGAACGAAGTAGGAGAAAACAGAGACTTCTGGCAGGAAATTGCAACATACATAGAAGGAAACCCGCAAGTCAGGAAACCAGACATTATGGCTGGAGACATGAATATAGTCGAAGCGGCCATAGACAGATTACCATCACACAATGACAACAAAAGTGCAGTAGACGCACTCGACAGCCTCAAAATGCTACTAAGAATTATTGATGGATGGAGAGAAACATATCCAGACACAAGAGCTTACACATTCCAGCAACCCACAACGCTAGGCGGCTCGTTATCACGGATTGACAGAATATATATTCGTGCAGACCTATTCGACCACTCATTCGACTGGGGAATAAAAAAAGTGGGCATCGAAACAGACCACGACCTAATATGGCTCAAAACGACAACACAAAACGAGTTTATACGAGACAAGTAGGAGTGGGACTGGTCAATTGATCCAGTAGGACTGGGCCAGTCCTATTTAAGTTCCGAGTCCTACCCTGGCCAGTCCTATACAGACTCCGAATTATTGACAGATCTGTTAGGATCTGTCCCTCCGTGTTCCAAACTCATGACACGCCTTACGGGGAGAGGTAAGGGACTAGTCGGCGGTCAGGGGGGGAGCGAGTTTGATCCCAGCCCGAGGCATCCGCTGCACGTGAAATAACCTTGATGAGCTCGCTGACAAATCCATACAATATTTTGGTGCACGTGATATGTCAATTGCACTGCCGCATGTCAATCTCGAGGGCTACTTTGTCTGGGGCACAGGGATGAGCAGGCCAATAGACCAAAACGTTTTCCGTAAATAATAACAGGTGAGATGAATAAAATTCGATCAAAGTCGTCGCTTCTTGGACGACACAGATCCTACGTTATCTCCAATGTCATTGTCCCGTGCTCTGTCCCGTGTTCGGCGCACTCGCCGTGTGGACACAATATTACCTACGCTAACATCGGCAAGGTTAAGTTCGCCGATGTGCTCCACTGCAACTGCCAACTGAGGCTGGGGCTGGGGCTGGGGCTGAGGCAGGGGCTGGGGCGACATTGTAACTGGAAGAATGATGTCCTGGTGAGAAGCAGCGGAGAGCGAGGATTCATCGTGAGTCGGATTACCCTGCTCAAGGGATCGCATGAATGCGAAATCAGCTTCTGTAAACTCGTAGTCTTCGAGTGTAAAATCGATGTCCATAGTATCCCAGTTGAAATCTGGGACTGAATCAAACTAGTTAGAACATCTCTGAGAAAGAATACCCAAAAACTTGCCTCTAAACCGGGATGTTTCGGTGTCCCTGGGAGGCGAACGCTCAAATGCTGCTTCATCTTCACTCTGCGCATTTCCTTCGGGACTGTATCTGTGAGTTGGATCCGCAAACTCCGGCTGGTTGCTAACAAGTTCTGAGAATTGCTTTCAGCGACCAAAATTACAAATAAATGTGAAAACTTACCACTAATTGGCCGCAAATCATGGTCTAGAGGCTCATCGTCTACTGAGATTGTGTCAAATGTGTCTCCAGTGTTAGATCGTCGACCATGGACTCGGACGCCGGCCAAAGGACCAGATCGTAGCGCAGCCAATTTAGAATCAATCTCGTCGCGTTTAAACCGGAGCTCCCGCCGATGACTCTCTTCACTTGAAATATCGTCCCGGAGGTTCTTGATAGTCAACTTGTGGTCTGCTCGGCGTCTGTCCAGTTCCAACTCTCGCTGCAGCTTCTTGATCTCCTCCTTAATCTCCTTCTCTCTCTCAAGCGAAGATTTCTGCGCTGACCGGTTCAACTCACGCTGAGCTGTCAAGTGATCGAACGTCGTGAGCTGGTCGGTTCGATCCTGGGTCTGACGCATTTTCCATTCTTTGCGCTGCAGACCAAGTTTTTCGCGACTGAACAGGCCATTATTGCGCCTTGGGACAACAGCCTCCTGCTCAATCTGGATGAGCTCCGCAGCTCGGATCCTATCTCGCTCCTCAGCCCTTGAATTAAATCAATTACTTGTTAGTGAACAGATGTGAAGACAACGCACATTTCAATCGCATGAAGTGGTGTCAGCCGGATTGAGGTTTCGGCATTGCGGGCTGCATGAGCAGATTCGACATAATTTGTATCGTCTGGTGTGGTGTTCCAGATTTCGGCTGGAATGTTCGACAGATATTGGTTTACTGCGCGCAAGACAAGTGGATTCCGACGTTTATGTTCGTACCAGTCTGGAATGGCTTTCAATCACATTAACAGTAGAAATAATGCAAGAAGACGCACTCTTTATATAGGAATCAGTCTGAGCTTGCATTTCTGCATGCCAACTATCAAGATCGGCTTGAGATTTGAGCGTCAAAATTGCCTTGATACGGGAAATCGTTGCCAGTGGGATTGTTTTGGGTAGTTCGTCGATATGCCTGTTAGGACGAAGTCAATAAAATCCAGGCACCAATGAACGAGAACATACCGTTTGAAATGTACCGTGCACATCTTGAGACAATAGGACAGAAGTTCGACGGGATCTGTTGTCTGAATCCCGCTGATTTCGGGCTTGTTGTACCGGGACAGAAAAATACCCAATCCCATTGCTTGGGCAATATCGCCGTCTAAAACAATCACTTTGAGCTTGCCGTCAGGATAGAATGGCGCCAGTTTCAGGAAGCATCCTGTTGAACTTTCCACGGAGTCCCAAAACTCGGTGAATAGGTGTACATAGGCATTGGTATCAAGACCATCGCCGTAGATACTTCCGAGTGTGATCCCTGAAAGAATTCTTTAAATGAGCCAAACAGGTATAAGATGTACTCACGCTGACTCAAAAAGTTCGAAAATCCGACTGCTTCGCACTCGTTTATATCACCGTTGACTCGTTTGTATGAATAGTCAAACATGATCGCCCGCATGCGATGAATGTATTGCATAATGGATGAGTTCATCGTCACCGCAAGACGAAAATCAGCCTTGCTGATAACTGAATGGATATAGCGCTCATTTGCAGGCAGTTTTCGATCTACAGTATTGTTGCGGAAGACAACACCTAAAATCATTTCAAAAGAATGTTAAACCCCTGGGATTATTTCTGCTTACCTTCCCACCCAAATCCCATGGGATTCTTCTCGGTTCGCTTCTTGGAAATTGCGTTCCGTACCAAGCGCTTGTCCTGATATGCGGGACTGGATTCGTTGACCCGCTTTCCGCTGTACAGCGCAGTTGTTGTCGAAGCTACGACCGAATTCAGCAGGTCTTCTCATCAGTTACTTTGCACTTACCATTCAGTAATTTTTGCACAGTTAGTCCACCGATTCCTGCTCCGGTGGCATCAATTGCCGCATTGAGCCTCTGCCGATCCACGGATCGTGGCTTGGTGCGCGGATAAATGGGATGTGTGTGTGGGTTCCGAACATGGACGATCGCTTTGTGTTCGAGTCCCGGAGGTGGGTTGACAGGTGTGAAAACCAGGATTTCCGTTGGGCAAGGGTGCGGAATCATCTTCCCAACGAAAATCTCGCCATTAATGATGTGCGAGTAGCCTATAATAATTACATGTTCAGATAATTCCAACCGAAGGATTGAATAAACGTACCGCAATTCAAAAGCGAAAACCGAGGGTGTGCTGTGAAGCAGCACAGATTGTTCGTTGTTGGCGAGTTGGGAATGAGACCGCCATGCTCAAGTGCATGCTTTAATAGGATTTCGTCGACATGTGGAGGGATTTTGTGAAAAATATGTCCGCGCCGATCAGTCTGCTGGGGAGACCATTCACTACAGCCAATAAAGTATGTATTGCCACCCTCAATAACCTGAACAATTTAAGTTCCCACAAATACACTCACGATGCAAACGTACCTTCGAATATGCAACCATTTTTGCGATCCCAGGACAAAGTTCCCCTCTCAAGCGTCCTTTACACTTTAATTCGGTTACAAATCGATAGAACCTACAGAAATTATTGAGAATTATGCCAAATGAGAAGTAAAAACGCACCGTGCAATCACACTCCAGACAGATTCACCTTCGCGCTCATTGGCGTCGAGCACCAGATCCCAAAGCTGCTTCATGCCAGCAGGATCTACGTCATATCTCTCACAGTCTTCGAGGATGGATGGATCAAGAAACTCGCATTTCCGTAAGCCGCTGCAACCCCACTGGGCCCGACGGCTTCGAATTTTTTTGCCGGGCAGGAGGGCTAAGACATCGACATCCCCTTCCGGGCGTCCCGCAGAGCCTTTACCTCCCCAAGAATCCTGATCCTAGCAAAATAAAATAAGTATGGTTCGGAATTTTGTCTGCATGACATACCTCAGCCCGGAGAAACGCTTGAAATGGCAGAAAATCACCGCTGGCATCGCGAAGGAGATCGACTGATTCCGACATATCAACCAACCATGCAACCAAATGGTCTGGGCGGGAAACTACCCAAGTCTCAGGGACTTCGGTGATGTTGCAAAGCTCATGAACCCAGAGTTCGCGAGTAATTTGAACCATGCCTTCATGATTTTCACGTTGGCGCTTTCTCTGTTTTATGGCTGGCCGGTGTGCAGGGGATGAATCTATTCGAAAGTGAGCAAAATTTTATTGTGTGTGGCATCGAACAACCGAGTGTAATTTACCATCTGGCAAGCGGGGCGGTGCGTCAGGCATGCCAATTGAACTGGACACACCGGAAACTGTTCCAAAATTCAGATCAATACTTCCAATAAGTGAAACTAAGCCCGGGAAAACTAACGATGTGTAATATTTGATATTTCGGAGTGCACTGATAGCGAACTTGCCGGTCGCGAGATTTCGGACAGAGATCCTGAGCAACATTAGATTTATCGGATGCGGTATGTCTGCACAAACAAACCTGGGTTGTATGACTCATTGTCAGATGGAGGATAGATGCTCCCGGACATTGAACTGGAGGGTCTGGAGCCATATTCCGACTCGTTGGGTTCTATCTCACTGAGGACGCTAGCACAATCATGTTCATTGCGGTCCGAGTTGTCCAGACCCTCGGCCCGGGGGTTGGCCAATGTGCGCAAGAATGTGCCAAAGGGTTTGGGCAAGATCCACAGGTCGACGTTCTCCAGACTGAAGAAATGATGTGTTCGATAGTCCATTTGTAGAACCTGTTTTCCGATTCATTAGATTGTGAATGGACAAGTGAAGTCAGACTTACTGCATCACGGAAACGAACAAGATCCCGGCGCGGCGCTTCTGATGGATCCACATGTGTCAGCTCCGAGTTGTCATCTTGGAGGTAGATCTGGAAGCCGAGCGAAGTCATCCAGACATGTGGAGAGTCGATGGGGAAATACGGGTCATGACCGTAGGTCGCAATCATGGCCGGGAACATCTGTGGGGCAAAAACCTGAGTAAGACTTGAAAACGTGATAAAAAAGAGTTGCCTACATAGTCCCGGTAAGCACGGATGGTTTTTAGAGGCAGATCTTCTAACGTTTGTTCAAAGGCCGACATGATACTGATTTAGCTTGAGTTTGAATTTTTTTTTATTATAACTACAAAACTATTGCAAATTCCCGCTAGCCGGAGGCGGTATACACAGCACTGCACTGTGATGCGCCACCGGTAACAACATGCATAGCTGTTTCATGGCCTCCGGCGGTGCATCGTGGGCGATATCAGAAGCACCATGCTGTCAACGATTCAGATCGGCTTTCCCGAAAGTTGTGCCTGAAAATCTGTCAATCAGGGATCTATCACCAGCCAAGAGTGGGACTGGCACAAAGAATGGTAGGACTGCGTTCCAATGGGACCGGAGATCTGGGAGTAGGATTCATAGCGCAGAATAGGAGTGGGAGTCGGTCCCACTCCTACTCATTTGGTCACTTCTCACACAAAACGCACCAACTATAGGTCACGGAAGATGGGTATGGCCAACCTACATAATGAAAGACAAGATTCTTGCTGAATACATCCATCAAAAGGGTGTGGAAATGGAAGAAAAAATACGAACCATTAACGAACAAAATAGAACCCAAGAGCACAATAACGTACAAAACTTATGGGCGGCCTACAAAGAAAATATTAGAGAAAAGGCACGAGAAAGAACAAAAGCAACAGCCCCAGAGCTTATACGAAAAACCAAAGAACTGGAAACAAAGCTCGAGGCAATCCTCAAAGACCGGACAATCCCCGAACAAGAAAAACACCTGAACGCAACAGTAATAACAGATGAAATAGCGAAACTACAGAAAAAACGCTACCAATCAACAAGACTAAACTCCCAAATCCAGAACCGATTAAAAGGCGAAGTCATCGGGAAATACTGGTCAAAGATCAACAAACCAAGTAAAACCAGAGAAATAATCCACAGACTATACAAAAACCCAAGATCAAATGAATCCGGCGACATAACAGCCGAATACGAGATTAACTCAAAGAGAATGGCGGATATGGCTAAAGAATACCACGAAAAGCTACAACACGACCAAACAGCAGAATCACTGGACAAAGGAAAACGCGACGAAGCAATCGCAGCAGTACTCGGAAAATGCAAAACTCGGGCGTCAACGGAACAAAGATCAAAACTCGAAGCATTGCTAACACGAAGTGATGTAGAGAAAGCCCTCAAAACATCAGCAAATTTCAAAGCCCCCGGAATAGACGGAATAACATACGAATTGTGGAAAATACTCGACGACCGCCATAACACAGCAGTTAAACTCGAAAAACCATCCTTCGACATAATAGGGATACTACTAAATGTCTTCAATGATATAGAGAAACACGGAGTTGTTAAAGGGACAAAATTCGCAGAAAGTTGGATGTGCCCGCTATACAAAAAAAATGATAAAGCAGATATAAGCAACTACAGACCAATATCTCTACTAAATACAGACTACAAAATATTTACAAAAGCCCTCTCTATGAAACTGGCCGAAATAGCCCCGGACCTTATACACCCAAACCAAGCCGGGTTTGTCAGAGGCCGCCAGATCAAAGACCAAATATGGCTTACTAAACGAGTTATCGAATTGGCAGAAGCGACGGAAAGGAACGGAGTGATAGTTGCCCTGGACCAGGAAAAAGCATATGATAAAATAGAACACAATTACCTCTGGAAAGCCCTAGAAACATACGGCCTGCCCCCTGAGTTTATTGAAACCATCAAGGCACTATACAGTGATGCGTTCACATATGTCATCCTCAACGGAGAAAAGAGCAAAAAAGCATTCAAGGTAACACGCGGAGTGAGGCAGGGAGATCCCCTATCATGCCTCCTATTTAATATTGCCATCGAACCGCTGGCTGAATCACTACGACAGTCAAGCCTCAAGGGAATCAAAATCTCGGGAAAAGCCGAGCGCCTCATAGCAACACTATTTGCCGATGACACGGTTGTATATCTAGACCAACAGGACGACTTTGGACAACTACTCCAAATAATAAATCAATGGTGCCTAGCAGCAGGAGCAAGATTTAATATAAACAAAACGGAAATAATACCGATAGGAACAAGCGGATACAGAAATCAAGTCAGAAATAGTCAATGCGTGAACGGCATTGATGGAACAGTAATACCCGGCCATGCCCGAATTGCAAAAGAAGGGGAACCAATACGGTGCCTAGGCGCATGGATTGGAAACGCAGTAACACAAGTGGACACATGGAATAGAACACTGGAAAAAATCGATAACGCACTCGACCACTGGAACCGAGGCAACCCATCAATAGAGGGAAGAAGACTGATTATATTAATGGTAATAGGAGGGATGACACAATTCCTGACCACGGTACAAGGGATGCCCAAAGAAATCGAACAACGCCTGGAAAAGAGAATAAGAAACTTCCTCTGGGCAGAAAAAACCAATGTCACCATCAACAAAGAAACGGTCTACGCACCGATAGAAGCCGGGGGAAGGAATGTGCTTGACATCCTAGCCCGAAACGAAGCGATCGCGGTCATGTGGTTAAAGACATACCTTAAAACCGGCCCCGAAAGACCCCTATGGTGTTTTACAGTAGACGAAATACTGGCCCTACAAATAGCCACAGACAGCATTCAAGTTGAACCCTCAGTGAGAATCAACGCGTACCTACAATCATGGAAACACAAAGTCTCACGAAAAATGATCGGAGCGGACATTGCACAAATGACGTTAGTGGGGAAAAAATACGGAGTCTCAGTAGAAGCAATAGCTGTATCCCGCAAGATCCAAGAAGAGATGATCATATGGTACCACGTAAAATCAAATAACAATAACCCCAAACTATGGACGGCAAACAAACACACAATTCAATGTTTAAAAGAGAAACACAAGACGAAATACGTGAAAGAAGCGGTAGAATTAGCGAACAAAAACAAAACAAGACGACATACAAAAAGGAGAAACTGTAAATGCAATGCGTGCACTATAACCAGAGCCATAACAGGATGTACCAACCCACACAGATGCTTCCAGAAAGCGGAAGAGATGCTCGACTCACTAGACCCAAAATGGGACCCCAGGAAAAGACAACCCGAAGACTACAAAGAATTATTAGTCCCTCAGACGACACAAGAGGAAAACTCAAGAACGATCGAAATAGACCAGCGGATAACCACAAGAGGTACAACCGCAGACATCTTCCGAATATTCACAGAAGGAGAAAGAAACACAGTATCGGAAGCACCATTTCTGGAACACGCGAGGAATCCAGAAGACGAAACAATAGAACTTACAGTGTACACTGACGGCTCAGCAACCAACAATGGAAAGAACCATGCGGAGGCAGGCTCTGGAATCTTCTTTGGTGACAACGACGAGAGAAACAGATCAATTAAGATACCGAATGAACTCAATCCATCTAACCAAGTAGCGGAACTGTTAGCAGTGAAAGAAACCATAGAAATGTGCCCACAAGGCGCACCTATACACATAATCACCGACTCGATGTATACAATAAACACCCTCTCAAAATACCTCGCCAAAAACCAAGACGAAGGCTTTTTCCTAACAGCAAACAGCGACATAGTAAGGACAACGGTCGCAAAAATACGCAACAGAAGGGCTAAGACGAGGCTCACCTGGGTCAAGGGCCACTCGGGCGTAGACGGGAACGAAAAGGCGGATAGGCTAGCAGAAACTGGAAGGAGGAAGAACAACCCAGACATCATAGACACGCAAATAAACAAAAGTCTAATATTACCCGGTGCAAAACTAGCCGAAATGACCCAATCCTTGGCGTACAAAATAATCAGGAAGATAAAAATAAAAGAGGAGAAATATCAAGACGCACTCGAGAGAAAAACCACTAAAAGGAACATAGAGTTGGCCATGGAAGCCACAGCGATCACAAGCGAAGACCACACAGCAGCGACCGAAGCACAAATATGGAAAGCGGTCAGACATAAGGATTTCTCGAGAAGTATACGATACTTCCTATGGATGACAATACACGGGGGATACAAAGTGGGGTACCACTGGACCCGGATCACAGGACATGAGGAGAAGGCGACATGCAAGAGATGTGAAAACGACGCCGTCGAGTCGATGGAACACGTCCTCCTTCATTGTAGCGCGAGGGGACAAAGGCAAATATGGGAGCTAGCCAGCAGACTTTGGCAGATGAAGACCGGCGAACCCCTAGACATCACCTTCGGATCCATCATGGCGTGCGGGGCAACGAAACTCAAAAACAAAGGGCTGTCGAGACTCTACAGAATCGTGATATCAGAGTCGGCCCACCTGATCTGGAGAATAAGATGCGAAAGAGTGATCCAGGACAAAGACGAAGCAACGGAACTAGAGATTAGGAACAGATGGAAAAACGCGATGAATATGAGGATACTCATAGACTGTAAAATGACAAATAAGGAAAGATACGGGAAGAAAGCCATTAAAGTCTCACTGGTCCGGAAGACTTGGGCGAAAACGCTGGAAAACGAGGTGCATCTCCCGGAAGACTGGACCACGGGAGGCGGGGTTTTAGTGGGTGTCGGCTAGGACGTGACAATGAAGGAGCTGACTAAACGGCTCCCGAGTCACTGAGCCGAAACCCCACACATGGCATCGCGGGAATCCGGATGTATCGTGCGAATAACTTCGGTTATTAAGCGCATTTCCTCGCGTGATCACTCCTCAAAAATGGCTGGGTTCAAAGTCCAAGGCCTTAAAATGACGGGAGTAAGACGGACGACCTTGTCGGACCGTCGGACTCTGTAAACGTCCCACAAAAAAAAAAAAAAAAAACACATCTGCGAACCGTCGGCCAACTATTCGGACTGGCGATCCGACGGAGTCCCGGCGGTCCGTGCACATCATCACTCGCAAAGGGTCCCTCTCGTTCGACCCACCACCCATCCTCATGTCTCTAACCACCCTTGCCATACTCAGAAAAGGTCTGCCGGCGTCGAAACGCGTCCTCATCCGCAGCTTCGCATCTGTGCACTCCTCAGATGTACGTACTCGTTATAATTTGACCTGTCTGCAATTCAAAGGTCCGACGCGTGCAAGACAGCTTAGAAAAACCGGGCTGTATGATTTCCATGTCGCACACGGCGCGAAGATGGTGCCCTTTGCTGGGTATTCGATGCCCCTGGCGTACGGCGACGTGGGACAAGGTCCGGGCCCTTTCCTCCTGCTCTGAAGTCTCAACAACTCATCCATGGACGCGTTTTTCTCCCCCAGTCGCCAGCCACAACCACGTCCGTACTGACGCAGGGCTGTTCGACGTCGGACATATGGTCCAGTCCAAGTATGCGTCGCCCTCTGTGCAAAAACGCCTTGTCCTGACGATTGAGCTTGATAGCTTCCGTGGGCCGACTGCGACCGCTTTCCTCGAGTGGATGACGCCATCGTCTCTCTCCTCCCTAGCTCCGTATACCTCCACCCTATCCGTTCTCTTGAACGAACGTGGGGGCATCATCGACGACCTCATCATCACCAAACACGCGGAGGATGCCTTCTATGTGGTCACTAACGCCGGCCGGCGCGACCGCGATCTGCCGTGGTTCGCGGCGAAGCTGGCGGAGTGGAACGCCGGTGAGGGCGGTGCTAAGGGTGCCGTCGAGATGGAGCAGCTGGATGGTTGGGGACTGGTTGCGTTGCAGGGTACGTCCCCGTTTCGATCTGAAATACAGTTGGAAGAACCCTCGGCTAGGACCCAAGGCCGCGGCGTACTTGCAGAACCTGACATCCTATGATCTCTCCACCCTCACCTTTGGTAAATCCGCATTTGTGCCGATCGAGGGCTTCAATTTGCATGTCGCTCGAGGAGGGTATACTGGCGAAGACGGTTTTGAGGCAAGGAAGGATATCTCTGCATGCGATCGTTTTTTGATCCCTCTCCAGATCTCTATTCCGCCCTCGCAGACTGCCGAGGTTACGGAACTTCTATCTAAACCGCCCGTGCAGCTCACTGGGCTCGGTGCCCGGGACAGTCTTCGTCTCGAGGCAGGCATGTGCCTGTACGGCAACGACCTCGACGAAGACACCTCCCCCGTCGAGGCAGGGCTCACCTGGGTTATTGGTGAGCGACCCCCTCCGGCCCGGATTCTATATCTAAGCATCTTCTAGGTAAAGAGCGGAAGGAGACGGGTAACTTCATTGGCGCAGAGGGCGTGCGCCAGCAATTGCAGCAGGGACCATCTCGTCGGCGTGTCGGCCTTGTCGTTGATGGCGCTCCCGCCCGACGTGCGTCACTTTCCACTTACAATACGGCGCTAGTCGCTGATTTAGCCGTGCAGAGGGCGCCAAGATCTTCGACGTCTCACAAAAGTCGCCATTGGGTTCCATCACGTCTGGGATCCCGTCGCCGACGCTTGGACAAAACATCGCAATGGGATACGTGTTGAATGGGTGGCACAAAAAGGGAACCGATGTCTTGGTCGAGGTCCGCGGGAAGATGCGCGAGGCGAAGGTCACGCCCATGCCTTTCGTCAAGCCCAAGTACTGGCGCGGAGCTGCTGCATGAAGGGACCAGGGCACATTCAATTGCATCTCAACATGCTGCAGACCGTGGCTTGGGCATCGGTCCCGACGTCGGGGACGTTTCGGAGTAAAGAAACAGGGCTTCGCGTGGGTAATCACTGGGGACAAATACATGTGTATGATATTCAATACTTCAACTGTAACGCCGTAGGTCACTCAGTTCAAGACCGTCGGTAGCCCGGCCAGCTTCATCTTCACACCGATCTCAAACAGATAATCCAGACACTGGAGCCTAGTCAGCGCGAATATGACGTGGTAGTGCCGCATGCTCACCTCAGCTTGGGTCTTTGCTTTCTGCCAGTCAGTGCCTGGATATCCCGAGATCAGTACGAACGTGCATGAATGGGACTGTTAAAACCCACCCCAAACATACACGCCGTGCCTGCGGACCAGGATGGCCGCAGCGTTAGGGAAGCGCTTCATCGTATCCTCCATACTATCCTTGAGATCCCTCTCTACCGGAGTGTTCTCGATGATCGGGACCTCGAGGGTATCCAGGTAAGAGAGCGCGGCCCCAGTACCAGCGATGCGCACGCCTTTGATCATCTACGGAAGGAGTTGAGAGTCACGTAATCGGGCAGGCAGTGTTATGTAGCATACTTCCTGTAGGACAACCCTTCAGTCAGTCTACTACTACGCAAACATCCCATGCATCGAGAAACGCACCTGATGCGAGATAGTGAACGTCTCCTCCTTCCAAAGCAGCGTCGCCATGACCGCGTGCTGTGAATGCGTGTGGATGCAGCTGCCCGCATCGCGCTGGTCGAACGCGTTCCAGAACAGCGGCGTGCAGTCCGACTCCTTCAGGTTGTGCGGCGGCTTGCGCAGGAAGACGCGGTCGCCGTGCGGGTTCGGCTGCGGGTACGGCAGGACGAAGATGTGGTCCGGCAGGATGCGCTCTTTTTGCACTCCCGAGGGTGCGATGTAGACTTTATCCCTGAGAGGCGTCCGCGGCGGTGAGAGCAGGTTTCAGGGAGACGGAGGCGCACGTACCCCACGCGAATACAGATCCCGCCCCCGGTTCCTGTGACCCATCCGAGCTGCGCAAGATCTCGAAAACGCGTCCTTGGTTGACACGGACGAGGGAACACAGACCGTGTAGAATCCTCGGCACAGTTCAGGGATCAGGTTCGCTGGCTGCAGCGGACGGATCAGGGCTTGGACGAGGCGCGCACAGGGGGTGTTACAGTACGTGGAAGGGATCCTCGGACTTGATCAAAGCGTCAGCTTCTGGGTTGAGTGTGGCCATCGATATGATTAGGGAAGGAGGAGAGATGCGATTGATGGCATCGCTGATCTATCCCGCCCGGGCTTGGGCCACGTTGTATACTTAGCCAATCGACAGCAGTGTCTCTGCTCCCGACGATAACGGTCAGGCTTCGAAAAAAAAGGTTGTTTATAGAAAAAGACTCAAAGCGAGGACACATGCAACGAAGCGCACGATGATGCGTACGCAGGCGGGTCAATGTTTACAGCGAGAACCGCCAGGGACTCTGCATGTGAGCAGGCGGACTTTCGAGGTCAACTCTGGTCAACTCTCTCGTACTTAGCAAAGTAGCACTGACGATCACAATCAAAGCATCAGAGCCGCGGATCTCTCCGGCTTCGGATTCCATGCTGGGGTCGCTTACGCGACGCTGTCGCGAGCAGCAAGTGACCTCTCTCCAGCTTCTCTGTGCATGGTCGCTGTACCATGTGCCTCATCGCCGGACGCAGTACTTAGGTGCTCGGGCCGCGAGGGTGTCTCGGTACCGCGGGCTCCCTCTTCAGTCTTGACCATCCACCACGATGTTGAAGCCCACTCTCCTCGCCGCAGTGCTGTCCGCATCGGGGGTGCTGGCCCTCAAAAATGGCGTGGGCGTGACCCCTGCTATGGGGTGGAACCCGTACAATGCCTTCCTGTGCGTGTTTCGCCGGCTCTTTGCCGCTTGTACTCAGTGTTTACCAGGTGTAACACGGTCGAGTCGCAGTACAAGGCCCAAGCCCAAGCGTTCGTCAATCAGGGCTTTCCTGCACTGGGATACAACTACTTCAACATGTGCATTGGACAATGTTGCGCTGGAATAAGGCTGCATGCTGACTGGGACCTTCTAGGGACTGTGGCTGGCAATCGACGGCGCGGACTTCGAATGGATCCATCACCTGGGACCCCTCCATAGTGCGCTCATCGCATCGCGAAGATGGCGTTTCCTGACTGTCCCCACCTCGCACAGATCCCAGACGGTGTCCCCAACTTGGCCAGCTTCGTGCATGGACTCGGCCTCAAATTCGGTGTCTACTCTGACGGGCAAGTGCCGGTCCGATTGCGGCTAGAGACGTGAATAACTCTCCGTCGACAGAGGCGTGTTTGCATGTGATTTTGTCGGTGGGAAGGCCCACTACGTGGGCTCTCTGGGACACGAAGCCGCCGATGCTGCGACGTTCGCTAATTGGGGTGCCGATTACCTCAAGTACGACAACTGCTACGCCGTCAACAGCACCGACTTTGTCGACGATACCCCTCCCATCTCTGTAAGTCGCTGTCTTCTCTCCAAGAACGAGCAGGCTTCCTGATGGATACAGATCGAGGTCAGTCTCCTGATATCCATCGCAACCAACATTCGAAGAGTCATCTGACTGCAGGCCCACTACTCAACTATGCAATCTGGCTTGGCTGCGACTGGTCGGGCCATCAACTTCGCTGCCTGCGAATGGGGAGTACAAGATCCCGCCCGCTGGCCGGCAAGTTCTGTGGCCAACTCGTGGAGAATCGCGTAGGCCTAATTTTGCCTCAAGACATTTCCCGGTCTCTCACATGACTTGCAGCAACGACATCGGGCCACCCCCGAGCTGGGACAATCTATTCCGGATCATCAACCAGCTTGTGCCGATCACGCAGTTTGCCGGGTATGTCGTGGCTCTGTCTCGATAAGCAGTGTTGTTCCAATGCCGGTTTTCAGTCCAGGAGGTTTCAATGATCTTGACTTGCTGGAAGTCGGGAATAGCGGTCTCTCTGTGGATGAACAACAGACTCATTTCGCGTTCTGGGCTGCGGTCAAATCTCCGCTGTTCATTTCGACCGATCTCACCACGGCTACCGCAGCAACGCTGAACATCCTGAAGAATCAGAGAATCATCGCTCTCAATGTCAGCTGTTATCTGAGAATTTTCTGGGGCGCTGCGCTCATCAGTCCTACAGCAAGATTCGCTTGGAAAGTCGATTGTCTTCAAGAGACGATACACGAATGACCACGATGTCTGGGCGGGTCCTCTATCTGATGGCTCGACAGTCGCTGGTAAGTTTTTATTGGTCTCAAATCTCTCGGTTCTGAGCGCATCGAAAGTAATCATCAATTGGCAAACTTCAAACCGCTCGCTTACCTTCAACCTGGCTGATGTTGGCTTCACCTCGGCGACGGCCACAAATCTCATCACTGGCGCATCTCTCGGAAAGCTGACTACTTCGTTCGTTTTTTTTTTTGCAATTGAGGGGTCTGCAGTTGATTATCTATTTGCTCAGCTTCACCGCCACCGTTCCCGCCCATGGCTCGATGGTGCTGAAGCTCACTGGAGGTACCGCAGCTGCTGCTCCTCAATTCACATACTACGCTGCCACATCCGGAGCTCTTTCCGGAGGAGCTGCGACCCGAGTTGTCAGCAGCTCTGTGTCTGTTGTGGGCTTCGTTGGATTGGGCGGAGTTCTGACATTCTCTGGAGTCGATGGCGGAACCTCCGGCGGAACCAAACTGGTTTCCTTTGACTACATCAACGGAGATGTCACGTGGAGCAACACCGCCTGCTCGAATTGCCGCAATGCCCTGGTAAGCGTGAATGGCGGTGCAGCTGTGCAGGTCCAGTTCCCCCTATCTGCCCAAAGCTGGGATATCTTGTTCCAGGGCTATCTGGTTTCACTCTCCGGATTCAAGCCGGGCAAGGTCAACACAGTCGTCATTCAAAACTCTGCGGCGTACACGCCTGATTGGTGGAGAATGGGCGTAGTTGTATAATCTTGTAATCTGTCGCGTGTGACAAGCCGGATGGCTGTGCTTCTTATCTCTGTTTCGCCGCGATTACACGTGATCGCGTATACCTAACCTTAACCTGACTTATTCACATCATCGCCTCATCTCATCGTCCATCTCTCGAATCTCCACCATGTCTCGTTTCGTCCGAGCCTCCAAATATCGGTTTGTGCACGACCCATTCTCCATCCGAATCTCCTTAGAAAGTCCGCAGCCACGTCTTTGGCCAACCTGCTAAGAAAGAGCATGGCCTTGACAACGTCAAAGTAACCAACAGCGCCTGGGATACCAATGTCATCGCTGCGTCGGGAGTAAGCAGCGATAGTACCGCTCGAAATAGACAGCGCCTCACATCTCGCAGGAATACCTTAGTGTCAATTGGAACGCATCCGGCGGAGGGGCATTCGCCATCTTACCCCTTCCCTCGCCCTTCAACGCGACGGGGCTCTACAAGCTCCCTGACAACCTGCCCCTGGCGCGCAGCCACACCGCGCCCGTGCTAGATACGGACTGGTCGCCCCACAACGACCGCATCGTCGCCTCCGCCGGCGAAGACGGCAAAGTGATGATCTGGAAGGTCGAGCCGGCCGCGTTCGAGGGGTGGGGCAGCGAGGGGTGGGTCCCAACGGACTTCGATCCCGTCGCACGGCTGGATGCGTCTCCCCGCAAGATCGGGCAGGTCCTGTTCCACCCGACCGCGTCGAACGTGCTTGCCAGCGCGTCCGGCGAACACACGATCAAGCTCTGGGATCTCGCGAACCCGGAGGACCCTCGGACCGTGCTCAGCGGACACACGGACACGATCCAGAGTCTGTCGTTCAACCAGACCGGCACGGTTCTCGCGACGACGTGCCGCGACCGCAAGTTGCGGCTCTTCGATCCGCGTGCTGGCGCCGACCCGGTGCGTGTTGGAGATGGGCACGGAGGGATCAAGGGATCGCGCGTCGTGTGGATGGGCGACAACGACCGTATCGCTACGACCGGGTTCAGCCGAATGAGTGATCGCCAGGTCTCGATCTGGGAGACAGGAGGATTGGGCAACATCAAGACTTTGGCGATTGACCAGTCTGCGGGTGTGATCATGCCCTTCTGGTCGGACAACAACATCCTATTCCTCGCTGGTAAAGGGTCCGTTTGTTCTTTCTTGCGGCTTCGTGACTTCACTGATGGAGTATAGAGATGGCAACGTGCGCTACTATGAATACGAATCGGACTCGCTGCACGGCCTGTCAGAGCACAAATCAAGCGACCCTCAGCGCGGGATGGCCTTCTTGCCGCGTCGGGCACTGAACGTATCTGAATGTGAAATCGCGCGAGCCTACAAAGTTGCCGGCTCCTCCATCGAGCCGATCGCATTCATAGTTCCTCGCAAAGCCGACTCGTTCCAAGCCGACATCTTCCCTCCTGCACCGAGCTCGGAGCCCAGTCTTTCTGCCGCAGAATTTTTCTCAGGCAAAACTGCACCCGCACGTCTGGTCAACTTGGCTGATGGGGTGAGCTTCGCTGCGAAAAGCGCTGGATCGTCGCCTGCACCGGCCCCTGCATCGGCCCCAGCACCCGCACCCACGAAAACTTACACCGCGCCCGCGCCCGAGCCCGCTGCTGCACCCAAAGCGGAGCCTGTGTATTCCCGTCAAGCCAGCGTAGACGTGCGTTCCCTTTGCGTTTCTGTCAGCTTTGACTGATTTGTTTTGATTCAGTCATATGCTTCGCCTGTCACACCCTCTTCAGCTCAGAGCATATCACCAGCCCCCGTTCCGGTCGCTGCTGTCGCTCCCAGCAGCAGCAACAACAGCAACGATCGGGCTCTGGCGGAAGAGAATAGCCAACTCACTGCCGAACTGCGCGAGGCTCGTGAGAAGATTCGCAATCTCGAGCTGCAACTTGAGAGTGTGCGGGCCAACGCCAGAAAGGCTGCCCAAGCTCTGTTGGAGAGTTGAGCTCAAAGAAAAGCTCGGACATCCGCCCTTGATACATACTGGAATTCGTTTTCTGTTTCTGTTCAGGTTATTGTCGCCTGCTCCATACCTGTTCTAATTTATATCATCGAGACGTGTTAGCGACATGGACATGAGCATCTGCAAGCTAAGCTTCCGCGCAAAGAACGTAAGTGGTTGATGCCAGCGTCCTTGCCATAAGCGGATCAATTGGTGAAAGTGACTATTTTGCCGCCAAACAACGCACACTCCATCCATCGATCCACCCACCACAATGGCCACCGACCGAATCCGCGAGGTACATCCCCTTCCCCGGTATCGAGCATATCTGCATTCCGTCTGACGTGCCCTGCAGAAACTGAGCCAACTGCGCGTGGAAGCGGACACCGCGATCACGCGCGCCGAGGACGCCGAGAAGAAGGTCAAGACGCTCGAGATGGAGCTGCTCGAGAAGGACAACGCTATCTCCTCGCTCACCCACCGCCTGGATCTGTCGACAACCGAGGTCGAGAAGCTCGAGGACAAAGTCAAGTCGTCGAAGCTCGAGCGCGAGTCGGACGAGTCGAACAGGAGCGCGAACGAGAGTCTACAGAGGAAGATCCAGCTGCTCGAGGACGAGCTCGACACGACGGAGAAGAACGTCAAGGAGACTGTCGAGAAGTGCGTCCGCGCCGCGATCGTGCTTTCTTTCTTTCAGAGCACCCCGCTGATGATGTGCGCGGTGCGCTTGCTCCAGACTGCGGCAAGTTGATGTGAAGGCCGAGCACTTCGAACGACAGCTCCAGCGCGCCGAGCAGGAGCGTGATGACTGGGAGAAGAAATATGAGGTGCGCAGTGGTCTTTCTTTCCATCCAATGTGTTCGCTCATCTGACCTGCTACACTTATCAGGCGATGAACGAGAAGTATCAAGCATCCAAGACGGAGCTCGACGAACTCGTCCGCAGCATGGAGGGCCTGTAGTCTCAGCCCTCTATCGTACCATCGCATCGTCCCTCCTCTCTTCACTATTTCCCATACGTATCACACTATTCAAAGAATTCTACACTGTCCACTGCTTGACATCGGAGGATCACAATCCAGGGTCAACTCGCTTCGCACGCGTGCCTAAAGCGGCCAACTTGCTCTGCTCGACGACGGGCGACCGCGTTCGAGACCATGCAACACCACGAGAGTGACTCCATACAGGAGCCTTCATGCGATTGTGATACAATCCGATAACGTACCGCAAAAAGTCTCCGAACTGAGAACGGGGCTGTGTGGCTAATCAGCGTCCAGCCCGGCACCTCTCCTCCGCTTGACCTTGCCCGCTTCCCTCCAGCGGCGATTCCATTCCCTGGTAAGATCGCCCTTCTGCTCTTCCCATTTCTTGCGGATCTCGTCGTCCGTCTCGTTCCGCACAAAGTGCACATTCCAGCCATTGTCCTTGCCGACATCGAGGATATCTCGCTGGCGTGCTTTGGTGCTGCCCAGCCCAGATTGGAAGGATGTCGGCAGGGGGAAGAATAGCGGTTGTTTGGGATCGAGGGTAATCTGTGCGCGAGTTCGGGATGGCAAACTCACTGCTGCGATCTGGGCAGCTGGGATTGGCTGTGCGGTGGAAGGCGCTTGTGGTGTTGACGGAAGAATGTGGGCTAGCTCGTCATCGAGCTCGAGATCCAATTCGAGTTGTCCGAGAAGCGAGAATCCGACTGATAGGAGAATGTGGTGGTCAGTGGAGGAAAGAGAGTGCTAGAAGAGACGTTCTCACTGTCGTCATCCCGTGTAACAAACAGATCTTTGAGCTTGGTTGTTTGCGCGACTTTCCGAGGGACAGCTCGCGGGGCCTCCTCCTCTTCTACAGGCTCCTCTGCAATCGGAGCAGGTTCTACTGCCCGACTGGTGTCGACATCCATGGGCACATATTCAATCCCGTCGTTGTCCGCATTATCCATGACGCCTCCGATCTTGAGCAGTTCCTCCTCATCGACGTCTGACCCGACACTTTCTCGCCCATCCCAGTCTCGATCCCGCCCGGCGAATAGATTGTTGAGGAAGTCAAGGGTCTTGGATTTTTCAGCCTGGAGATCGCCGTCGGGAGTCTCGGCGTCCAACGCTACTCTATTCACGGTTTGGACAGGTTTCAGTGGTGGTACCAGAGGTTGGGTAAGAGCTGGAATAGAGGTCTCCCGGCTTGATTCCTCTGGGGTGGCTATTGTCGGAGATTTGACTGTCATGATAGCCTCGACCTCGTCTTCAGAATCTGGATCCGAGTCTGATTCGGTCTCTACAGTCTCGGCAGGTAACTCGGCCACCAATGGAGGATCTCGTCTGGGGGCGAGACTGGCGTTCTCCAGAAACATGCCCTTGAGATGCACGCTGTCCCAGCGCGTCGGGTCGATGGTGCGTCTCCGCGCACGAGAGGCAGGATCGCGTTTTTTCTTGGGCTTGCCCGCGGTCGTTTTGGCGGTCGTCGTAGCTAATGGGGGCGGTAGAGGGTGCGAGGGACGCATTCGAATGGGTCGGACAGCGCGCCCCATCTCGGTGACCTTCCACCCCGGACGGCTCTTGGCGTTCTCCGCAGTCACGAGCGACATGTCCTCGGCGTGCTTAGCCCCATGCTTGCGTTTGCGTCCCCGGCTCTTCGGCTCGCCCTCGTCCGTGTTTTCCTGGGCAATTCTACCGGAACGGAGTTACAACAGATTGGATGCCGCAATCAAGAACCAGGTACAGACCGCTGATGAAAGTCAGGACGCGCGTCCCCGACGCGCACGCGGACGCCTTTCCAAATGGATCCGCTCAGAGCGTTCACACCTGCGAGCGGCAAGTCAGCGGATGTGTACGCAGACATCGCGGTATCTACGGAGCGCCTCACATTTCGTGATGCTAGCCTCAGATCCCTCCACGCTGACATACGCAAATTTTCTGGGTGCGCCCAGAGCGTCTTCCTGGCCTACGCCATCGACTGATTTGACCGTGGCGAATCGCGAGAATTGAGATGTCAGAGACTTTTTGAGGTCTTCCGGTCCACTTTGAGGCACCGAGGGCGTGAATGATACATGCAAGCGTTTGGAGACCGACATCGGAGGTTCAGGCAGGTGTCACACAGTGTCACATCAAAACATCATTCTGCGATCAATGTTCACTGATTGAGACTCGAAACATTACATATGGCCCCATCGGGATAAGCGTTTATTCTGAAAGGGAAATGCCCAGAATGAGGCAGTTTTTTGACACCTGTTTGATCGACTGTGTCGTCGGTGGGGACTGAGTGGACAATTCCGAGCTCAGCAGGATTTGTGGCGAGTGTTACATTGCGGAACTCGCTGTATCCCCGTATTGACGGCTTGGCCATAATGCCTCTGAAATGAATTCTGGACGCCTTCATGATTGATTGTACCTACGGCGGTAACCCGGAATCCTGGACCGTCGGGACTGAATTGAACATTATGAACGGTCGATGCCATTCTCTGAACATCTCAGTGTGGATGATAAACTAGTCGGCGAGCACCCGTGCGGTAATTGAGATCCTCTAATTGCCTATTACCCTAAACATGCTCACCAGACGTTGCGAAGGAGATGAAAAGAAATACTGATTTCAGCAAATCGGCTGCATCGTCCATCGCCAGCCATGGGCTACTCGGCATAAAATCAGATAGATCCTGCAACTGAAACAGTGTCAACCTCCAGATATCTCTCGGTTACTCCCGGAGGATACGGATCACCGCTCGATCATGCCTTATTGATTACCATCACTCATGGTCTTTCCCCAACCGTCATCGTCCCCGTTTATCCAGATGGCATTCGTCGACGTTCACTCGATGAATTGCGCTGGAATAGTCATCATTCAGAGCATCCAAGTGTCCGATCCTGCCCGCCGTCAACGATCCTTGCACCCCCGTCGCTTCAGGGCCAAGAAGACAAGTGGACATATTCCGTCCCTCAGAAATCGTAATCTCCGCCACCTCATAGCCTCTCTAAACCCTTACAGCCGCTGAGACATTGGGTTTTGTGGGGTTAAGTAAATCATGACGCTACAAGCGGGCCGCGGCATCTCCGGAGGGCTTTGAACTTCGAATATACCTGCAGGAATATTATCTCACACGTGGCTTCATCGCAATTGCGCATCGTGGTATCGGCTAGATCTTGTGGCTATCCATTCTGAGCATCACCGTTTACTTGTATACCTTGGGCCGCAATCGGGAAACAGCTCTTGACACTGCTTTGAAAGTGCCGTCACTCTCCTCGAGTTTCAGAATTGACATCCCGAAGAGTCGGTTCTCCATCTATCTGCGCGGGTCAGCGCACTGTTTTGGGATCATGCCCCATTCTTAGCAACGAGGCTTGATATATAAAAGCAGCCGCACAATGGGCTCATCTCTCTATCGGCGGTTCTGGCTTCTGGGACCCTGCACAAGCCTCGAGCCCCATCCGACTCTTCTTGTACTTCATCTCTGACAACGATGCTTTTTTTCTCGTCGCTCGTTGTCCTCGGGGCGCTGCCGACCTCCTTCGCAAGTTCAGTCATCAACCTCCCCATCGTCAACAAGGTCATCGCACCTGATGGTTTCACTCGCTCGTGCGTGCCCCAAATTTTTGACCCTGTTTTGCGCACTCAAGTCGCTTTCAGGACCGTTTTGGCGGGCGGAACGTTCCCTGGCCCTCTCCTCTCCGCGCAGAAAGGCGACAGATTCACCATCAACGTCCAGGACAAGCTCACGGACACGACGATGCTCACTCCCACGAGCATCCACTGGCACGGGCTGTTTCAGAAAAACAGCAGCTGGGCCGATGGGCCATCTTCCGTCACCCGTGGGTTCGGTTCGCAATCACGTTTCGGACGCATGCTGAGTCCGAGAATAGAGTGCCCCATCACGCCGGGCCACAGTTTCGTGTACGACTTTGCGACCGCAGGCCAGTCCGGGACCTACTGGTACCACAGTCACCTGTGTGAGCGCTCCCTGAAAGCGGATCACTGGGTGTAATATTGATGGCGCTACTAGCCACGCAGTACTGCGACGGGCTTCGTGGCCCGCTAGTCATCTATGATCCGCACGACCCCCTGCGGTACCGTGAGTCAAATACCCGAGATCTGGCACGCAATCTGACCGGCGTTCATCTATCACAGTGTATGACGTTGATGATGGTGCGGATGGACAGCGCTCAGAGATCACGCGGATCTAACATCGAACAGAGTCGACGGTAATCACTCTCGCTGACTGGTATCACTTTGTCGCCCCAGCGTATGTCCCGGCAGCTCATTGTGGAAAGCCGCGCACTGACATTATCTACAGGGCTCCGCGTATTCCGGCGGCCAACTCGACTTTAATTAATGGCCTGGGGAGATATCAGGGTCAGTCAACACTTCCATGCCCTAAATTTCCGGTCTGATCAACTCCACAGGTGGAGTAAGCTCATTCTCGTAGCTACAAAACGCAGCCTCCTCTGACTGATTTGCTAGCCGGCCGATGCTCCCCTCTCTGTGATCACCGTCGAGGAGGGCAAACGCTACCGATTCCGCCTTGTCGCCATCAGCTGCGACCCGAACTACGTCTTCAGGTACGATTCTTTCATTTCGTGTGTTCAGATTGTATTAAAGGAACCAAGCATCGATGGACATTCTCTGACCGTCATCGAAGCTGATGGTGTCAGCACCAAACCTGTCACTGTCGACTCTCTCCAGATCTTTGGTAAGACCTCGGTTCAAAGTGCACGGTCCTAGATGTTCAATAATCCTCTCCGTAGCCGGCCAGCGGTACTCCTTCGTTCTCAAGGCCAACCAGCCCACCGGAAACTACTGGATCCGGGCGAACCCGAATGTCGGAATTCCCGGCTTCACCGGAGGGATCAACTCGGCCATCCTGCGGTACAAGAAGGCGCGGCGCGTCGAGCCCACCACGAACTCGACCGCGAGCAACCTGCTCCTCGAGACCAATCTGCACCCGCTCTACCGGTCCCCCGTCGCCGGGCGCCCGTTCGTCGGGGGTGTCGACAAGGCGCTGAATCTGAAGATCTCGATCAACGGGACGACGGGCAAGTTCCAGATCAACGGCGCGCCGTTCATCCCGCCCACGGTCCCGGTGCTGCTCCAGATCCTCAGCGGCGCGCAGACGGCGCAGGAACTGCTCCCGCCCGGAAGCGTCTACCCGCTCCCGCCGAACGCGGTGGTCGAGGTGAGCATTCCTGGCGGCACGCCCGGCGCACCGCATCCGTTCCACCTGCACGGGGTGAGTGTTCAATCTTTGATCACCGACACGTGACCCATGATCTGACGTCCGTGCGCGTGTCTGAAGCACAACTTCTGGGTCGTGCGCAGCGCCGGCAACACCAGCTACAACTTCGATGACCCGGTTCTGCGCGACGTCGTCTCGACCGGGCCCTCGACTTCGGATAACGTGACGATCCGGTTCATCACGAACAACGCCGGCCCGTGGTTCCTGCACTGCCATATCGACTGGCATCTAGAGGCGTGAGTCCACGTTTCGCCCCTTGCACAATCCGCATGACCGTTGAACTTGCTCCTTCCGCAGCGGACTGGCGATTGTGTTTGCGGAAGACACGAAGACGATCGTCCACGAGAACTCGCTGCACGAGTTCCCCAAGGCGTGGGCGAATCTCTGCCCGGCCTACGACAGCTTCTTGAACTCGACCTCCACTTGAACAACACTCTTTCTGAATATTTGTTATGCTGTAATCTTATTCGCGGAGTGCCGACGAGGAGGAGTACTATAACCACACGCCTCACACTAATCTCGGACCAGACCTTGTACTTAACTGTCATTTATTCGGTGTTCTCCCTATTACAGAAATGAAACAAATACATTCTTTGTGTCGGTGCTGCCCCATCCGGCAGCAGAATTCGACAGTAATGAATTAGTGATCTCGGTGATCTTGATGATGCGAACATGCCGAGGCACGAGACTAATAACTATCTTCCCATCAACAGTCATCCATCCATCTACAAGGCGCTGAGCCCTCGATCCCGTGCCGCCCCCTCGACGCAGAAACAGCAGTGCCAAGCGCAGACGCGCTTTTAATAGGGCGTCCCAAGCCAATCATTCTTCCCGTGACGGGGCACCCGACCAGATCTTTGTCTGGCACTCTGGGCTGCCGCCGGTAACCTGCCCACCCGCGCTCGCTGCTGTTCCCCTCGACGGCCCAGCCGCTGGTCATGCGTGTGATAGGCCAACAGCTGGAGTGGCTCGGCCGCAGGGGAATAGCCTCGCACGGGCTCTGCTGACCTCGGGTCGTGGTGGTTTGTCACTTGGGCACCGCAGTTGTGCGATATGTACTTTCTTCGTTCAGCTTTTCTTGAGCTCGAGGGAAGGACAATCGTCTCAGCGAGAATGCTTCCTCGAGCAGACTCAATTACAGTTTGATCCCGCCCGATCTCGACCTCCAACGCGATCTCAAGCTGTGCTTGTCCGGCGCCAAACCAAGCGTACATGGGTGGATGTCCACCTTTCTCCACGTCAACCCACTCCGCTCTGGACCGCCGGCCCGCGTCTACCCGCACACAATGCGATGCTAATTTTCTCTCGCCGCCGTATATAACGCCTGTTGAACAGTCCTTGCTCCCCAGTTCTCTGCCTCGACGACAAACAGCTAACGATGCGCACTTCATTCTTCCTGATCGCTGTCCAGCTTTTGGCGGTGCGGTTGTTTTTTGGCTTCGCCATCTGAAAAACAAATTACTGATTACGTCTGCTGGGCAGGTTTCGGCTACTGTCGTGAAACGGGCAACTGTTAATGACGTAGCGACCGTCGGCTACGGTGAGTTAGGAGTTTACGCGCCCTCGCCGTGCACAGACTGACTTGCGCTGGCAGCCACCCTCAATGGAGGGTACATCCTGTCTTCTTTTATTCCGGCGCGTAACCCATAATTTCCCAGGACGACTGGCGGCTCGGGCGGCCCCACGACGACTGTGACCACGCTCGACGCCCGTAAGCAATCAGATTTCAACTCAGCTGCACGCACGCTGACCGAGCGCGCAGTGACCACGGCCCTGACCGGCAGCGCGAAGAAGATCGTCCTGATCTCCGGTAGGTCACGTTCTTGGCGAAATGGGGGTCCCGTTACCCACATTAATTGAGGGACCATCACGGGGAACGTCGCACTCAGGGTCGGCTCCAACACGACCGTCATCGGCAAGACGGGATCAGGTACGCACTGCCGCGCTCGTTTACTCTAGGTGTCGAGAACTGATCAGCGAGTCACGCAGCCTTGGTTGGCGTCGGTCTGCGAGTCTTCAGAGAGGTTCGCTGCTCCCCGTGGTTGCTATATTCTCGTCTGATATTGACACGCGCACGCGATCCACAGCAAAATGTCATCATCCGCAACGTGAAGATCTCGAAGGTGCTCGCCAAAGCGGGCGATGCGATCGGCGTGCAAGAGGCCCACCAGGTCTGGATTGACCACGTTGATCTCTCGTCAGATTTGGGTATGTCCGTCAATTCGAAGCAGAGCGAGATTGACTGATCGCTTTCTTCGGATAGACCACAGCAAGGACTTTTACGATGGACTCTGCGATCTGTATGATCTTGGCTGGTTTGAGCATACAAACAACGAAACTCATAATGGGTTCAGGACACACGGGGTCACCGGGATCACAGTCACCAACAGCTTCTTGCACGAGCACTTCAAGGCTTCACTCATCGGCCATTCGGACAACAACGGGGCTGAAGATACAGCGATCACCGTCACCATGGGAAACAACTATTGGTGCGCCTCGCCACCACCCGCAGCTAATGAATCCTGCTCAACAAAAACAGGCGCAACCTCAACTCGCGCACTCCGTCTCTGCGCTTTGGACATGGTCACGTGTTCAACAACGTCTTCGACAGCAACATTCTGACCAACATCAACACCCGCGACGGTGCGTGCCGCTGGGATAACTGGAAAACACGAAAACATCTGATAACATCTGATTCAGGTGCCCAAATGCTCATTCAAAACAATGTCTTCATCAACACGAGTCTTGCGATTGAGAGCACCGATGCTGGTTTCGCCGTCGCGACCGGAAACGACTTTGGTGGGGCTACCAACACCGGTTCGTGTTCTGCTCCGGTGCTGTGCATAGTAGTTTGATTGACTGGCGATCAGCCCCCGTCGGAACCTTCACCAGCCCACCCTACTCCTTTACTTTGCTCGACACCGCGAGCGTCAAGGCCGCTGTCGGTCCGTGACCTTATTGACTTATTTGTATCCGCTGAAAAGCCGACTGACGTGATTTTCAGTGGGGACTGCTGGACAGACGCTGTCCTTCTGAACGAGATCTTGACAACCTGAATGTACCAATACAATGTACTCCCACAAGAATGCATATCACAACTTTTTCGTCGTGCGAGAATTCGTGTGCTTTTGACAATACTTCATCTTGACGCTGGGATGTGGATTGAGGCATCCGGACCGGTGTTTAAAATGCGCTCGGAATTATGAAAGATTTCTGTCAGAATCTGGTTCTCGCTTCTGCCATGTTCACCAAGTTCGAAAGCACGTGACAAACTTACGGAAGCAAAGGTGCACGACACGCCGACGCATGCACACCAATGAAGTCTCAGCTTACATGCCTAGCGCATAACACCTTTTAAATTTCTCCATGCAGAGCATATACATCCAGCTCAAACGTTGAAGTACCAGCGAGCGTAGTACGCGCCCACGATCGACGACCCGAGCGCGAGCACTTTCGGAATCGGACCTTTCGTCAGGCGGGGCACCGAGCTGAGGGTGAGCAAAACAGAGGCCACTAACATGGAAGCCGATCAGCACGAGCCGGGGCAACGGACAGCATGCGGACGACGCACACAAGGCACCCTGCACTCCCACGTTCCCTGCCGCTGACCCGTCGAGCATCTGCGAGCCGCTGCGCAGATACAACATGCCCACGCTGCGGAATGCGGCCTCGAGTCTTCACTCGTAGGAAGGAGGAAACACGCACGCGAGGCCCGCGACGAAGGACGGGATGGAGCCTTTGCGGAAGAAACCGATCGCCCCGCCGACGATGCAGAGCAGGCTCATGCCCATGGCAGGGATTCCACTGGCGGACGACGACGACTGTGCATGGTGAATCAGAGGGCGCGTCGGGGAGACGGGTGGTTATCGGCTTGTGCAGACCATTTTACGGGAGGACGCGTGTGTGGTGATGACGACGAGGGGTTTGGTCAGGATATGAAGTCGTGGCGGTGCCGCTGTCATTCAAAGGTGAGAATCATTTTGGGATGGACCGACGCGTGTGTGGAACATCGGTCCGCACTCGTCCATTGAGGTGGCCACTAGCATTCTTGGCATTGATTCCTATTGTTTTCCGGTCAGAGTTCGGCGGAGAAAGTCAGGCTTCATCACTTGTGTACTTGTGGCACACGCTAAGAAACAGTGCTTTGCACAAACAGAATGGAGTCGTTCATTCTGAGAGATCATTGTCCTGGAACGTGGGGATACTTGTATTGGATACATCTACATTTGGTTATGGCCCGCCTGTGCCCTCCTCTTCCAAATCATCGTCGTCGTAGTCTTCGCTGTCGGGCGGTGGAGAAAAGCTTTCGTAGTCGTCGTCATCGTCTTCAACATCGTCTCGCTCGCTCGCTCCATCTCTAACTCTGGTACTGCCCCCTTCGACGTCGACGTCGTTCTCATCATCGTCGTTCTCATCATCGAACTCCTCGTCCTCGTCCTCGTCATCTTCGTCGGCATCCGAGCCCTCAAGCGACTCTTTCAGCTACAATTGCCGTCAGAATCCCACACTCTCATTCAGGGGCCGAATGATGTCACGTACCATCTCAAGTAGCTCGTGACATTCATTCAAATGCGCCATGACCACACCCTGGCCCTCGGGTACAGTGCCCTCTGGCCCGACAAACTTGCCATCCTTGCGCATCGAATCAATTTGAAACAGGGCTAATTGATACTGCGACAGTCAGCAAAGGAGCGGAGTAGGCAAGACAGAGAAGACATACAGGATATAGATCCCGAGCGCTGAATGTACCGCCGTATTTGAGCACTTCGTTGAGGCACTTTTTGACGGTCGACAGTTTGTTGGCCTACTGCAGTCAGCAGGAAGAGGTGTAGAGTTCCTGAAAGCACGTACGATGGGCATGAGTTCCTCAGACACAGGCTCACTGGAGGATAGCAATCGGTATATCAGCCCGTAACATCGACGAAGGAGATACAGGAGGATCTACTCAATCGTCAGCTTCATAGTTTCACACGGACAGACACGCACATATTGGCCAGGTGGTCTGCCACCCTCCGAATCCAGAAACTTGCCATCCACCCTCATCTTGTCGATATCTTGCAGCGCACTCGAGTAGTTCCATAGATCAGTTTCGCGCAGTGTCCATCGATGCGTCAGCACCAGACTCTCCAACTCCGCTCTGAGTCCAGAAAGTCGGTCGTAGATCGGCCTCAGCGACCCGTCGACGTATTTCGAGTCCTCCTGAGCCTTGATCTCCTGGACGATTTCGAAACACTCCTCGAGCAGAGAGGAGCAGATCGCCTGCGACGCGGGAACAATCCCGCCTGGCCCGAGGAACTTGCCATCGACCCGCTTCGAGTCGATCTTCCGCAGCTCTTCTTTGATCGGCTTGAGCTCAGCGACGTGCGATCCTTCCTTGGCAGCGAGGGCCACGAGCTGTCGACGCAGTGTAACGAGGCGTTCATGGATCGGTATAAGCTCCACCGACAGCACAGAGAGTGACTCTTCCAGACGACGGACGATGCTCTCTGGAATCCAGCGGCAGCGCATGAGACGTGGTGGGAAGGGGAGGAAGGGATACAGCAACGCACCACATTCATTTAACTGCCGCTCAAGCAACTTCGTCAGTGCATTAGCCTGTTTCCCTTCATGCTGTACGATCTGTCGCAGCTCGGCTAGCCGTCGCCGAAAGGGCGCCAAGTCTGATTCATTGTACACCGCACTCTCATCCATGTGTCGCAGAATTTGCTACGAGGCGATGTCAGCTGAGCTGCCCGGTCGCGTAACGGAACCCGGTGACCGACCCTCATCGAGGCGATTTGGCAGTATACGGCAGGTGCGTCACGGGTCTTGCCAATCGTCATATAGAACAGGGAGAGGAGACTGAAGACATCGGCGAGTGTCGTGTCGAGCCGATTGTTACAGTTGGTGTCATCGTCACGGACTTCATTGAGCTTCGTGACTGGAGAACGGAAGCGTCAGCACGGGTATTATGGGTGGCATGCCGCAAAAATGGCTCCCCGGCCAAGATCCGGACTTACCCTGTTTGACGACAGCCTGATACAGCGAATTCACATCGGAAGGCTTGATATACTCTCCGCGGTCCTTCTTGAGTACCGTTAGCCTGTTCCGGATGCTGTGAATCTGGTCAGCAGGGTGTCCGAGAGTCCCACAGGACGCACTGATCTCGCTCGGCGTGCGAGGAGATGCCATGCGCGTACACCACACAACAATCAAGATCGGGATCCGAGCCACCTGAGAACCCCCACGCGATTCTCTTGCACACACACACCCACACCCAGTCTCGCAGAGCACGCGCCACTGTACATCCCGCAATAGATCATTTGGAGAGGATAATTCTTACGAACTTGATAACACTTTCGAGAATGGGGAACTCTGCATGGGAGGAGACCGACGTCAGGATCACTTTCGGTGCACTAAGTGGGGGAAGCACGCACCCTCAGGAGGGACCGGAGCCGCCATATTCGTACGCCGCGCTTGTGGACTGTCGCGGCCAGGAGCAAGCGATAATTGATCAGCAGCGGTCACGCCTGGAGCAGTCAGTCACATTCATGTCACCGCCCTTTTCTCATCCTCTTTATTATATTTAACCTGCTTTATGCTCGTCCCCGATGAGCGGATGAGGGAGGTGAGCTTCCGCACATATATTTGCATTGTGTACACTTGTCTTAGGGGTCTGTAGGCGATTTCGGCTCTCCAGGAAACAACGGTATTGATTTCCGCGCGCACCCAGTCCCTCCATCTCGACCTCGCGCGCAGCAAGCGCGCATTGAAAGAGAAGCAGCGGCTAATATGCGAACTGCAAGAGAAGCTCCGCCTCACACACGTTCTCCTACAACTGTTGGCGCGTCGGAAGGCCGTGGAGGTCGAGTTGGACGTGCTGGAGAAACGGTGTGTTTGCTTCCTCCCCTCGTGCTCTCATTCCATGCCGAACATCCTAGGGTGTCCGCTACAGCGCATCACATTGATACCTGGCATCAGCGCGTCGTGTTTGCTGAGGAGGACTGCGCGCAGTGGGAATCTTTGTGCGAAGTGAGTCCGAGTCTATTTCAAGGCTGTCACGTAAAGCTCATGATGCCGAAAGGACGCGTATCGTCACCACGAGGAGCTGAAAAGGGATATGCTGTGCTTGAGGGAGATGTATTAGGCGGCGCGCGAGACGCGGCGACGTGGAGCAGGAAACTATCTATTTGTTGTGAGGGTCATATTGTTATCCCCTTTGCTTTCCAAACCTTGCTTTCTGTACAAATTGGTTTCACAAAGAGTTCGTTGACTACTTTCACGATACAGATGGCAGGAGCTATTGATACAGCACAAGAGGCAGGCCGTTCATACCGGACTTAGGGATGGCTGCCTTGAAACGAGAGTTGAGGCTTGTGTCGAGGCCAAGCTCTGCATCTCCTTTTCTCGCGACCGGCGCTTTGCCGCCCGAGGGTTCAATATCAGCGCTGCGACGATGACCAGTCCGTCCATCACCTAGCAGGTATCAAGACCACATCTATGTACTGACACTTTCGGACACTCACCACGACAACCGAATACGTGATCCCAGCAACGACATCGAAACCGCCCTTGAAGACAAGCGAAAGGTCGGAGAACACGCCTGCCAGCAATTCGTCAGTCGCCAGTGAACCCATTTACACTGCGCACCTCCAAGCATGTCCACCGCCATGAACACCATCGAGATCCCGACGACCTCCTGCATCCGATAGATCACAACATACTGTGGTATCAATGCTCCGGCAATGATCACAGAACTGCAGATGCCCAAGAATCGGACCCCCGCTTCCACCCCGGGTGAGCACCGTTTCGCAGGTGCTCTTGGTATATCGGCCGGACTGTGCAGACGACAGCAGCTTCGAATCCTCCGCACAAGAGCATGGCTAGCAGAGCTAATGCACAGGATGTCCTGACGGACTTTTTCGCGCCATAGTAAAGGCACTGCACGCGGATTGAGTTCGTGAGGCAAGAAGATCGAAGCGACCACGCACCTGTCCCCACGAGACGAAAGAAAGGAATCCAAAGAGTTGCGGCTGCAGAATGAGCGGGATGTTAAGGTTTTGTATGAGACCGTATGCGCCGAGAAACGGAGAAGCAGCGCCCCAGAGCAGTCTGTATCCTCTCAGTATCAGAAACAGAGGACAACGCGCGTGCACTGACACAAGCCAATGCGACAGCCCATCCGTCGACTTTTCTCGCCAGCTCTTCCACACCTGGGGTAGGATCTGCGCGGTCCAGCACACCGTGCCTGCGATCATCTTGAACTCCCGCCGTCCATCCAATCATCCGACAGCCCATACCTATTGTACCGAGTACATTTTCAGCTGCCGCGTTCACTGGCATTGGGAAGGATGAAAAACACAAGTGGTACGATCATCGTAAGTACGCCGTGCGGAAGTTCCTTCATGCGGATTACATCGCATCTGTGTCGCGAAATTGGTCATAGGGAATGAGCCCGGTGTTCACCGGCCGACGGCCGAGGGCGGTCCGCTCCGGGACGGTTACGGGGTAGCTGGGCATGGTGAGTCGCCAGACCACAAGAGTGACAAGACAAAGCTGAGTTTGCGTGTAATAAAAGTACATGACTGGGTACAAATCAAAGTGACGATGCTGGAATAAGAAGAGGCGGCGACTGCGGGGCCAGCCGGTCTCAGTGCCCTTGTGTGGGACCACACAACTGGCACGCGACCCGTGGAGGAAGGAGAGGCTCAGAGTCTGGCAGACTGTATCTGCAGCTGCTGCTGGCTGAGTCCGTACACGGTCTTCGCGTAGTACAGACCCGCCATGGCCGACGTCGAGGTCAGCGCAATCGGAACACCACCGCGGCGCAGTCGTGGAGCAGATGACAGGAAGAGGACCGCAGATGCACCTGGATCTCCATCAGGCGACCGCGACACGACGACGCATGGAGCACGCACCAATCGCACCCTCGAGCCCGTTCGGCTGCCCTCGTCGAATGCGGTCTCCAGCCCACATGTATAAGGCTCCGACACTGAGACGCATGTCAGCTGAGGGGTTCTCGTGAGATAAGGGAAACGACGTGCCCGAGTCCGGCCGCAAGGGAGGGCACGCTACGTGTCCGCGCAAAGCCGGCGACACCGCCCATCATGCAGAGACCTCCCATAGCGAATGCGGGGTAGGCAGACTGGTAGACATTAGCGTCGCGTAGAAGGGCTTTGTGGACCGGCACATACCATGTCAATTGTGGTAGTGTTAAGGGAAAGAGGAAGAGATGATGATAACGCGTGTCCGGCAAGGGGAGTTAGTGGGGAAATGGGGGGACTGGGTGGGAAAGTCCTCTCCTTTTGGCCGAATCTATAAAAATGCGGGGAAGGCCAGACCCCGCATTTGGAAGCACAAACACGTGAAAGAAGCGTTGACTGGGATCCATTTGATCGGCCAAAGCGGGCTGGAAGATGGCTGGGCCAGGTCGAGCGGAGAGTCTGGTCTAGAATCAGGTTCATACGCCCTCATAATATTTCGTGGAATGGGTCTGTAATTTGTGCCTAGACAACCTAGAATGTCAAGCCCTCGTCTAATTTTGTGCGAAATTGTCACAGCCACTGACGGAACATGCACATGACCCATGACTGATGGTGGCTGACATCCTCCATCAACTGATGTGGTGGTTGCGGACCCGACCGCCCCGACATTTGTGACCGACCTTGACTTTTTGAGACGTGCGCAACAAGCGCGTCAACCCGCCGCGTCTTCGCTTCTTCCCATGTCCTTGCTGTCTCCAAAATGGGGTCTGGGTCGCTCACTGCTTGCGCTCGCTCCGGTCCTGCTCCTCGGGTCCATTGTCGCACTGAGGCACCACTATAGTCAGTACCTGCGTCCACAGCAGCCAATCGCGGTCAACATGCCTAGCTGACTTCCCCTTCTTTCTTTCTCAGTACTCGTCAAGCCTAACATCTTACTGTATGTTCCCGTTCCTTCCTCGCATAACGACGTCACCTAACCGACCACCACAAAGAACCGACCCGCTGACCCACCTCCCCCAAATCTCGGAATCTCGCATTCTCGACGTCGCACGACATCTCTCAGAGGGCATCGGGTACCGCACGGTCGGGACGACCGAGCACGCCGAGGGCGACGCGTGGATGATCGCGCAGGCTCAGGCGCTCAAGACCCACTGCGATGCCGTCGTGCGCGCGGAGCCCGGCCGGCGGCTGGAGTGCGAAGTGTGGCACCAGCGGGGCAGCGGGACGCACCGCTTCGACATGATGGGCAAGCGGTTGTACAAGACTTACCAGAGTGCGTGTGCCCAGTCGCGTTCGCCCCCTCCCTGACGCGGCCTGACGTGGGCTTGAATATGCAGACCTCACCAACATCATCGTACGGCTGTCGGACGGGACGGACGCGGGAAAAGAGCATGCGCTGCTCGTCAACTCGCATGTCGACAGCACGCTCCCGAGTCCCGGTGCGGCAGACGACGCACTGGCAGTCGGTGCAATGCTGGACTGCATCCGCGTGCTGCTTGACACGCCGGGCTGGTCGCCGGCGCATGCCGCGATCTTCCGTGCGTCACTTCCCTTTGTACTGGTGGCCCCCACCTGAGCGGCGCGGTGTAGTGTTCAACAACGCGGAAGAGTCGCTGCAAGACGGCTCGCATTTGTACTCCACCCAGCACCCCACTGCGGCGACGTGCGCTCCTTCCGTCTCATTCTTCGTCTTCTTACGTTCTCACAGGGTCCGTGCCGTGATCAATCTCGAGGGTGCGTAAGCCCAGCTATGTGAATGACCCTTTCTCAGTGCCTGCTTGCTCAGCCGCTGGAACGACCGGCCGGGAGCTCTTGTTCCAGGCAACTTCGGAAGAGATGGTCGAAGCATATTCTCGCATACCGCAGTCAGTCTTTCAAATGGTGAATGCTTCGCTCCATCCACCGATCATGCGTCCGCAGTCGCTTCGGGACGATATTCGCCAATGAAGTCTTCAATTCGGGTGTCCTGTTATCCGAGTCCGGTCTTCCCTTGCGTGTTGCGCGTAGCTTACCCTAGACAGCACTGATTTCCGGCAATTTGAAGAGTATCTGACCGTCCCCGGTCTTGATGTGAGTCCTTTGACGTACTGTGTGTGTGACGACATATGGTGATCCCCGTCATCTAGATGGCAGTTGTCGGCAACAGTTATCTGTATCATATGCGCAAGGTGTGTAGTGGATGCTTATGCTGTATGATCCAGCATTCTCATCTATGTCAGGATCTGGTGGAGAACATCCAAGTCGGAGTGGCCCAGGCACGAACTGTTGATCGTTTGCACACAACTGATCGCTAATCTTCACCGAAGAACATGGGTGAAAACACACTTGCCCTGGTCAAATACATAACCGCCGCTGGTTCCTCGCTGCCCACGGTGCAGAAAAAAGGACAGTTGCAGCTGGTGTTCTTCAGCTTCCTGGATTACTTTGTGATGTATTCCTTCTCCGCCGCCAAAGTGCTCTATGGGCTGGGTCTCGTTGCTGTTCTGGCAGCGACTCGCTCCGTCTGGCGTGGACAGCGCACGGGCATCCTCGCTGCGTCGGCCGGTCTGTTGGGTAGTTTGTTTGGTGTGAACCTGCTGGCGGTCATGATGAAGGTGGTACTTGGGAAAGGGATGAGCTGGTTTGCGGGTGGGCATTTTGCAGTGCTAGCGTTATACGGCCCAGCTGCTTTACTCGGTCCGTAGCCGTGTCGATTTGTTGCTCAGATTGGACCTGATACATTCAAAAGGCGCATTTGCATCTCAACTCGCAGTGCCTACTACGAATGAAAAGGCCGCATTTGCGTCCATCTTGCTGCTCCAATCCGCCGCAGCTTTCGTTCTGCAGCTGATCAACGTCGGGACAGGCTTGCTGTTCTTCCTGCCTACCTTCCCATCCTTGGTTTCTCTGCTGCTGAATGACCATATCCTCACTAAGACCAAGTCCGAGCTCTCGCTCTGGACCTATGTGCTTGCTCAAGCGGTCCCAATAAGTCTCGGAGCGCAGCTGATTATAGTCACGTTGGAGGTGTTTGTACCTTTGGTGCGCCATTATCGCAGCTGTGCGGTAGATCCGACGAATTTGACGTTTTAGACTGGACGAATGGGAACTGTCCCTGCAGACCACATTGTAGGTACTCTCGTCGCTGTCCTTGGGTCGCAGGCGCTCCCACTCCTGGTTCCGTTCGCACATCGGTTCGGCAAGCCTGCTGTACGCAGGATTGTATCTATCCTGGGCTTGGTGGTCGTGATCAATATGGCCGTATTCGCGGCAAGAAATCCCTTCGACGAGATGCATCAAAAACGACTGTTTGTCATTCATGCGGAGAATGTAAGTTATACAGGATCCTCGGTACAGAGTCCCCTAGTAACTGAACGCTTCAATCAGGTGACCACAAACGAGCACCACTTGCACCTCGCAACGTCTGATGGCGCTCCCGGCTTCCCTAATCTTGTGCAAGATATTTCGGCTGCATTTGGTTCAAATGGACAGGAGGCCACGGCTGTCGTCATGAACGATCACAACACGGATTGGGATCCGCTGTACCCGTTCTCTGCCGTGTGTGATCAAATAGCACTTACCAGCTCATTCGTTCAATGCTCTTTGTAGTTCTTGTATCCCTACAAGATCCAGCTGCCCGTCGACCCCGAATACGTCTCACCATGGACGAAACCGGAGACTGCATTTTCGCTGACGGCGGTCGATGACAAGCTGGACAGCGCCGCTGGCACCCGTAGTTTTACGCTCAGAGTGCATCATCCGGGCTTAATCTGGACCGGTGCGTTCGAACCGTCCATTATCTTATCTGATCTCGTCTGATCTGACATCCTCCAGTCATCGCATTCGACGCGCATGTTCTCGAATGGACGCTCGATCGCAACCCGCCCGCCGAATACGCGCGCCACCACGTGAAGGAGGCGTCGTTCGTGGGGACGGACACGTACACGATCGACCTCGTCGTCAACTCCACCGCGCCCATCGCGTTCCACTTCATCGGCATCCAGGAGACCGCGATGTGGCCCGCGAAGCAGGCCGTGCCGGAGCGCGGGCCGGCGATGCAGCTGTTTGCGCGGCTTGATGCGTGGCTCGATGAGACCACGGGAGGGACAGTGGATGCGCTGTTGATGGGATGCGTCGCGGGGTCCGTCGTGGTGTAGATGTTTATTCATAGAATACAGTCTTCCGCTGTTAAATTGGAGCGCCGTCTTTGGTTCCGCGGCCTTCCTGCAGGTTTGACTCTCCGAGATGTAAAATCACCTTTGGCCGTCGATACTCATCGACGATCCGAACCGACCCCCTGCTACTCCTGCAGAGTCAGTCCGGGATAGTGCAATTCATTTCCCTAGAGGGCCGGAAATATAGCGGCCTAGTACACCAAATCTTTGGCTGAGATATTGATTCTTTCGCGGTCAAAGTCCTTCCCAAGATCCAGACCAGGATCAGAAGGATGTCATTCTTCCACTATGATTGCTAGAAGTCTTGTTGAATCAGCCACAAACCAAGAGATGACGAAATTGGATCGACCTCGGATCAAGGACATGACGAAAAGTTCAAGATTTGTGTGAGCCTCAGTCCGACATAGAGCAGCAGATCGAGGTCCAAACCAGCCCATTTCTCGGTGCAAATCAGCCTGCTGGAGTGGACTGACATCGTGGAGAGCAGCCGGGGGCCTACTGAAACGCACAGTTAACACTCGGCAAAGCTATTCAATAACGTGATTCCGGGCAGCGATCTATGTACCACTGTGAAACTGCGACCTTGGCGCGGAGCCACACGATTTGGGCGGTAACCACGCTGGCTGCACTCGACGCTCGAGGCAGGCGCCCAGGCTCGAGCTCAAAGACCGCTGGTACCGGCGTTCTATATTTATAACCACGCCGGGTCGATGTTTCGGATGTCATAGCGTAATGCCCTGCATATGGCGGGTGTACAGATGACGCGAGGTATCCTCGATGTCACCCGAGAGCTGTCCCCGGTCAATCGTAAAGTCCAACATGGGATTTCCCTGATATGGCAGGTGAGAAATTTTGAGTTCATGGACACGTGATGCAGTGTGAAATTCATGTGATTCTAGATCTCCGGCCGCTGCGGCATGCAAGATGTATTGCTGGCGATCTTTCCCGGGCCGAGGGCACGGCTGGAGGTTTTGCTTTGCATCGCATCTCGTCTCGACATCTCTGCCGATCGCAGGCAAGCGCACCGGGCGGACCCTTGGTGTCGTGTGATCCGACATTCGACCGTTGCACTGGCAAACCGCCGCGCTTGTCCTTGGCCCGCCGAGGTGCGTGCGCGAAGGAGGTGCATCGCAACACATGCAAGTACAGTGGGATAGGGACACGAGAGAAGCCTGGCTGCCACGTGCGCGGGGATCGTACCCGAATTGTTTCCGAAGCTTGGTAACCTAGGAAGCCCTGCAAGTATCCCGCTGCTTCGTTGAATGAATATGATTCCCGTGCCGAAGATCTTCTGCATGCCAGAATGGGTTTGGGCCGGAGAGGTCACCGGGGTCTGCTTGCGGCGCTCCGTCAGCGGATTCCCAGAGGGTCTCACCTACGAGATGAGGCTGACGTCGTGTTTGTCTCTCGATGGCCCATGTCTATCTGTCGCCTGCCATTCGCTGTGTTCTGTGGTGACCAGCCGACCTCCAACCCTTGAGGGTCCGGGTCCCAGCGCGCGCGCGCGCGCTGCCAAGTCTGTTGCTAACGCATCGCCCTCCGTCGCGCGCACAGGAACAAGGCATTTCCGGTTCAGGAAGTCCGACAATCAGCAGGACGATCCATCAATCGCTTCTCTGAGATAGCCGGACTATTTACCGCGCGTGCATCCCGCTGCTGACCCGCACGAGTTGACAAGTCGACAAAGCGACAGTCCATTGGGGGATGAGATTATAAGTGAGGGGGGTCGGGAGGGCCAGGAACCCATCCCAAGTGCACCTCCCCACACACTCCCTCACTTGATTCACTAATTATCCGCCATGGCACCTGCGGTATTTTCTCCCCGCTTCATCGCGCTCGTCGCTCTCTCGAACGTCGCCGCCGTTCTGGCAGGCACCTACCAACGCGCGGATCTCTTCGTCGGCGCGAACTTCTACGATTCGTTTGACTTCCAGGCAATTCCGGATCCCACACACGGCCGAGTGTGCGTTCACATTTCATCTTCTGCCTGTCAGTCCAGCTGCCGTCGCATCGCTGACGCTTCGGCTCTCCAGAAACTACGTCGACCAGGCGACGGCGCAGGCACAGAACCTGACGTTCGCCGGCCCGAACAAGTTCGTTCTGCGCGCGGACCACACGACGGTCATCTCCGACGCGAGCCCCGTCGGCCGCAACTCGGTGCGCATCCAGTCGAAGAAGAAGTACAGCACCCATGCTGCGGTGTGAGTTCTGTCACTCCTTTCAGTCAAATGCTGCGGAGAGTTCATGCGGGATCAGGTTCGATATTGCGCACATGCCGGAGGGTTGCGGGTGAGTTGCTACGGTTTTGTGTTCTTGGTTCTGATAGACTGATGATAATCCTGCTCAGAACTTGGCCTGCTATGTGCGCGTGATTCACACATTGTACAGAAGCCGTTGATTGATTTTTCGCTCCATAGTTGGGAAACTGACACCGTCGTCTGGCCCCACGGGGTGAGTGCATTTCATCTTTCCATCATCAATTTGATTTCCAATTTCCGCCTTCTAGGGTGAGCTCGATATTATCGAGGGTGTGAACGGCGTCGGCAGCAACCAAATGACTTTGCACACCGACCCAGGTACGTCTCCTGCCAATAATCACGTATTTTCGCGACTGTAAATGGGGAAAACAGGCTGCACGATGCCCCAGAATCGGGCCCAAACGGGTACCTCGCTGCAGCTCAATTGCGACGCCAACGTGAACGGAAACGCCGGCTGTGGAGTGAGCGCCGGCCAGCCACTGAGCTACGGACCGGCGTTCAATGCCAACGGCGGAGGCTGGTATGCCATCGAGCGCAGCCCCAACGGTATCAACGTCTGGTTCTGGGCGCGCTCCGACCCCACCGTCCCGCAAGAAGTCCGCGTCGGAGGAGTAGGCATCAACACACAGGGCTGGGTGTGTCCACCTCCACATTCGATCATGAACAATAACTGATTCTTGATAGGGTACCCCGACCGCGAGCTTCCCGAACACGCAGTGCAACATCGGCCAGTTCTTTGACGCGCACAACATCATCATCAACCTCACGCTCTGCGGCGACTGGGCCGGCCAGCCCCAAATCTACGCGAGCGCCGGCTGCCCGTCGTCGTGTATGAGCTTCGTCGATGCGAACCCTGCGGCATTTGCGAACGCGTACTTCGAGATCAACTCGATCAACGTTTACACATGAGCAGTGGGTTGGAGCACAGGTATTTTTGGATTAACCATATGGATCTGCCTCGGCTTATGAGAGAGTGTTACTCCTCTGTCCGGCCATTAATAATACTCCGATTTGAACCGAGCTCAGTCAACATCAAAGTGAAATATGATTAATCAGCACTGCACCGAAAGCCACAGCCTTCCGGGTTTCGAAGGTTGATTGGGTTCCAGTTGATGAGTAAAAGAGGTCTTGACCGCAATCTCAAAAGGGGTAGGTCAGAGTGGACGACGAGGTGATCGGATTTAAAATGGGATGAATTGGTTCGCACATTATTTGCATCTGCGTCCTCAGAAATGATCGCCTGCGTGTAGTGTTGGTTGGCGCAGGTGTTTTCGTTTGTTGTGCTCTCCAGCAATGATTCAGTGTTCGCCTTAAGGATCAAGGGTGCCTTGAAATTAAGGCCTCAATTACCTTTAATTTCAAGCCTTAGCTTCAGCTATGGCAAATGTTAAAGCTACTTAAATTTAGGATACTTAAGGCCCAGTTCGGGAACTACAGGTAAGTTGACAGCTAGTACCTGTAGGGCCAAAAAAATAGATGTAGATGTAGCAGATTTCAGCTATCAAAAGTTCTGTTGCCTATAGAATCTCGACTGTGGGGAAGACACATCTACACTGACTCTGCAATGAAATGGGATCAACCCAATGTTGATCTTGTTGGGACTCGTGACAATGCAATTCTTTATTTCACAACTTGAAACTTGACATGTATTGAGAGTATATATTGAAGAGTATAGTGTACAAGTTTCAAGAAAAACGGACAAGAATCTGGGTGTAACGAGTCGAATCTCCGTATCAGCTTGATCCCATTTCATTGCCTAACTGGGAAAGTTCAGCCGGAGCGCACAAATAAGAGGGAAGTGGAGGTCAGAAACTCACTCAGGCTTAGTAACGAGTGTGTCCACCCTTGGCCTTGACCAGATCACGGACTCGATCCGGCATGCTGTCGTACAAGCGGTCGATGAATGTCTGGTCAATGGCATACCACTCCTCCTGCAATGCCTCCCACAATTCGTCGCGGTTCTTCGGGGGTGGCTGCCGAGCGCGAACCTTGCGGTCCAGATGTGCCCATGCATTCTCGATAATGCTCATATCTGGTGAATTTCCGGTCCATTCAAGCAAATCGAAGCCATTCTCCTCCAGCCAGTCCAGAGTGTAGTGCGCAGTGTGTAGTGTTGTTCCGGGTCGGGTCGGGTCGGGTCAGAGGCAGGTCGGGTCGGGTCAGAGGTGGGTCGGGTCGAGGGATTTTGCCACCTCAGTTACCACCGCCATCACGCGGTTCTCCCGCGGGGTACCTACTGGGTACCCTCAGACGTCTTGCTGAGGGTACCCAGTAGGTACCCCCTGGCGGGGGGTGGGGGGGCCATTTAGTCGATTTAGTAGCGGGGGCATATGCGGGGGTCAGGAGGAGGGGGGGTGTATGTAGCATGTGACTTGTCCATAAGAGCGGGTAGCTGGGCGGGAAAAAAAAATCCAATCACATGACGCGCTGCATGGGCGGGATGGCGGGATAAAAAAATCACGTGATGCGCTGCACCAAATATTACCAAAATGCTGGCAGGGGTTGGCGGCATCATTGGCGGGGTCACTACCACCCCCCCGCACACCATGGCGGGCAGTGGGCGCATTATCACGTGACTTTTTGGGCGCCTTTTTTGCAGCATTTGGCATGATTTTGGAAATGCTGCTTGATACATTGCATGCTGTGGCAGACAATGGGCGCAAAATCACGTGATTTTCCGCCAAAAAAATGGAAGACTCCCCAAATCATCCCAGTATAATTTCCATAGGTAAATAGGCTAGTTAAACATGAACTTGAGCTTAGAAAAACCAAAATGCACCCTGCACAATGGGATTGGTGACACACTTGATCCCATCATTTGGCAGGGCCTGCCGCAGGGGCTGCCGCGGGGGGTGCCGCGGGGGGTGCCGCGGGGGGTGCCGCAGGGGGTGCCGCGGGGGGTGATGCGGGGGCTGCCCCAGGGTTGGTCTGTTATGATCCATTTTTGTTCATTGAAGATCTTGTAGAGGTGAGCAGGGCAACAGGCCAACTGGGAATTTATAGGAAGACATTGAAATTGATGCAGGGGTCAGATGCGGGGCCCACTGCAAGGTCTACTGCAGGGGCAGGGGTGCATTATATCAAATTTCGATGTATCTATTCTGGCCATGGCCATAGAATGTCACATAATTATCCTTCAATTTGGCAGGGGTTTCTTGGTATGGTCTGCAGCTAAAGATATTTGATTCCCTTGTGCTTTAGCAGAGCCTGGGATATTGAAAACATGCAATAGCACCTGTATAATCTGTCTATGTAGGGTCAAATACAAGTTATGATTTGTTCATGTGTTGACCGGCAGGGTGGGTAGGTTGGCTGCACTGGGTCCACTGTCATCTCATTGATTTTTTGGTGCGCTCATTCTACATACATGGCTATTAGTCAATTGTTCACACTGTTAGCACAGTGTAATCTTACCCTGCGGCACATTGTACCACATGTCAAGTACACATTGAATGTCTCACTTCCTGACTGGGACTCATTGAAAATCAGAAGTTCTGTGATGCTTTGCAAATGATTTTCTCAAGCTGCAACATGAACAGATGGAACATAGCGGATTTGACATGCCCTCAATTCATTCCTGGGTCGTATATAAGAGGATGAACTAACTCACTAATAAGTTGTCTCACAATAGCCAGAGATTGAGCATGAATTCAGATTTCATATACAAAATTCTTTCCACTTAGAGCTTGGATACTTGCAAGACAAACTGCAGAAACATACATGATTGCTTTTGCTACTGGGACTGTATACGTTCTTGCCATAACTCACTGCCTGCAACTCTACCTGCACCCCCACTGGCACCCCTGCAGGCACCCCCCGCCAAACTGGCACCCCCCACTGCACCCCCGCATGCACCCCCGCCAGGCTGACACCCCCTGCCACACCCCCCGCTGCACCGGTGCCTTGCCCCTGCCATCTTCTCATATGTAAGATTACATAATCTGACAGCTCGGAACACGTCAAGTCACCAGCCAATCAGAACCTGTATAAACGTCGTACCTAAGTGTTTCCTGCTCTTCTGACACTGTTTCTACAGTTATGCAGCTGAAAACCATCGGAATAAGGTCTCCCTATGCTGTTCTTGTTGAATATGTAGGTATTTCATATCATTTGTCCATCCAAAATTCGAAACATGAAAACAGTTCACAGTTGCTCAAGGTTCCTACATAGATAATGGTTCAACATAGTTCACTTTGGGTATTGCAAAAAATATATTTTCTACAAATGAACAACTCAATACAGCTGAATGATATACCCCTTGGCAGTGTCTGAAACAAATTCTGAGAGCCCTGGACCCTGGAACCATTCAAAAACTTGAAATGGGTCCGAAAAATAGGGTCTTGATAAACATGAGATAGGGGCCAGTTTGAAGAGATGTAAGCCACTGGTCATGTTTAATGTGGTATTTGACAATGTTTCGGTGCCCTGCCCCTCACCAAATGGCCTCCTTTCCCACCAAAAAGTGCACATACACACTCAAGCTTATAAAATCAATTGTCGGCCAGAAACAAGAGCAGGCAAGTTGTGTCACTGGAATTGGGTAAAGGTAACCTGGAAGTCACTTGGGTTGCAGTACAGAAGCTTTGGAAAGTGATCCTGTAGTTGATCCACATTGGGTAGGCTGGCAGAGGCTTGGGCACCCCCCGCGGCACCCCCCGCAGCAGCCCCCGCAGCAGCCCCCGCGGCAGCCCCCACCATCAACCCTGCCCCAGCCCCTGCAAGGATTGGATGGACAAAAGTGCTGCCTAATCAATTGTTAGTGTTCACAGTATTATCACATCCATTAAAGTGTCTAAATGGTGTGTAGACAAGGAATATGAAATCCATCAATCAACAATCCTAACACCTGTATCAGATATCCTGAAAATGGAGAGGAAGATTTGGGAGCAGACAGACTATTGGAAGCAAACAGACAGGGACAAGGAGCAGTAGCTATTCCTGGCGATCAATTTGGCTGCACATGGAAAACTCCCTTGGGGGATTTGCCAAACAAATCAAGTTGCGCATTTTTCAAACATTAAATTCGACCTAATAGCTTGAGCAGACCATGCCCAAATGTACCAAGTTATAACTTGTATTTGACCCTACATAGACAGATTATACAGGTGCTATTGCATGTTTTCAATATCCCAGGCTCTGCTAAAGCACAAGGGAATCAAATATCTTTAGCTGCAGACCATACCAAGAAACCCCTGCCAAATTGAAGGATAATTATGTGACATTCTATGGCCATGGCCAGAATAGATACATCGAAATTTGATATAATGCACCCCTGCCCCTGCAGTAGACCTTGCAGTGGGCCCCGCATCTGACCCCTGCATCAATTTCAATGTCTTCCTATAAATTCCCAGTTGGCCTGTTGCCCTGCTCACCTCTACAAGATCTTCAATGAACAAAAATGGATCATAACAGACCAACCCTGGGGCAGCCCCCGCATCACCCCCCGCGGCACCCCCTGCGGCACCCCCCGCGGCACCCCCCGCGGCACCCCCCGCGGCAGCCCCTGCGGCAGGCCCTGCCAAATGATGGGATCAAGTGTGTCACCAATCCCATTGTGCAGGGTGCATTTTGGTTTTTCTAAGCTCAAGTTCATGTTTAACTAGCCTATTTACCTATGGAAATTATACTGGGATGATTTGGGGAGTCTTCCATTTTTTTGGCGGAAAATCACGTGATTTTGCGCCCATTGTCTGCCACAGCATGCAATGTATCAAGCAGCATTTCCAAAATCATGCCAAATGCTGCAAAAAAGGCGCCCAAAAAGTCACGTGATAATGCGCCCACTGCCCGCCATGGTGTGCGGGGGGGTGGTAGTGACCCCGCCAATGATGCCGCCAACCCCTGCCAGCATTTTGGTAATATTTGGTGCAGCGCATCACGTGATTTTTTTATCCCGCCATCCCGCCCATGCAGCGCGTCATGTGATTGGATTTTTTTTTCCCGCCCAGCTACCCGCTCTTATGGACAAGTCACATGCTACATACACCCCCCCTCCTCCTGACCCCCGCATATGCCCCCGCTACTAAATCGACTAAATGGCCCCCCCACCCCCCGCCAGGGGGTACCTACTGGGTACCCTCAGCAAGACGTCTGAGGGTACCCAGTAGGTACCCCGCGGGGGGAGAACCGCGTGATGGCGGTGGTAACTGAGGTGGATTTTGCCCGACCCGACCTAGGTGCCTGGGTCGGGTCGGGTCGCGGGTTGGGTCTGGGTCAAGACCCGGGTCGGGAGGTCACAAGATTACAAGAAATGTGCATTATAGTCAGTATGTAGTGTTGTGTACAAGCAAGAAATACATGTTAAACAGTAATCTGGATGTCCTCATCATCCTCTCCCTCATCGGGCTCATCAGCGAGACAGTCATCCCATACTCGGAATCCATCCAACGCTGAGTCGGCACTGTTGTCCTCCAATATCAACAGAGGCTCGTTGTCACTGTTCAAGAACTCGCGAATGAGCAAATCCTCGCGGAAACTGCACTTCAGGAACTGCAGAGCCTCGACAATGTCACCTTTGAGCCGGTTACGGCGATCAGAGATTGTGATGCCGCTCGACGAGAATGCCCGTTCACAAGATACTGAGGCAGCTTGGATTGCCAGATAGTCGAGCGCCAATAGGCGCCACCCCGGATGAAAGCGTTGATGATTTCTCTGGAAAGGTCACATGAGTTGAGCAATCACCAACAAGGAGATGACTTACGCTCCACCAATCGATTACATTTGTTCCCTCGGGAACGATCTCATCCTCGAGCTCGATGTACTTCCTAAAATCCTGCGACCATGGACGTGACACATCAACATTTGGGGCTGCGGGGGGCTGCACCCGAGTAGGGACATCATCTTCGTCGTCGGATGCAAGACTCTTGTACTTGTTAGTCCTCGCTTTCTTCTGCGGACAATTTTTTTCGCTCTGGGCTCCACCAGCCTTGAGCCAATAAAATTTGAACTGCGGTCACGTCGATTAGAATACAGGGATCGATAGAATCTTGACGTACGATCTTCTCTGCTGTGTCGACAACCTCGCGCATGAGATCATCGCTCCACTGAGCAGCAAAGTAGTTGAACTTCTGCAAAGGATCAAGCACTGCAGATCAAAACTGAGAAAGGGAAGCGACCAGATAGGAACGGTACATACTCATGCACACAATGTATGTTGGTGAGTCAGTGACCTTGTGTAAGGGCAACCTCGAGACCCGATCTCAGAGTTCTGGCAAGGGAGAATCCAAAGGTGATTAATAGTGGTAGCTAGGTACAAGACCGGCATACCTGGCAAGGGAGAATCCAAAGAGAAACCATGTTGGGGATTCTCATTGCCAGGCGCCACTATTTATATGGTACAAGAACAATAGACCGCGCAGCAACAAACAAAGAACAATGGGAACAATAAGTACAATGGCCATGACAGAACAATAGGAAACCGAGACAGTGGGAACGATGGGACACCTGACCATGTGCCCGTCAGAGAGAAGCGCTTGGCGTGGCAGTCCGGGCCGCGGCACGTGACAGCTGACAGGTCACGCGAGCGCGATCACATGCCTGATCGAAGGCAGAGCGGTCCGAAGCGGGGGTTCCCCTGACATCACCCCCCCCTTGGATTGCGGCGCCTCGACGCAACGTGCGGATGGTGGCAGAGGGGTGCTGGAACGGAAGGGAGTCGAAGATGGCGGCAGCAATGATGCGTGGCTTGTTGGGGTGCTTGCGGTAGAATGCCGCTATAGCGTCCTCTGCGAAGATATCAGAGTGCTTAACCCATTGGTCGTGCGACGAATCGTAGCCCTTCCACTGCACGAAGTACCAAATGCTCCGATAGCGCATCTTGGCATCCAGAACCTCTTCGACTTCCCACTCCTCGCCAGCTCCTTGGCCCATGACAGGTGGCGGCTCCTCGCGAGCTGGGCGTGTTGGGAACGGGTCGTCCTCAACGAGCTGCAGCTTGACAACGGGGAAGACCGGGTGAAGACCAGAGAGGCGGCGAGGGAGGTCAAGCTTGTAAGCGCCGCGCCCAACAACCTGGGTGACTTTGAAGGGACCCAGCCGTCGGTGAGAGAGTTTGAGGGACGGGCGCGTTGTTGCTATGTCAGAAGCGTCAAGCCAGACTCGATCTCCGACCTTGATGTCTGGAGCTGAGACCCTCCGGCGGTCGTAGTACTGCTTGTACTCATCCTTTGCCTTCACCAGTGCCGACTTGGCTTCTGCCACTCCGGATGCGATGCGGTCGCAGAAGTCGTTTGCCGACTCGTTCACAGCTGAGCGTAGTCCATTCGGTTCGAAGCCCATACGAGGGAGTCGACCGGTATCTGTCATGAACGGGACCTGCTGCGTGGATGAGTGAATATGGTTGTTGTAGGCAAACTCTGCAGCGGGAAGCAGCTCGTCCCAATCGTCCTGGTTGTAGCTGGTGAAGATCCGGAGGAACTGCTCGAGCTCCTGGTTCACACGCTCGGTCTGGCCGTCCGTCTGTGGATGCCAAGCGGTACACATTGCCGATGAGACCCCGACGAGTTTCCACAGCTCCTGCGTGAACTCTGCTATGAACTGGGAGCCGCGGTCAGAGACATACTTAGACGGCAGCCCATGGTGGCGCCAGACGTTCTTGTAGAAAAGCCTGGCGGCACCTTCACCGGAGAGCCGGGTGTGGCATTCTATGAAGTGGCTGCGCTTCCCAAGCATGTCAACAACGACCATGATAGCATCATACCCGTGAGCGTCTGGCAGATGCACAATGAAGTCAACCGACACTGCTTCCCAGCGCTCCGAAGGGACCTCCGTGGGATGGAGTTCCCCGATTGGGAGTTGGCGGAGCGCCTTGGTTCGGCAGCACAGGTCGCAGGTGGCCACATACCGGCCGACGTGTCGAGACAACTGGGGCCACCAGTAGTTCCGAGAGATCAGCTCCAACGTCTTGAAGCGGCCGGCATGCCCTGCGACGCGGGTGTCGTGGTGCTGCTCGAGGATGCGTCGGCGGAGGTCGTTGTTGCGTGGAACCACCAGCTTGCCACGGAAGTAGAGCAGGCCGCCTTCTTTTCGCCACTCCGCAGCCCGAGCAGAGCAAACTCCGCGTTCCTTGAGGAGCTCACGTGCTGCCAACACAATGGGCTCCTCCATGTTGGGGGTACCGGCGAGGGCCTCCCGGATGTCGCGCAGGAGAGGGGTCTCAGGTCCAGAGACAGTGAGACCCTCAAGGGCCCAGACATGGAACAGCTCCGGGCACAGCAGTGTGACGTCTGCGTTGTCCGAAGCGACTCCGTGGTCGGGGCGGCGCGAGAGAGCATCCAGGCGGCCCATGAGGCGGCCAGGTTGGTGGTGTAGGGTGAAGTCGAAGCGAGACAGATAGAGGGACCAGCGGGCTTGACGACGGTTGAGATTCTGGGCTTTCCGGAAGTACTCCAGATTTTTGTGGTCAGTCCAGATCTCAACGGGGTGCTCCGCGCCCTCGAGGAAGTGTCGCCACTCCTCCAAGGCGTGGACAATGGCGAGCATCTCCTTGTCGTGGATTTCGTAGTTCTGCTGGACCTCGTTAAGACTCTTCGAGAAGAAGGCAACCGGATGCCACTTGTCATCCAGGGGGGACTGCTGCGAGAAGACAGCACCGGTCGCGAAGTCCGAACTGTCTGCTTCGAGGCGGTAAGACCTGGAAGCATCCGGGAGCTGCAGGACTGGGGTAGAGGTAACAGCGTTCTTCAGCGCAAGAAACGCAGCTGCCTCGTTGGCGCCCCAAGTCCATGCCACGTCCTTCTTGGTGAGGTCAAAGAGAGGACGGGCAACGTGCGAAAAATCCCGGATGAACCTCCGGTAGAAGTTAGTGAAGCCGAGGAACTGCTGCACTTCCTTCTTGTTAGCCGGAGCTGGCCACTCCGCCACACCTGCGACCTTGACCGGGTCCATCTCCACGTGGTTGTGGGAAATGATCACCCCAAGGTATTCGATCGACGGCATCTCGAACTCGCATTTCTCCGCGCGAAGGTAGAGCTTGTTCTCGCGGAGACGTCGGAGGACTTCGTTCACGATTTCCCGGTGACGGTGGATATCGGAATGCGCAATGAGAATGTCGTCGAGGTACACCATAACGTCGCCAGAGAGGATGAGGTCCTGAAGTATGTCATTCATCATTGTCTGGAACGTTGCGGGGGAGTTGGTCAGGCCGAAATACATCACCAACGGCTCAAAGAGCCTTCGGTTTGTCCGAAACGCTGCCTTCCACTTGTCGCCTTGACGAATGCGCACGTTGTTGAAGCCCCAGCAAACGTCGAGTTTGGTGAAGAACCGAGCTCCCTTGAGCTTGTTGATGAGATCATTGATCAGGGGGAGCGGGTAGCGGTTCTTCACTGTCATCGCGTTTAGTGCTCGGTAATCTTGGACAAACCGTAAGCTGCCATCTTTCTTCTTCACGAAGAAGACAGGGGATGCCATGGGCGATTTCAACGGCCGAATCCTGCCAGTAGCCATGCCCTCCTCGATGAATTCGTCGAGTTGCTTCTGTTCAAGAGGGGAGATGGGGTAGACCTTACAGTTGGTCGGCTTCGTGTCAGGGACCAGTTTGATGACGTGATCCCATGGGCGTCGCTGAGAGACAGTGCTAGTGGCTTGGATGTCTTCAGAAGGGTTGAAGCGGGTGTAAAAGATACGGTCACCGGCTTCCAAGGAGTGTTGCTGCTTGCCTAAACAAGTGACAGCAAGCTGCACGCGTTCACTGTGGCCCTAATAACGGAGAACCACATCGGCGACTTCGCAAATGGAACTGGCTTCGTTCGGCGTGCCGTCCACGTTGTAAACGGGGATTGGCTGGGTGAGGCGTCGAATGGGGAGGTGGTTTTCGAGGGGGTAGTCTGAGTCAATGAAGTTGGATGTGGCACCACAATCGACCAGGCCTTTGAGAGATAACTTCACTGCATTGTCGGTGGACTCGATCTCGAGGGGGAGGTGGAGAGAATTGGCCCCGGGAGAGGCGGCAGCAACATATGGTGCACGTGCCCTTGTCACTACCACTTTTGGATAGCGTGAGAACTCGGTCATGGCAAGGCAGATTTCTTAGTTGTCTTACAGAAAGATGTGCTTTAGTATTAGGAAGATAACCCTAAGACAGATTTTCCATAGGCTCAAAACTGACTGAGCTGAGAAATCGGGAACCCAGCCGATTCCGGTCCTATCACATGACTGGCTTACATGAGTGATGCACGTGATAAATGCGATCACGTGCAGGAAAAGTTACATTAATTACTCGTCAAACTGAGCCGCGAGGGACTCGGGAACGCGACGGTGTGACTTGTATCGATGAGAAGAGAACTCCTTCACTCGCTTTTGAGCATCCTTCGCGTCCAAACCAACGGAATAAGCTTCCAGCCAACGGAAGGTCCGATGCTCCCACTTGCGGATTGTCGATAACTTGACACTTTCGAGAGCCTTCGGCATATTTGCGCGCAGGGTGTCGAAACTGTAATCACAGTTGTCACGGAGGTATCGCTTGACTGCTCCCCAGAAGAATTCAATGAAATTCAACTCGCAATGATACTTGGGAAGTATAATGCAGAGATGCCTGGCGTTCTCGATGGTTTCTTGAACAAGGGATCGTTGCTGCTGGAAATCTGGCTCATGGGTAAGCACAGAATGCGCGCAACAGGACTTTGTGAGGCAGGAATCTTTGCATCGCATCTTCAATGATGGGTTTCAAAGACCGCGTTCTTGAAGCACCGCTTTCATACCCTTCGCCTTTCCAGCTGACGCATGACCCGGTTCGAACACCATCGGCTGGGAGACGGTGCGGCCATCTTTGATGAACCAGCCCGGACGCATCAGCGCCTGTTTACCGCCCGGATTGAGATTCATGCGGTTGACAACCAGCGCATCCTCGGCATATGCTGAATGGCCTTGCGAGTTATCAATCATGAACAGCATCTGATGTCCAGGACCATGGGCGGCTTCGAAAGCAGGAATAATCTTTTCGATGATCTGGGCGAACATCAATTTGAATTGATACACTCGAAGTGCCACATACTTGTTTAATGAACAGCTCCCCATTCCAATAGCCTTCATAATTCTTTCCATACTCGAGTGTTTGAGACGCATCCTTGAGCCAACCAACTGTTGAGCAGATAACATCGGACTGGTGCAATCCGCGTCCCACTCCCTTCTTCCTCAGCGGTTGTTCGCCCTCGAGAACCCAGCTTTTCTTCAAACCATCATTTGCTTGTGCCGTCATTTCATCATGAGCACACAGAACCAGACGCGGGCGAACAAATGTGCTGACTGGATACTGAATCCAATCTTTGATGGACGGGCCGAGGAGTTCATCATCGACACTGCCAACTGTGTATTTGACGAGACGAGGACGGTGGATATCGAGCATAGCGGGGATATAACGATCCTGCCGATCGGAAACAACATCGGGGCGCTCGTGTCCATCAAAATACAGTCCCTTCTTGTGTTCCGTAAAGCGAAATCCCTGCTCGAGCATGATCTGATGGCAGGTCTCCAAGCTGATGTGCTTCTTGACCTGGAATTGACGAGGAAGGATATCCATTTCGATGTATTTCTTCAAGCCCTCTGGCATCTCGTTCTCCACCACTCCCTTCGCATAAGACTGAGCTTCTTCCGGAAGCATCTTATTGTTGAGAAAGGCATGCAGTTTCGATGGATCAACAGCCCATTTGTTGGTGCGAAGGAAGACAGAAATCTTCTCTCGGAGATTCGGATCGGACAGGAAGGACCATGTCTTCGCGTGCTTGCCACGGGAAGATGTTGGCAGCTTGCGTGTGTTGATCCAGACACGGACCCATCGCCTGACATTTCTCCCACCGTTGTTCACAGACCAACCACCAGCCTGTGCCGCGATGACCGACGCCTTCATATGTGCCATTTCCTTCGTCAAGACCAGACAGAGCTCGCATTTGATGGCACGAGCTCGACGAGCTTGCAATGAGTTGAGCCCAGTTCCTCCTTCCCATTCAGTTTTCTTCGATGCAATGTGTTTCTTGATGGACGCTGATAGGCTGGCTACCAGACGCGCTCTGCACCAGCTCTGTAAGGGCGTATTTTTGCGCTTTTTACAGAGTTTACTCTTGAACCATTCGGTGTATCGTGTCGCGGTTGACAGTGTTGCGCTCAGTAGGACTTAAGGGTCTACTGCCCAGTCGACGACTGTGGATAGTGTCGACGATAGCAAGGCAGTCAGACCACTACTGTGGAACTGGTCTTATGGGTCTACACCAGGCTCAGGGCCATTAGTGACGAACGCTTGGACCGCGACCATTCCCCAAAAAGGGATCTGTCGTTGCGTCGACTTCTCGAAAAGGGTCATTCTCTGCAGATGGGAACTTGGGCTGAAGGGCTGAGCAATGCGCGACGTTCTCAATAATAGAACTACTACTGGACAGGACTTGGCGTTACGAGACTTAAACCATCTTGTCGCGGCAACTCCCGGTTTTGAGTTGGACGTTTCCTCAGATCATGCCACGACGACGACTTGTCACATGTCAGGATCCATTCGATCACGGGACATTGTGGACGCGTCGCGGTGACACTTCCAAGTGTCACGGCGAGTCGCGACCATACCCAAACACACTAGAAACCGACACGGCTAGATCCGTGAACCGAACCATGTGGGGGACGACTGGTGTGCCTAGGGCCATACGGCTTCTTGGGGCGCCCACGTTGGTCTCACTTGCCAAGACATACCCGTTGGCCAATCCAACACGTCGTATTCCAAAAGTATGACGCGGTGGGTTGACCCACATCAAAAGTATCATATGGACAATGGGGCGGGGTCCTGATCACTCAGGACCTGTCCGATCGTTCAACTTTTCAATTGCCCTAAAAGGCAACCGATCTTAGATAGCGTAGCTACTATGCAGTTGTACAGGACTTTACTAAGCAGCGTCGTAGACAGTATAAGTAGCACGTCGTTTCTTTGTATTGGAAAGCTTTTCCCCCGGACTGTGAATCACTCTCATTTCAGATTGTTTTGTACAATTTGCGTGCCGCGTGATTCCACCCTAAGAAGTTCTGCTACCCCTGCCCGGTCGCGACGAGTTGCTCCCTGAGCACTTGTAGCTACTGTGATTTGAGTCTGAGTTGAGACATCGGAAAGTCGGATTCGCCGCATCTGGTTTAGTCGCGGCATTTAGTGTCGTCGCCTTCGGGCTTTGTTGAGATCGTTCCACACCTCTAGCTTGGCAGTGCGTCGACTAGTTGTGCTCGGGTTGTTTTGGTCAGTTGGCAGCGCGTCGACTTGAGAACTTTGGTTCCACACTTCTTGCTTGGCAGTGCGTCGACGAGTTGTGCTCGGGTTTTGGACATTGGATATTGGCTGTTAGTTGGCAGTGCGTCGACGCGGCATTTCGGTTTACTAGTTGGCAGTGCGTCGACTCAGTACTTTTGGTTGTGTCAGTTGGCAGTGCGTCGACTCGACATTTTGGTTTACTAGTTGGCAGTGCGTCGACTCAGTATATTGGTTGTATCGGTTGGCAGTGCGTCGACTTGATATTTGGGCTTTGCGTCACCATCTAGACGCTGTCGCTACAAGGGATCTTAATACTTCGTATTAAGCTCTGACTTGTTATATTGTTGTTGTGGATTGGATTAGTGTTGGTTGTGATCGTATAGAAGATATTGGTTGAGACACCATTGTTTGCTATATATATATATCCTTGTCGTCGACTCCGTCTCCGCGACTATTGGATCTGCGTCTATTGAGAGTTGTGATACTGGTGCTCTGTCCTCCCCGAAGCCCTCGCATCTTTCACACACTGAGAAGCTGATTACGAGGAGTGTGAACGTGTTTTATATTTGGGTTTACTTTCATAGTAGATTCACTTGTGAGCACGCCCTCAGCATTTCATCTGGAGCCCACCGCGAGGGGCTTCTAAAAAGTTTCATAAACTTTAAAAATCAATAAACCGGATTCTTTACCGCGACGTCGGATAGAGACCAAGGGTTTATCCCGCGAAGCAGTTTATTTCGATCCCAAGCTCCTGCGCGACCTCTCGAGGACCAAGCGGAGATTGAGACTGAAGGAAACGCTTCAACCTCAGGACCTTTCGAAAAACCACGAAGGTCTGCTAGACATAAAACACCTTTGTATCTACCACCCTTGCCTTCCAAGGCAAAAGGAAAACAAAGAGTGAATTCGACGTCGAAGCTTCCAGCTTTAGACACGGCTACTTCGAGTTCGACGACAATCAGTCGATCTCAGACTAGCTCACAAACCCTCTCAGAATTGTCAAGTAGCGTCACCGCTACAAACACGAATTCTAACAACATCCCTACTTCCCCTGTGACTTCAGTCGCGACAACTATGGCTCCAAAGACTGGGTTCAAAATCCCTCAACCTTGGGACACAAGTAGACCTATACTTGATGAAAAGGATCCCCTGTCGATTGAGGCATATTTGCGTCACTGCGCGCAGATCGTGGAGGATGGTGGCATCACAGATGTCAAACAAGCAAAAAGCATGTACATCCGTTATTTGCCGTCGCGGCAAGTGATGGACGTATGGGAAGGTCTCGATACCTATTCCGACGACACGAAAACTGTCGCGGAGTTCGAGGCCGAAATATTAAAAGGATACCCTGAGGTATCCAAGCGAAAAACGGGGACCATGGCAGATCTAGATAGACTCTGTCGCGAGAACCGTGGAATCAAAATCACCGATGAGGGAGATTTGAAGCGCTTCGGCCTTCAGATGTACAGTCACTACAAGCGACTGTCAGTCCCTCCTGCCATTATTACCAACAAAGTCGCGTGTGAACGCTACATGCGTACTTTGGACTCTGAGTTCAGTACCGTCTTGAGGAACGCTTTGGCTACGAGTCAAGTATTCAATAAGCGCTACCAAACTCGCGCTGGGATAGCAAATGCTAATGTCCCCGCGACTGGAGTCAACCGGCAGGACGACCCCATCCAGCTGAAAGAGCTAATGACAATGGCGGAAGAAATGGCGTCGACGTTGAGTAACGAAGACGAAATTCCCATAATCGCGCGACCCCCAAAGGTTCGCTTCGACTATGAGACTAGTCCACCCAACCATGCTAAGGTTGAGGAGTTGGAAAACTCGATTTCTAACTTGAAGGATTCATTTCTTCTACACCAAAAAGAGCTACAGACTCAGTTGCAGGAAGCGCTGAAGACGTTCGTACAGACTGCTCGCGAAGCGCCCATACAGCGGTCGCGGCCAGTAGGCAACAACTCTTCTGTGCCCCACTTTGAAAGTCGCGCACAAGGAGGAGCTGCCGCACGGAACGACGATTGTCGCTACTGTGGACAAACTGGTCATTGGTCGAACGAGTGCCCGCTCAAGAGGTCTCACATCGAGAAAAACCTTCTCAAAGTCGACACCAAAGGGATGTGGAGGCTCTTCGACGACAGTTTCCTACCAAATGGAGAAGGGACTCAGGGACAACGAGTAGAGGCTTACTGGAAGAAGAAGGGCAAATCCGTCAACTTCCAGGACTCCTACTACTTGGATCAGTTCGATAGCCGCGACAATGATGATATGTCCGACTACCCTGAAGAAGTGGCAGATGAAATACGCTCCCTTCGAAGTCAACTCATCCAATACGAGAGGAAGTCGTCGCGACCAACCCCAGAGAGTCGCGCTGAGCCAAAGACTCAACGAACTGCATCTGGTTCAACCAGCAATGCAATGGAAAGTGCCATGGGCCAATTCATGCAGAAAGCCATGACCGACGCCATGGCCGGCTACTTCAACAACATGAACAGTGGTTATCCTCAGACTCAGGAGCAGTTCATTCAAACCCGTCGTGGTGCGAATAGCCAACCTGAGCGCGACGATAACAACTCGGGTTTCTAGATGGTTCAAGGAAGGGGGCTAAACCCACAAACTCAGCCAAGCCCTCTGAGGACCATGATAAACGAGCTGAGCGACGAGAGAAACCGAGAAAACCTGTGACTATTGAAGAAGTTAGTGATAGCGACGAGGATGAGGAATCAGTGCGCGACAACGTCGAAAAGGGAAAGGAACTACCGTTTGAGAAAGTCAAGCCCGTTCTACAAGAACCAGTACATTCTTCAAAAGCGCGCGTTCCAGATAAATACCAGTTGCGTGCACCGATTCAAAAGAAGGCTGTGGCAGAAGCAGTCTACGACAAAATGAAAAACGCGTCAGTCGACGTCACTGTGGGTGAACTCCTAGCAGTTTCGGGGACTGTTCGCGACTCCATTCTGAAGGACTCCTCGAAGAAACGAGTACCGGTTCAGAAGTCCATGCTTCAAGAAACTGGTCGCGTCGTTGAAGACGTTTGGGATGGAGAACTGAGCTACAACCTAGTCAGTGCTAAGGAATTGCCCGAGCCTGTGTTCTATCATAACACAGTCGAAGGAGAAATTCCCATTGGCGCAGTTGTCGCGACGGACCCATATGAGATGTACTTGGAGTCGATACCCTCTAATGAGAACCCAAGACATGTCTATGTTGGTGATTCGTCAGCTGCTCTCAGAACAATAAACGGACGGATTAACGCGCGTCTCGACGCGGACTGCATCCTAGACAGTGGATCTCAGATTGTATCGATGGCTTTCTCAGAAGCCGTCGACGCACAATTGAGCTGGGACCCAAAGGTCGTCATATATATGGAAAGCGCAAATGGATCTATCTCTAAGTCACTGGGATTAGCGAGAAATGTACCCTTCAGGTTTGGGACCATCCTGGTCTACCTGCAAGTGCACATTTTGGAAAGTCCAGCTTATAAGGTGCTGCTCGGCAGACCGTTTGATATCGCGACTGAAAGCAATATCAAGAACGCGGCTGACGGCAGCCAGATAATCACCATGCGCGATCCCAATTTAAAGACACGTTGTGCAATGGCTACGCAGCCACGTCGTGCAGACGACTTGCCGCGT